AAAAATATATAAGTAGTGTAATTCAAAGAATAAAATTATCGTCTTAACTTATCATGGCCCGTTCGTTGCAGTGTTGATGATTCAAACCATGGAATGTCCTTGGATGTTGATTGCTTGGAGGAACTTCAGTTGAATAGTTTCACTGCTCTGCAATAACAGTGGTGGGCATTCTTCCAAACTCAATGCAATATGCATTCCAAACTCAATGAAATCAATATCGATTCATTTTTTTTTAAAGTAAAAATATGTAATTACTTTTTTTTTCTCTGGGAAGTTGTCTAATATTCTTAGTTGTTTGGCAATAATTACTTCCAATTGGTAACAATTGAATATAGTTCTTATATTATCAACGTTACATGTTAACAAGTGGACGTTTCGGGATATTTTACTCCCATCTTCAGAACTACAATTCCAATAATCTTGTGGATGCAAGGTTAAAAAAATTCTGACACAAAAAAAGGCTGACTCAAAAATTGTTTAGCCTTGCATCCATATGATTATTAGGATTATAGTTCTGAAGATGGGAGTAAATATCCCGAAACGTCAACTCGTTAACATGTAACGTTGATAATATAAGAAATATATTCAATTGTTACCAATTGAAAGTAATTATTGCCAAATAACTAATAATGTAATTACCTTTAAAATATTTTTTTTTTAGAATTTCCGATAAACTAGATATAATTTCTATGTACTGTACAAAATTTAAAGGGCTTTAAGGAGAAGTTTTTAGATTAGTTTCAACAAACCGTTAGAGCCGTTTTGGCCCTTATATAATCGGCCAAATCTCAACAAAAAAATGTATTGAAGGTATTATGTATTAAGATCTTTATGGATAGTTTTAGTCGAATATGGTTCAAAAACCTACCTCTCCGCCTGTCCCTAGATATTTTATTGCCTATCTTTTCTTAAAAACAGAGCAAGCGAAGGTAGAATTACAAAATTTGCCGATCATATGCAATTACAATTACTGCGATCTGTATGTTTTTTCGCTTGTCTCTTAGTCTAAAACACTTCATTGCAAATATTCATAACCTCATCGAAATGTGTTCAAAAATTCAAAAAACCGTTCAAATATGCCCCCATCTAAAATTTTGAAGGCGAGACTTGCTCCATGAAACATCCCTCTGGTCACGGTTGGTTTTAGTTAAGTGGCGTAGAAGTTGTGACTGTTTAATAGAGTCCTAAAGTTCAAATCTATTAGTCCCAATAGGTCTAATTATGGTTAAGTCTATTTTTTTCATAAATAGGAAATTATTAGCGTTTGCAATGTAAATGTCATATTGCAGAAGATGTTACTTGTTTTGGTTTTAAGTGAAGATTCCATGCTATGTTAATCTCTTGTCTAGATCAAGCCCTAAGGTAATGTATCTATTTGATAAGGATGAGCGGAATACCATTAGATGCTATCGCTACACCATTCGTACGCAGTAGTGCTCCCTTTCGTAGGTTTACGACGAAGTTATGAACAATTAACAAATGCTTTTGACCCAAATCAGTGAAAGGTTTCGTGCAATTGTATAATGTTAATTAAACGTAACACCATTACTACGTCATTCGCCTCACACAACTGTGTCATCGCATGTTTAGCTAAGATTTGTTACTAGAAAAATTACTTCCTGAAACTCTAATTTTTTAATTACCTTTAAAATGGAATAAGCGGAACATTATCTTCAACATCAGTGTTTCCACCTTCCATAGGCGGATCTAAGGGGGAGGGGGAGGGAAGGAGGGCTTTCGGGCTGAAGCTCCCCTCCTCCTAATAAACGGTAAAATATAACCATGTTTTATAGAAAAAAATATTAAAAACTATCTCTTAAGGTATTATTGTTCGTATAATTACATTTAATAGGACTTCAAGACTCACTTTAACACCATGTTATATATGTAGTTAGTTTGTTTTGTTTTTTCAAATTAATTGTAATTTTTTTATCGTATTAATTAATTCTGTACTTTAATGTAATAATTAATTTTTGTCGTATTTTTTCATATTAATTATAGTTTTTTTTTCAAATGAATTAATATTAAGTCCCCCAAAAATTAAACCCTGAATCCGCTAGTGCCACCTCTCCCCTTTTTGCGAATATATGAATCAGCTAATTTGAAATTGGCAAGAATTGGCTAATTATTACCTTAATTATTTATTAGTTATATTATTCATTTATTTAATTTAATAACTTTCAATCAAGTTGAAAGAAGTATTGTCTTATTTTTGCTGATTTAAGAAAACTTCGTGAAGCCTATCCTATTTCTTGGAAATATCTTGCCAGTGCCTGTCTTATACCTTTGGTGCCCCTGGGCAATGACGTCATCTCCCCTAAAAAAATTAAATTCATTTCTCAAGCTGTTTTATATTATGTAGTATTTGAATTTTATTTCTTGCAATATTTCTCTTTTACAATTTCTTTGTTAATAGGCTAAAAATAAATATTTTACTACGTTTTGTATTGTATATATTTTTTTTTTAATTCATAACGAGTGGCGAATGCCCATGATGATCGGCGCCCTCATCGGGTGCCCCGGGACAATTGCCCGGTTGCCCGGCCCTAAGATCGGCACTGTATCCTACATTATTTAAAATATTTATATTATTTAATCTGAATATCGATTAATCGAATCTCAAATAATTAAAGTTTAATTGTAGCGAATATCGTATTCAATTAAGGGGGGAGAGAAATCTTAACTATAAATATAAACATAAACTTTAGTGGGCTTTTCAAGCTCTCTTCTAATGATGTTTTTGCAGTGTGGTGGATAACTTAAACAATTCTTAGAATTTTTAATGAATTGTTTTTGTTTCTTTATTGTCTGATGATTTACATCATAGTATTGATTTCGGTGACATGATCGAGACCTTGTTTTTCTTACCATAAATTAAAACTCGCGAGTTTCCGTTTTAATTTCAGTAATATGTAATATAAAAAGGAGTAGGATCGGAAATAGTGGGACAAATGTACAGTCACTTGGCAGATAGCAGAATTAATATAGCTGCAAAATTCGAGTGAAATTTTATTTTTATATATATATATTTTTTTTTTTTTTTTTTTTTTTTATTGAAAATATTACAATCTGTCTCAAGGACATTTATAATAGTGTTAACAGATCACATTCACACTCTATGTACAGTAAATAAAATAAATTATACAGAAAAATAACATATATACAATAAATAAGAATAAAATAACCTAAAAATAAATAAATAAAAAGAACACATACATACCTATATACAATATTTTTATATTAATTTTTTAAAACAAACAAACTTAAATTAATTTATTTTAATTTATATTAATTTTTTAAAAAATGTATGTATGTTTTGTTTGTTTGGTTGTGTCTTAACTCTGCTAATATAATTAGTCAGTGTTATGAGATGATATGTTTCGAAATGCATTTCCTAAAATACTGTGTTGACTTTCGCGAAGGATGAAAGGATGGACGGTAAAATTAAAGTTATTTTCTCCTTGCAAAAATTCTTGTTCAAGCTCTGAAAAGGAAAAACATGCTGCTGTCACTGTATCTCAACTGGCGTATTTTTAGAATGTGATATTTTCGGAAGAATGTTTTGATCATGTTACAATTTAGGCAGAAATACAATGGTACTATTATATGTGTTTAGGTAGAAACTACAACTGTATCCAACCTTATTAATAACAAGTTTTGCATTAAAAATTACTTGATTAGGCCAAAACAAAGTGAGGATGTTTCTTTGCTCTTAGCTCTCTGTGAATAAATATCTGGTGTGTCCACTCACACGACTTTCCTAACTATTTCAGAATACTTATATATCTTTACATATGCCCATAAAGAAACAAAAATAAATTGAATTAGATTTATTTTACTGAAAATTTATCAAAAAAAAAATTTGATTACGAATTATTTGATAAACTAAAGTAATGTAAACCGACTTAAGGTAGATCAGTATAAAAATTTCAATACCCTCTAATATTGCTGATCAAAAACTTTTTGTCATAGCCTAATTTTGTCAAACAATAATTTCTGTTAAAAGTAAAGAAAGCTTGTGTGATGCGGGCAACAGATTTTCTTGCTTTCATTTAGTTATCTTGTTTCTCTCATTCACCCCTTTCTGACACCGTGATATGAACCAATGATCTTACATTGGAAATTGAATAGCTGTAACTTCGTTAATAGTTATCTGAAATGAACGATTTTTTTATATAGTTTTTTAGGGAATTTCATTACCATAAAAAAAATAATTGTTTTAAGAATATATACTTAGCGAGATAGGTCCCAAAACATTTTTCTTTTCTTTTTAGTTCATGTACAAAAATTGAAAGGATAATTATTAGAACATTATAGGAATATTTCATCAAAATCGTTAGAGCCGTTTTCGCGCTACAGTCTATAGAAAAACACGTTTTTCATTTATTGCGGGTGCTGTGTACGCACGTTAACCATTCGGCCACCCCGCCCCCATTTTGAAAATGACTTGTCTCATTCTTTATTAAGGTGTTTTTTTAACAATATTATTATTTCACAAGTAATCTAGCGTTATTGTTTCACTCTGTGGCGAATTCACAGGATAGAAAAATTCCTCGTCCCAAAATTGTCATTGAGGAAAAATTATCCCCGCCTGCTTAAAATATACTTACTAATAATCATGAATAAATTATTATTCATTAGGATGGGTGATAATCATTTTATTGCTATTTTTCCCATAGAGAGGCTAATATTTCTCTCAAATTCCTAGGTCATTTGGAGGCACCATTTGATCAAATCATTTACTTTGTAAAAAAATTGTAACAAATTTGATGGAACCATCAGGATTTTCTTCTATTACTTTTATATGAATGACATGATCTGACTAGTTCCATCAAATCACTGCATAATTTATTGCTCAATTTATCCAGAATAGTATTTAATAAAATTAGAATCATAAGAGTTAAGTGTTATCTAGGTTTGTTTTCCAGGATTTCAGGATTTTTCCTATTATTTTTGTTTTTAATAAACATTTGTGCAATTTCATTATTACATTTGTGAGTATCTAAAATTAAAGATAATTATTAAATTTTTATAAATTTATGTGTGTTTTGGTTTCAGCTTCCGAACCAGAAAGCAATGGGTTCATAGAAATTGTAGCTACTCTCGCTGCATTTCTCTTCATGCTGATAACATTTCCCATATCAGTTTTTATGATATTCAAGGTATGATATGATGTATATTTTATAATATTCGATGATTTGTAAAGATATAATTTTTAAGATTAGATTTATTATCGTTCATTGTAGATTTGTTTTCAGTTAAATTGGTTTTTTTATTGAAGTCTTTCACTCTCTGCTCTTATCTCAATCCCAAAAAATAATGTAATCAATTTTGATCTACTGCAAGATGGTTACAAATCATTAATAAATAAATGTGAAAGCAAAATATTCCTTGTTAATACTTTATTTAAAAAGATGCATAATCATCAGGGTTCTGTCCCACCATTAGTATTATCCTGTTAATTTTAAAAAAAAAGTAGGTAAAAATTATCCACCTTAATAATGCATAGAATATGCTTTTCATTTTTATTGCAATATATCATTTTCTACGGAATTCACTCCTAATTGTTCTATTTTTATCCATGTATAATATTTTGCCATTATAATTATTAAATACTTAATATAAATTTTTATCCGATTAGCGTTTTGATCTAATTTTATTGTTGATCATAGCTTTTTAGAAGATTAAGATACTTTTTTTCTAGCTATATCTTATTTACATGTTCTTATTTTCTTCTTTCTCATATCTTTATATTTAATTAAAAATTTAAATAATAACGCACTTTTTTATGTATTACCTATTATTATTATTATATTTTTAATGTACTTATAACAAAATGTATTTCTATTTATCAATAATATCAGTTTAAACTCCTAGAATCTTGTTTGAAGAAAAGGAAAATGTTTTAAAAATTTTATTTAGTGCTCCTTTAAACAGAAATTAAGCTATATAAAAATGTATCCACAGAACATGAAAATAGACATATTCATTTCCACTTTTTATTATTTTTTGTGCTATGCTGATCCATTAATAAGAAAACTTGAATTATAGGTCGTTCAAGAATATGAAAGAGCTGTCATATTTCGCCTTGGACGTTTGAGATCAGGAGGAGCCAGAGGTCCTGGAATATTCTTTGTTTTACCATGCATTGATGTCTATACCAAAGTTGATTTGCGTACAGTGTCCTTTGATGTTCCACCTCAGGAGGTAACTTATAGTTATATTTATTTATATATCAAGAGTTTAAAATAATCAGCTGTTCAATACATACAACTGTAATGTATAGAATAATGGACAAAAATATATTTAAGAAATCGTAAAGACCTCTTAGTTTTTTTAACTATGATATTAATATTAATGTTATGTGTGTATTTATTGGTGGTATAGATCTACTCATTGTATATTTATATTTATCTATACTAAATTTGTGCATGCATGTGTGAAGATATACATTTATTTAATCATAAATACATATAATTATTAATTAATTAATTATGTTCCAATTTTTTTTTCTTTGATCTCACTTCATAAAAAAGAGAATAAGTTATTTCCTTCAAAAGTAAATTTTAAAATAGAATATTAAATAATCACTGTCTTTGTTATTCATAATCTCTAAGTATTTCAGAAGCAGGAATAATAATAATAATTATTATTATTTATATTATATGATGAAAATGATCCAATCTGTGTATGTTAGATCAATGGCTGCATGTGTCGGGATCACAGTGGCTTTTAATATCATTTATGTATATTGGCAACTTAAATTCTTTTGTCCTTAATTTTTTTTCCCTTTTTCTTTCCCCCTCTGGGAACTATTTTAATTTTGTATTTGTTGTAGTCATTATAAAATTTCTTTGTATCACAAATTAACATTATTACAAAAATAATTGTACTTTTTAAAATATAATACAATAATTACCCATGAAATAAGGGAATAATAAATCTATTGTAGATACTGTCTCGTGACTCAGTGACCGTCCATGTGGACGCTGTGGTATTCTACCGTGTTAACAGTCCAACAATGGCTACCAACAATGTTGAGAACTACAGGTGATAGACCCGAAAATATTATTTATACCATGCCCTTCCTAGAGCACAAATATCCCTTATCGCTAGACGTTGGTGCTTGCTTACGGAAACCTTAGATTGAAGATATATTGCATGTATTCAGTTGTTTAGGCCATTTAAATTATTCATGTTGTATGTTATATTTTAGCACAGCCATTAATAAAAATCACGTCGTTTATATTTTTGTATTGTTTTATTTTTGTTTATTTATTTTTATTTTGTCTAAAGTGCATGATAAATATATGATGTAATTACCAGGTTCTTACAAAGGACTCTTGTACTGTCACTGTTGATGCTGTTGTTTACTTTTCAATTGACGATCCTTTGAAGAGTGTTGTATCAGTGGAAAATTATAAGTAAGTCTGTGCCTTGCTATTATAAATTAGTTTTTGTTCTTATTCACTATATTTTAACACATCATTTATTAGGAGCTATTTAAAATTTACATATATACATATATTATCATTTAGTTAACATTATTTATTTGTACATTGTATCAGTGTTGTGAATTAACTTCACAATAATAATAATAATAATAATCAAAAAATATTTTAATAGTAATAGTAACAATGAAATTGGTATTAAATTTTATTTAAAACAAAAATTATTACATGGACACCACTCCTGTTTATACCATAGTTGCAGGGGACGAGTTACTGCAATTTCTTTTATTTTGATGTTACATTTTCCAAACCTTACTTCTCACTTGAACAAAACAAAGACGACCAGATGGATCACCATTTTTCCCATTATACAACATTTTGTAAGGTCATTCTTATGTAGTTTTTGTTTTTTAACATGAAGTAATAAAACAAAGCTGTTTTATTATAGCTAGAATTTTTCTATGAACACCTGATAATTTTGGTTTGCACTAAACTTTTGGAACCTACAAATAATGTTTTATAGATATAGTAAATCAAACATTGTTTTGTATTTGTGTAAATACCTGTGTCCTATCATTGCTGCATGCTAAAATTTCTATGCTCCAATATCTGTTATAAGTGATTTTAATTTATAAATCAATAGGATAGATTTTAAGCAACAAAAATATGTCATTGGACTGTAAATCTAGTGCTAATAAGATCAATGACCATACCATAAATTAAAAACTGTTTTAAGCTATGAAATTATTCCTAACCAAAATTATTGTTGATTTTTTAGAGGATCTGCTATTTTTTCTAAAGAGAATAATGAATGACATTATTTAATCTTCCATTGTATAATCAAACATATTAATTCGTAATTAGTTTTTGTGTTATTTGCTACAAAATAATTTTAAACTAATTTTCAAATATTGCAAAACTTCATAAACCAGTTCAGTTCCATTTGTCTGGTTTATCCATAATGTAAGGCTCAATAAATAAATATATTAATTCATATAGAATTCACATTATTTATAGTTTTTTTTTTTAATTATGATTTTGTTACTGTTTTTGTATTACCAATTGCAATGGAGTTTGGAAATAGTTAAATCATCAACCTGCCCAGAGGCCGCAATTAACGTAAATATTATATAATATTTGCAATCAATGAACTTTAAAATAAATAACAAAACACTTTCTCTGTATTCTTATTCAAAATTCATTTTATTGTTCTTTAATTTTCATTAAAATATTTTAAACAATAAAATTGAAAATAAAATAATGAAAAGTGAATTGGATATTTTTTTTGGGAGGGAGAGGGATTTTTAGATCCGTCTTGCAAACAGAAATCACTCACATGTAACCATAAAAGGTTTATCAAAACATAGTGATATCAGTTGTATTATTTATCTACTTTCTCTGTTGTTTCACAAAACGTAGAAATATAAGAATACCAATTGTGGATTGATGGTTGGCTGTGGTGAATAATTGAAAAGAAGAATGTTCGGTGTGATCAGTCAAAAAAATTATTAAATGTAAATAATTATACTTATTTTTGCCGACGTTTTGGCCCAAAGTTCAGGCCTTCATCAGAGCTAAGAAAGGAACTAGATAACAATAGGTATGAGAAACTATAAACATTGTAGTTAAAATCACTAGCGGATCCAGGATTTAATTTTGGGGGAAAGGGCTTCAGCCCGAAAGAAATAATGAATATTTTTTTCATCTATATAACGATAATTACTTTTGGGGAAAAAAAAGAAAGATACTAACTACCTACATGAAATGGTGTTTAAGTTATTCTTGAAGTCCTATTAAATGTAATTACACGAACAATAATACTTTTAAGAGATAATTTTTTACCATAAGCATGGTTACATTTTACCATTTTGGGGAAGGCTTCAGCCCGAAAGACCTTTTCTGGTAGTAATCATCCACTTTCCTGCTTGTACACAAAACCATTATGGAAACAAAAAAATTATGAAATGTTTTTTTCTTAGACGATAATTTTTATAAATTTGTTTCAGCCACTCTACTCGACTTTTGGCAGCCACAACCTTGAGGAATGTCTTGGGAACCAGGAATCTGTCTGAAATATTATCTGAGAGGGAAACTATTTCGCACACAATGCAGTCTGCATTGGATATCGCTACGGAGCCATGGGGAGTTAAAGTGGAGAGAGTTGAAATGCAAGTGATTTTTTTTTTATTGTTATTATTTCTAAGAAACTGGCTAGGATGGGGTTTGTGTTACATTTTTTGGACCTGTTGGCATGACCAGGGCTTGTTTTAGTTTTCATGAATTATTAATTGTATGTTTTGGCTGATTAGTTAAGTCACCCATTCTAATGTTTTTCAGTCGATTTTGATAAATAACGATACAAATTATTATTTTTAACAGTGAATTAATTATTGTAGGAAGTTAGTCGACTGTTCTACATATCATGGGTGATAAATATTCAGGACGCAGTCTTTTTTAAAATTTTTTATTAGTGCAGTGTTTATTAGTGCAGTACTTGAACACCCTCAGTGCTCAACCACGCCCTGAAGATGACCCACATGTTTGGGTTGAAAGTTAGCAAAAATAAAAAAATTTAAAAAATACTGCGTCCTGAATATTTATCACCCATTGAATTAATTATTTTAACATCAACGGTTTAATTTTGGATATTGGTATATTTAAATATTCGCTGTGATGAAAAGGTCTAAATTTTTAGGACTGGATTCGTTGTCACATATTCCAGAACCTGGTTATAATATACGACCCAGTAAATCCATAAATCTATTTCATATGCACTTGAGGAGAGGTTTGTAGGGTTTCGCATCATCGCATACAACCTCTTCTTAGATTTTGATGTGGCCTACTATGGCATCAATCATAGGGCTCTCTCTAATGTACTGAGGAAATTCTGGATACCTCAGAACCTCATTAGTCTGATAAGCATGGCTTTGAATGTGTTACACAAATTTTACGTTTATACAGAAAGAATACTGATAACTATCTATAGATCAATTGTGTGATAGAGTTTTACATCACAACCAACCTTTCAGATATATGAAACCCCTTCCGTTATATAGTCATAATAAAAGGTGGTTTTGTTGTAGTTCTTGAAACTTCAAAGTCACTTCTTTTTGGATTGTTGTAGAATCCTTCGTTTCTAGCATTGTTCATTTTCAATGCTGTCTAGATTTTCATACTGACCATTTTTATAACTTTTGAAGTAGAAAACTGTTATATTTAACCATATCTATTTATATTTCTATTAATTACATATCTATTTTACCATTATATTTACTGTTATAAAAATTTTAATTTAGTTAATTATTTTTGTTTTTTTAAATATAAATCTTACAAATAATTAGTTTTCAGTTAACTTAAATAAAATCACTACAACATATGTACATTTATTTTATCTATAAGATATATAATATATATTTATATAATATATTATATATATATATTGTTTATATATAATTAAATAACTAATATATATTGTTTATATTTTATATAGCCCTGAAGAAGACCTACAACATAGGTCGAAAGGTTGGACAATGCAATAAATACACTATTATATAAAATAACTGTCATGAATAATGAAGAGAAGAATAGTTGGACTGATCACCACAACTATTCTTCTCTTTATTATATAAAATAGTGTTTTTTTACCTGTTCCTACTACTTCCCTCTTTCCCCTATCCTTGTTGTCATGAAGGTAAGCCAAGAAATTTTTCTATTACAGAAAGGATGTTCGACTGCCAGTGCAGATGCAGAGAGCCATGGCTGCAGAAGCTGAGGCTACCAGAGAAGCTAGGGCCAAGGTTATCGCTGCTGATGGAGAAATGAGGGCTGCCAGATCATTGAAGGAAGCATCTGATGTGATTGCTGAAAGCCCAGCTGCTCTACAGGTATGTAATCCTCTTCTATTTAATGTAAAATACATTTAGTGAAATAGTAAATTTCATTAATATTTTAAGACCGACCTCTCTTCATTAGCTAACCCTTTTTTTGTGTATTGGTTTTAGCTTCGCTACTTGCAGACACTGAACACCATTTCAGCTGAAAAGAACTCAACCATTATTTTCCCACTTCCAATGGATCTTATCACTCCCTTCATGAGTTTAATAAAGAAATGAAAGATTTCCTCTTTTCTGTTATCCAAAACTACAATTTTGCCTTTCATAATTATTATTCTGTCTCATATCTTGATTGCTGTCTAACAACGATGTGTCTTTCTAATTGTATGTTTTTGTGTTGCATTAATCTATTTTTTTTAATAACTGTATGTTGAATTTCTTAAGATGTTCTGAAAATTTTTAAAAGAAAAAAATGTATGTATTTCATTAGTGTTCATGGAAGTTGTAATATACAATAGTATAGTTCCTTGTGTGATTAATGGAAAACAATTTGATAAAGAGGGTCTTCTTTGATATTTGTAAAGCACCTGTTAATTGTTTAATATAAAAATGTATTTCTTAATTGTTTGTGAGAACATAAATTTTTTGACTGACCACCTAAGCTTATGTTGTCATTAACTATGGTTCTCATTTTAAATCACAGGCTATTCACAGCTCCATAACTTGTTCCTTTGATTAAAATTTTTGAAATATAGCACTGGCATGTGTTTAAACATTTGAGCTCAAGATTTGGGACATATCAGTCTAGATCTATGGATCATGATTGAACATGATCACCAGGCCAACTAGGACCTTTACGTCTTGGAGCTGACCACCCATAGATGATACCACACGGTGGTTGTCTTAATTTTTTAAGGGCAAATCACTTCAAAAACATAATACTATCTCTTCTATCCCCAGTTAGTACTCACTCAGTGTGTTTATAAGTATAAATTGAGCCTCATCGTAAAGTTATATAGAGATCTTCTGAAAAAAATAACTCATTTGTTAAGAGACAGACCCTCTGTATCATATAAGCTTTTTAATGTTATTAGATTTCTGAGGTAATAAGTTTGGTTTGGATAGCATCATTCTTAACTTAAATGCTAATGCTCATTTTAAAATTGACTGCTCCAATTTTTTTATATTTTCATTGTTCTCATTATATCTTATTTTTAAAAAAATATTCATTGTGATTGATCCTATTTAGATACTGGCACATGTTAGTTTGACCTTTTGTATTATTAATTATTGTCATCGCTTACCAATGTTTTCAAATCTTGTTAATACTTGTTACCTTTCACATTTATCTGTTACAGTTTAGTATTTAGTATTGTAGTAATTTTCAACATCACTTAAATGTATTGTTTTCAAATGTATAGTTAAACATTACCTTATTTAGATGGATATTTGAAAACAGTTAAGATGGTTACAAGAAGAATGGGAAACTTAATGGTTTATGAGTATTGACATTAGATTAATGAAAATTGTTCACTTGTTACTACTGTACAAGATTTAATATTTAATCAAGATTTATTGAAAATTGTATTTAAATTAATTTTTTCATTCAACTGGTGTTGAAAAATTACTTTATTTATATGGAAGCTTTAATAATCTCTTAAAATAAAGCTTTAATGTCTTTATTAAGTAATTATGAAATTATATTTTCACAAGGATCAGAATACTTCGCTGCAAACATATAGAAGTGTCATGGTAAGCTCTAGAGGTTTGGCTTACATGATGATCAACATCATGTACTTTATAAAAAAGTCTTTTGTGTTAGGCATTGAATTTTTAGTTTGTATGTTCGAGAGAGTTTGTATTATTGTAAGTCTGTTATAATCTTTAAATTTTTATAAAACAAAAAATGCTCACTACTGAAAAAAGTGGTTCTGTGCTGAAGCCAGAGATGAACTTGGTGCTCTGCACTCCAGATATGGACATATCTTAAGCATATCCTCTCATAATCAAAGATATCCTTATAATATACTGTTTATCTGTTGTTTTAAAAATTTATAAACAGTTATAATTATATTATTTAATATTTGTTATTGAAATATTGTAAGTTCTAATTATTTTTTAAATATTATATTATTTTTTTCTTTTACAATTATAATTTAATAAAAAATATTAAGTAGTATTTTAGTTAAATCTCAACTTGACTACAAATTGTTTTCACTCTAATTTGTGTACTATTCTTTGCTTCAAATTTAATGCAAGGGAGTACCATAATCAACTAGAATAATATAACTAAATGTTAAGAAAAGTATAGTTTTGAATTTTTTATATATTATTTGGATTTATTATGTTTATATTATTGTATTTCCTTCTTGATTCAGTTCCTTCTTTAATCTATAAAATCCAAATTTTTTATTCAAATTAATCATATTTAAATATCTTATCCTTTTAATTGATTCCATATTGAAAACAGTGATTAATAGTTTTAGGGATCTTAGCATTTTTATTTATAATTATTCTGCACATTTTTATTGAAAATTAATTAAATTTACTCTAATGTTTTGCACTATTCAAGAGTGTTCCCAAACATCTTATTTTTATTTTTAATTGGTAAACAAAGTATTATTATTCAAGACTGATTATAAATGTTATTTTATTTTGTTAGATTCTTATATTATTCAGTTCCTTAAAGACTTATGAAGTTTTCCAGTTAACTGATGATATATAGTAGTAGACATTTAAAAGTATATCTTTAGATTGCACTTTCCATACTAGAGTGAAGATAAGTTCGGTCTGATTAGTTGAGTGTAGTTGTAAGAATGTTTCATAACAATTCATCAACTTATATCGCATATTTATGACAATCTATTAAGAGTTGAAGTAAATAAAGGTTCTCTACTTTATTTAATAAAGCTCTCTTTATTCTCTTAAATGCTGTTATTGTATTACACAAGTCCTTAGCTTGCTGTTTAAGCTTTTATCCTTTTTATTATTATTCCCATCCAACTTTTATACATTTTTTATATTTATTTTTATTCAGAAATATTTGTTGCTCTTATAAGACAAGTGATATCATAGCAATAAGCAGTCTGGTATGATAATGCAGTCTGGGGACCATTAATGTAACACATTCATTTTATGCATTGTTTCAAACCTAACAATACCCAAAATTTGTATATAAATATTACTATAAGATTTGGGTTGAATCATCATTAAACTATGTTTCCATCCATAAACCACATAATAAGGAAATTAGTAACACATATTGCTTATCATCACCTCAGCTGATTTGAATGAACTAAAGGCTTATTTTTATTAAATTATAAAAATATGATGAGTATGTTTTATCTTTTTCATTGAATAAATTTCAAGAGTAGTATAATTACCCTTTAATTATAAATTATTCCTCTTAACCATTAAAGTATGGAGTTTTTAATATTTTTATTCTTTGGTCTTTATAATGATTTACGGTCATCTATTTTACTTTTACTATTCACCAAAAAAGAAAAAATGCCTCAGCAGCCAGCCGAACATTTTGTCTGTTTGTATTGCATCTTACATGTATATTTTTTTAATGCTCTTCTGATGCTTCTCTTCGAAATCAAAATAAATTATTCTATTTCCTTATCAAACTGGCTGCTATCATTGATATTTGTGTTGGCTGAAAGCATTGGGGCAGAGGTCCCCAAATACCTGGTTTGAATAGGTATGTGTTTGATTCCTGCTTAGATCAGTTTATATTTATTTTATGGAGGTCTCAGTGAATTGAATCTTGACATTTTCATTCAGATTAGTACTGGGCTGCATCATTTTGGTAAACCTCAGGTCTTAAAAAGGATCAAAATGTCCACTTGTCTGACCAGTTTCCACCAGGAATTTCAGTTCCAATAATGCTACATGAAAATTTTAATTAACAGTTGTTCTTTTTTCCATCAATTCATTTCTTAGACAAGAGATAGCTAAATAACTTAGAAAATGTTTCAGCTGAATCAATGTAAATATTAGTTTCCAATTTTATATTGCATATCTTCAAGTCATTAGAGGGTTAATCTGATTTATTTAAAATACAATTTTTTTTTGTATGATTAAGAATTAATACATAAATGATAGGATACTAAAACAGATTTTTTATTATAATTTTAGCCTAGTTTAGTGTAAATAAGGGAACATGGTTTTAACTTTTTTTGCATATAATTATTGCATTTATTATTTTGAGCTCTTGCTGTTATTTTGTATACCCTTAAACTGATGAGCACCTATTGTAATTTCATTGACTTGACAGACCTGATTTACTTTAAACATGTTTATAATATATTGCAAAATTATACAAACTTGATTCTTTTTCAAAATCAAAATGTTTTCTTTGTTATTACAGCATAGCTGTAGTATAATTATATGAGTAGGTTTTTGTATTTGTATCTTAAATTTTATTCAACTGTTATAATTTGTGAAATTTTGTTTGTATATATACCTAGTGTGTGTAAATATACATATATACACTGGTAGATAATAAAAATGGAATACTTTTATTTAGGTTCAACTTATCGATAACTATTACATTACTTTATTGAAATTATCTTATTTTTCGAATTCTATAGTGGGCCTATAAATAAAATGAATTGTTTAAAATATTGCTAATTAATTTTAATATTTCTGGCATTTGAGATAATGTATTCCATTTTTTATGGTTATAGAACCGATGAAATGAAAGTCTTAACTCGTTAGTAATAAACTTTAATTTGATCCTTTCGTCTTAACTTCTATTATTTTCTTCTCCAATGTTTCAAACTATTAAGCAAATATAAATGAGGATCTTATTATAATAATAGATCATTGATTATTATAAAGTTCCTGGATAATAACCCGAAATGTTAGAGAGGAAAATAAATGAAGTTAAAGCGGAAGGCGCCTATTAAATCAAGTTTCTTATTACTAATAAGTCTTAAACAACCACAAAAATTTATATATATATATATATATATATATATATATATATATATATATATAGATAGATAAAAGTGTTCAGTTATTTTTGTTTTAATTTATTACTGAACTGAATAATTGAACTTAAACTTGTATAAGACTCTGGTAATGCTTATTTCATTAAAAGTTATTATTCATCAAGAAATTTGTTTATTTAATTATATTGTTAAACTGTTTTCTGAACCAGATAGGAAATAAAACAACTATTGATTGTCATCGAAGTGGCTGCTATCATTGTTCTTCATGTTGAATATACTTCATGAAAATTAAAAATCAAATAAAAAATGTCTATACCGAATTTATTTCATGATGACATGATAGACAACCAAATTGTATTTTAACTTAGGTTTTCTAATTGTAATGTTTTTATAATTATATTGTGAATTGTAGATTTGAGCAAACAGATATGTTTTTTTCTTTTTTGGCTAAATGTTTATCAAGAAAGAGAAATGAATTGACAGCTGTATTTAGTCCACGTATTTGAATTAGATTAGATATTGGCCAGACCTGCTGTAGTTAGACCTTTAATGAAAAGGAAGTTGATCCCACTTGTTTAAAAGCGTAGCACACATAACAGAGTTCTATCCTTTGTTTTATGAATTTGTATGACCTTTTTTCTGATTGTAAAATAAATTTTTTAAAAGTAAATAAGAAATTAATTTTTTTTTCCCCTCTTACTGAGCACCCACACATCTTATCATACTAAATAAAAATAGACCCTTTTTGAAAGTTAAGTTTAAATAACTACTCCAACACTTACTAGACAAACGCTCTAAACTTCCCCTTAATTACAAAAGACTCATATACTTGACTATAATAAGACCTATTTGGACTTACGGAGTTGAGCTATGGGGCTCCACTAAACTATCGAATTCCTCTCACATCCAATCCTTACAATCCAAAATCCTTCGTAAAATCCTCAATGCTCCTTACTTTGTCACTAATAAAATAATCCATAAAGACATCAATGTTCCATATGTTTCCGATTTGGCCAAATCCAGATACCTATCCTTCCATAATAAACTTCATAACCAGCCGAATCCTCTTGTTTCTAACCTTGCTTCCTCTTCGATTCCTGATAACCCTCCGAGGCATCTGAAAAGAAGATGGCCTCGTGATCTTCTCATGTAGACAAATTATTAGAGTGCTACCAGTAGGTAGTTTCTCAACAAGCGTGTTTCATGTAATAATATTTCTCTGTACAAATTTACTAGATGTATTCATACTAATATAGTTGTAAATATCATAATAAAAGTTAAAAAAAAAAAAAAAAGTTTAAATAATTTAATTACGAACTATAAATTATATCTAAGTAGAAAGATTTCAACCAAGGATTGATTCAAGAACAACCAACAAACAATTTTTTGCCTTAATGATTGGTTTGATAAATGGTTAAGAATTTTGTTTATTTATATGCTAGGACTATCAAGGTAGAACCTGTTGACCTCATTCATCAAACTAAACTATTTTTAATTTCTTTTGTATCTCTTCTGTTCAAGAACAACCAAGAGAAATTTTGACAGGGGTTATTAAATCAACTGATAATTGTTTCAATCTATGGGTTTTCTTAACATGTTTGGCTGGACACCTTGGCCTTAGTTTATTAAGATTTTCTGTAGTAAATAAAACAGTTTTAGTACTGAATAATTGGGAATGCCCTTAAAACTGTTTTCATAAAATAAAAAAAAGGAAAAATTTACATGATATTGTTTGTGGTCTTCTGAGTGACAATAAGCATACCTCTTATCATAGTATTTTTATTTGTGGTCAATTTTATGTTTATATATGTATATATTATAATATTACAAAGTTTCTCCAATCGGCATTTGAGTATTATACTTTAACATAATTATTTAAATTGGGAATTAGATCACTTTATTATAATTCAATAAACTACAAATTAGTCATTGATCCTTGTGTTTAGTCCATGTTATGATCTCATTTTTTATGCCAATAATGGGATCCCCTTCAATGCTAGTACAATAAATAGGATGTTAGGATTAGAGGTAGTTTCTACGAGATTGAGAGAACCGTCCAGAGAGGATGCCCACAGGGCTCTGTTCTTGGTCCTGCTCTATGGAACTTTGGGTGAGCTTTTGGGGGTATTAGAAGAGCAGCGGTTCTCAGTAATGGCGTATGTTGACGATTTGGCCACTGTGGTGGCATCCGATAGCAGAGCAGGGGTCATACTGGAGGCAGAAAGATGCACTAACTTGATAGTTTCATGGTGTGCAAGTAGGAGAATGAGGATGGCTGCTGCCCAAACCCAAGTAATCCTACTAAGGGGCACGACTGAGAGGGAACAATCAATGAAGGAGATTTGCCTCTTCTCGTCACTGCAGATAACTACCCATACTACGAGGCAATCGTGTCATGGGTGGAAGGAACAATAAATAAAAGCCGCAGCCCATTTCAATATTGGAGTAAGGCGAAGACATCTACCGTCTCAACCTGGAGTCACTCCAAGATAATAATACAAAAAACTTATTTTTGTATAAAAAACGGAATCCCGTATTGTTTCAAATAATACACTGAAGCAATTGTTGTTCAAGCGATTTATCAGCTCGAAGAAATTTGAAGTGTGCAAATTTCTGAAAGTACCGCTCGGGGAACATTAAATGAGTATGGATTAATGGCTTTTCGTCCAGTAAGAGGACCAGAGTTGACCAGAACTCACAAAGTAACACGGCTGGCTTTTGCTCGAGAACACAGCCATTGGACTATGGACGAATGGAGTGCTGTACTTTTTACAGATGAGTCAAGATTCGCTCTTCGATCTCCAGATGGGTGTGAAAGGGTATGGAGAAGAAGAAAGGAAAGATATGCAGCCTGTAATTTTTCCCAGAGCCAACCTTTCCAACGTGGTTCCTTAATGGTGTGGGCTGGGATTTCAATGGAGCGCCGCACAGAATAGGTTGTTGTTCGTGGAGGGTCTTTGAGGGCCATTCACTATGTAGATGAGATTTTGGAACCTCATGTGTTGCCTATCCTCAACGAAATCGGCAATCATTCTATTCTAATGCATGATAATGCACGCCCACATAGTGTTCCTTCAACAGAACAATATTGAGGTTTTAGCCTGGTCAGCACGTTCTTCAGATTTGAACCCCATTGAGCATTTATGGTATAACCTCGGAAGACGAATAAGAGTAGTAGTGAAGTAGTGAAGGCAAGAGGAGGAAACACGCGCTACTAAACGATGATGTAATTAATTTCTTTTAGAATAATAATGGTTCGTTTTTCAATTTTTTTTTTCTCTAATCTTTCTTACCCAATCACATTTTGATTATTAAAGGTAAAAAAGATTATAAAATTCCATAAATACTAAGTATTATCTACAAATACCATGTATTATATACAAATATAACTTTACAGAAATATTTTTAGATGAAAACATGGAAAAATCAAGTGGGTGGAATTTTTTGCCTGTCAGTGTATATTATGTATATATATGAAATCAACAATACTAATATCAAATTTTAAGAACACTGAGAATGGGGTATTAAAAACTGTAGCGGCCTTCTTATCACTGCCTAATCTAAATGTGATCTCTAATGACAAAAAGGTTTCTCACCTATATAATCCACAAAGGTACTTGGTTTGTGGAGAATCGAGCAATAGATTAAGAAGATTTACCTATCTCACATATACCAAAGAAAACAGAAATTTTAATTTTTTTCATTTAGCCACTGGATTGTGTTTTTCATGCTAACCTTAACTTTTATTCTCTCTAATTTCAACTAGAACTAGAAGTAAATGAGCAGGAAACTGTTTAGATGCTAACTTTAAGAAAACTAAGTGGAAGAGATGAACGTGCCTCAATAGATAAGCACACTTTGAAAGCGGTCAAAACATTTAGCAAATGTTTGTGTTGATTATATAAAAGAATGAAATGGTGGAGAAACTGAAAGAAAGGAATAAATGCTGTTTTGCCATATGAAAAATAAGTGATGTTGAAATTCATTAGTTCTACTAATAAATGAATTTAGCTATAAAAAATAAATAAATAAAGAATTTCAATAATTATCATAAATACATTTAATAAGTAACTATTTCATCTTTTAAATAACAAAAAAATATTTTATGTGGAAATTTAATGAGTATTTAAGTTTAATAAAATATATACAAATTGAAGAAAATATTGCATGCAAGTAAGTATTGTAAAACACAGCCAACGAGAATACAAGCTGAAAACATATCTGTACTATACAGGTAAAAAGTCATGAGTCCAATAGTAGCTTTTTAAGAAACCATCTAACTAATATTTAAATTTTTTCTAAGCCACTATTTTTTTTTTTAATAAATCTTATTAAACTAACTGGTTTAAAATACATTCAAAATGATCATTTAATTGCTTGTAATGGAAAAGTAAATTATGTACCTTCCTGTGAACTTCGGATGGCTATATGCCTCCAATTAAGCATGGAGGATATGCTGACAAAACTTGGACTTTCAACTGTTTACCTCTGTGTCAGAAAATTACAATTTAATATCCTTAATGCACAATAAGTGCTAACTTTATATGATTGTCCAATACATCAACAGTTAACCAAATGTGCTTAGTGAAAATAGTTACCTGTTAACTAAAATCTAACTTACAACTGACATTTATCGATTATTATTATTTCCATAAAATATAATTGTAAATATTCTAGTGAAAATATAATGCTGTTACATTGGTACTTTTATATATTTTATAAACTTAGGTGGAGACTAAATGATTGTTAAATACAACATAAAAATAAGAATAAAAGTGAAGACTAAAATAAAAAGGAAATTATTACAGCAGGACTAAACAGCGGGAATGTATAAGAATCCTGATTTTTAAAAAATACTGCAATCTCCAAAAGATACTTAAGGTATAATAAACTGCCATTTAGTCATTTGCAATTTGAAGATTATTGATAAAATCAGTGATTCACATATATATAATCTCTAATCAAAAAGTAAGCTAATGGTGGATTATAACTAAATAAAACATCGCTTTGAACTTATTTTTGGAAACCATTCTTTTATACATAAATAGATATTAAATTTCATTTATTGAAAAATTTATATTTCATATTTTACAACAAAATAGTGTTAGCTTGATGAAACTAATTAAAATCAATGATGCTTTTAACAATAAAATTATTATCAATAGTTATTTTAACATTTTACTTTTGTTTTTTTTTACTTTAAAAATCAGATTTAATTTTTATTTAAATCAAAATAAAATTTAAGTTCTATATCTTTTAATTTAAAAAAAAAATAAACTACTATATTTCTTTGCATAACTAATCTTTAAAAACATGCATTGTAATGTTTTATCAAACAAATTGATTTTGTCTGTAATTTACTTTTCTTAAGCCATCATGTCAGTTTAGGAAAAGATAAATGAAAACCTATGATAATTATATGAACATTGTTTCTTAATTTATTGTACATTTTTATTTTTCATTTATGTATTGAATTAAGACAAAATTTAAGAAATCAAAAAATAATTTAAGAAATCATTGAGTCATATTTCAAAAAAGATATTCTATCACTGATTTAAAATTATTTACTATTATTTTTTTATGAAAAATAATATCTAATTTTTCAATTAATATTATATACGTACATATATTTTTAAAAATCGACTAGAAAAAATAAAAGCTCTGATTATGTTATTTCAAGATACAAAATAATTTTAATTTTTCAATGCAAATATTATTTCTATATACAGAACATTCCTTAAATCTTAAACTGAATGGATAATGATAAAGCGATGTAGAAAGCACAAATTAATTAGTTGTAGGCAGGAATAATAATCTTAACAATTCTTATAAAACATACAATCACATTATCACTCACTATAATACTTATGTTTTCTACATAATATATACATATAAATGGTTCTTACTAATTATATATACATCATGTTTCATTAGGTACCACCTATCACCTATCATTAGGTATCACCAATAGAATGATATTAAATAATAAACAATCAGAAACTTAAATGACTTTTCTGAAGTGCTGTTAGAAATTATTTTAACCATTTAAAAAAAAACTAAAATTGAGATCTTGAATGTCAGCAGTCAGAGAATCATTGGACTCTTTTACATAATATAACAAAATTATGGCAAATTTAAAATACTGAAAAGTTTTTAGAAAATAGATTAAGTATGATGATGAATTCTATATTAAAAAAAATCTAAAATATTTAGATAAATACATAGTCTGGGGTGACTACATTTAAAATTTATATTAGTGTAGGAATTAATACAATAGTACCTAAAATACTAGTACATAATCACATAAGATCTAAAAAAGAATATGATTTTTTTTCTATTTCGAGTAAATGTAATATACACAACATTAATATAATTCCTCTATTGTTTTAAAACTTATTAGATAGATATTTATTCATGATCTAAAGTAAAAGAGCACAAAATATAAAAAGTCACGACTCAAACCAAAATTAACAGTAATAAATAGTAGATTACTCGACAAATATTAATATATACAGTTAAAGAAATATATTTAGTCATAAAATTATATCAACCAGTAGAGGCCAAAGAGAATAGCTGCCTCCAACATACTATAAATCAAACTTCTGAGAAGAATGGGGTTTCCACAAACTAAAATACTTATAGCTAGCAATTTTTAAAAGACATTATTCAGGATTTGTACTTTTGAAGAGTGAAAATCTGTAATATAAACAAGAATAGATAATATATGTTTCAAATAAATTTCTAGACTTTAATTAATCAATCGTGAACTAAATCTATATCACATGTTCTCAAAAAATGTTCTCTACCACAGTTGTAACAGCAAATTAAAGTTATTATTTTAGTACAAGTGAAATACTCATCTCAAGTGGAATGGAATTATAATAGGATGTATAAAAAAAAATTACCGTTTTATCAAATTCAAGATTTCAAAGGACTAAATATTTTAATGTCATGTTTCAAAGAAGAAACATGACGGTGTCCTATGAAATTCTCATAATTTTAAAGCATTAGTGGAAACAAATTTCACAGGCGCTGAAGCAACTCATGAAATTATTAAATATGAAGGGGAAGGTGTCCTTGACCAGCGTACTGCGCAGCATTGGTTTGAAAAATTTAGCAGTTGAGATATGGCGTTGGAAAGGAAGAAGGGCTTCAGGTAACCATTAATGGATATTGATGAGGTTCTGCAGGAAGCTGCTGAGTCAAATCCATCCACAAGTACTCCTGAACTTGCCAAAGAGTGTGGTGTATCGAAAAATACTGTTAGTCGCCATCTACTCTCCATGGGAAAGGTGAAAAAGAGGAATAGACTGGTCCCTCATGAACTTATTCCTCAGCAATCAGCTAAGAGGTTAGAAATGTGTGAAAATTTATTGAAAAACCCTTCTGGTATGAGATTTTACCGGAAGATTGTCACCTGTGATGAAAAGTGGATTTACTGGCGAAATCCGAATACCCGTGAGCAATGGCTAGATCACAGTCAAATGCTTTTCCGGTTGCTGCAAGGTGGCAATTTGAAAAAAAATCCATGGTTTGCATGTCCGCACACTTCCAATCGAACCTAAGAAAAGTTTAAAGAACTTCATGGGTTCAAACTCCTGCCTTATCTACCATATAGTCCAGAACTTGCACCACCAGATTACTACTTATTTAGATTCATGGCCAATTTTCTCTAAGGGAAAAAATTTGATAATTTTGCAGAAGTTGAAATTGCAGTCACTGAGTTCTTTGACAGCCATATCAAAGAATAGTATCAGAGTGGAATCGAGCAATTGGCTATCAGATGGCTAATGACAGATAATAATGGACTATAATTTGAGTATTAATTGTATTTTATATTAAAGAAATAATAATACAAATTTGTATTAGAAAAACAGTCATTTTCTTTTATACACCCTATTACTATTACTTTTAACAGAAAATCTATTTTTCCGAATTGTTTTGATATATCGTGGTGACAATATTAAGTGTTTCTTAGCTTATGTGATATACACACTAAAAAAGTGTAATGTTAATGGTAAGGTATAAATGTAATATTAATATCTTATAAATTAAACTTCTTCTACATATACAAGCATATAACATATATAAATAATGAACTGACATGATAATACCATCAATCAGTCTAAATCATACTGTTAGAAAATTTGTAATAAATGATAAAAATCTTTGGAATAAAAAAAATATGGTGATTATGAGAGTTCAAAGCCAGTGTTGCTTGATATGGCATATTTCAGTTTGTCTCGTAATGTAGCCTTCCTCTGGTAGTTAGGTAGTTTGAGAAGATTGAAACAAGTGGAAGAAGTTGGCAACCTATGTTGGGGATCTCTCTTTCGGATAGTGAAAAATCCTCTTATCACGCTCCCTGTGATAAATAAATATTTACATTTTAATTTTCAAAATATATCTATATTGAACTAATAAACAAAAATCTATGATTATATATATATATATATATATATATATATATATATATATATATATATATATATTTATCAATTATGTGATATTCAATATAAATGTTTCTAACAGAAACTATTTGGAATTATTAAATATTACAATTTAACCAAATAAGAAAACTGAAAAATGGAGGAAATGTGAACATTATGATACTGTTAAAGGTAAAGATTCAAGTTAATACACCAATCATTAACAAACACATCATTACTTTCCACTTTTATACATTTCATATGTGTTGAAATTTATCAAGTTAAAAACATAACCTACCAATAGTATCACCAGTATCCTCATCATCTCCTACTTCAACACATCTTATAGAAAATGGTGGTTCCAAATGGGCGAATCCCAACAACGGAGGCTTTGAACAGCTTGTAACAAACTACAAATATACCATTAATATTAAATTAATTCATAGATTAGGAAAAATAATAAAAATGTATTCTGCATTGCTCAATCAACAATGAATCAATTTAAATTGATTTTTAAAGACGTTTTCAATATCAAAGTACTTTAAAAATGAACAACAACTTTCTTAAATAAAAAATAGATATTAATTCAATATTGCAGCTAATTTACAAATAGTTTGTAAAACTAAAAGAAACACATTAGTGATACATACTGTTAAATTTGAAAGTGTTATTTTTATTTATATTGTAAATTAAGTTTCTAAAAGTTATAATTTATACTAAGAAAACTTAATTAAATGATCAGCATAATTTACCTTCAAGAAGAGACGCCTTTCTTCTTCAGAAAAATCTTTCTGTAAGATGTCCCAAAGCCAAACGACAACCCTATGAGAATCGTGAAAACCACCATAGTATTGGGTATGTCGCCGCAGATCACTCATGTCTAATGGTACATTGTCACCCGATATCAGTCTTTGAAGCTGTAAAATATAGAATCAAACACAATTACACAGGACAAGTAAGAGCTGATGTGATAAATGTATTTATATGCTGAAAGACCTTGACACAAGAAGGTAATTCCACCATCAATCTTCAAATAAATCAGCAAGTCCAGAACTAAACATGTTTTTACCCAAAGATACCTGGCATTCATTAACATAGGTTCTATTAGCCGATCATTTAATGTTACTCATATTACTTAACTCACAGGAGAGGACCGATGTTAAATTTGTGCCTGGTTAAATCTGACCATTTGAAACAGCAATATTGTCCACACACAAAACCACATTAAAATAAAAATGAAAAAAATTGGATTTACTGATTTTTGCATCAAGGCACTCAGTTATAAAATCAAAGTATATAATAAGGTCCTCAACATGTAATTAAAGTCATATTAAAAGAATTATAATCAATAGGTCCAAGAAAACAGAATATAAAATTCAGATCAAAAATAATTACACATATCTAGCAGAAATATTCAATATTTATAGTATCACATACTTGTGTCCTTAATTGTATATATTTTTTTCTTGAATTGAACAAATTATCAATGTCCAAAATTTATATTTGATGCTGAATTGATCATTTAAAAAGCTCAAGAAATATAAAAATTGTTTAATCAAGACCATGATGGAATGAGTTCCTCAAGGGACTGCTGAAACCACAAAAAATGAGTATTCAACAGAAATAAACTATGTTGCAAAAATTACTTTTGTTACTTTTTTATTTTATTAATATATATTTTTTTTTTTTGGGGGGGGAGAGGTCTAATCGTGTTTAAAATATTGGATAGGATGTTTAATAAAACAGGGAAAAAATTGCTTGAATTCAATATTAGTTATTACTAATTCGAAAATGTATACTTGATATACATAAGAAGAAATTAAAAACACAAATTTCAAAAAAAATTAAAAAATAAATAAAAGCAGACATTGACATTCTACTTTGTTAGGTATCAATAAATTAGTTTGATTATTAATTGTATCAAGTTAATTGTACAATGATGCTTTTCAAGATCTAACAATTTGATGTGATATAATTAAAACAAAGCAATCTTACTAGAAAATAATACATGTTTGTGAAATTAACAACATTCATATAATAGATGACATAATTAGAATGACTGTTAAGTTATAGTAAGTAATTATACCTCTGGTGTAGAGAAAAGAAATAGCCAGTCAGGATTAATGATAGAGCGGAAACCACGGATAAAGGCTGAAGTCTGTTCTTTGATCTGAGTGTGCATCCGGAAATGAGCCATCAAATGTATGTAGTTTATCCTAAAATAATTAAAATTTACTTCCTCTGATGATTTTCTTGGGAAAATGTTACTCATTCCAAACAAAACATTAAAAATTTTGAATTATAAATAATTATATATGAAAGGATAAAATTAGTTAAATATCACAAAAATTCTTTTAAAAAAGTCTTAAAATGTGTTATGTTATTCTATTTTTATTTTTATGTTTTCAAGACATGTATTTGTAAAGAAACCTTGACAGAATGAACTTTATTCATTGTCTAATACATGTTACACAGGATAATCAGAATTATAAATACATATAATTATATATCTACCAACCTAAGTGACTCATAAAATAATACATCCAAAATAATTAGAAATTTCAATTTTCAAAAACTAAAATAAACTAAAGCAAAGATAGATGCAAATATCTAACCATTATGGGAAAGCATGTTATTTTAGTTGCCAAAAGTTTTAAATATGTTTTTGTAAAAAGTTGCTTACTTATTATGGTTGTTGACTGGTAGAGCCCTTCCTCCCGGTACCAATTCAAAAGTCACCAGCTTCCCCATGAAATCATGATCAACGGAGAATGTCAGGTCCAAATCACTCACGTCCCCATTATAATGTTTGACGTAAGTTAGGGACCTGTATAATTCTTTATCAAGTGATGGGAGCTCATCTATAGAAGAGTAGAGAGCCTCTTGAGTTTGACCAAGAGTCTGGCTTAGGAAAAATGAAGCAAATGGCACATCCACGACAATACCCTAGGGGGAAAGAAAAGATAAACCATTATTATCGACTAATTTAATATTAATTAATTTACCAACAGGTTCAACAATTATTATTCATAAAATAACGAAAAGTAAAATGGAAATTTCTTCATGTTCACTTCTTTGAAAAATAATGTTAAGCACTAAAAAAAATTAAATAACTTCTTCCCAGGGCTGGATTTGGTCCAATTAGTTTAAAGTCTAATACTTAATACTAGTGTTCGTCCAGTGGTCAAAATTAGACCATAGCCATTAAAAATTTGAGGAAAAGATATAATTAAATAAAAAATAAAGTAAATGAATAAAGTGTAAATCACGATTCAAAAATCTTCATTTATTAATACAAACAAAATTTCAGTTTCAATTAAAAATCGAGCGCGTCATTTAAAATTATTTATAAGTAATACAAAATACACTCATTCAAAAATATTTAATTTTAATGGCCCATTGCCATTGAAAATATAAATTTCAATATTTTAAATGAACGTGCTCTAATTGCTGCCACATATAATTGTCCATGCAAAATTACTGGACGTCACAATAATATACACATTTTTCCAAAACTTTTATCCTGCGGTTTGATTATGGTCATAGCAAATGCAGCTATTAATAGGAACGTTGATCTTTGAAAGTCAAATGTAAGTAGTGTCAGAAAATGTTAAATTAATTCTTGGAATTAAAATTCTTTAATTTAAAGTAGCCCCCATTAATATTACAGTCTCATTCCTGTTCCATTAACTAATGCTTGTGCAGTATTTAAGTTAACAATGAGTATAACTATAAAAAAAAAAATTTAAATTTAATTTATTAGGTATCATTCCACTAGTATTACATGATATCATCTCTTCAAATAATAGACCCAATTACCTCAGTAAATGAAAAGTTTTCGATTTATCAAAAAACAAAATAAAAGAAACTGAACTTGGAAGGGAAAGAAAACATACTAAATGTTTAAAATGATATATCTCTGCAACAAATAGTCCGATTTCGATGATTTTTTTTTTCATTTTGTAGGGAATTCAGAAAGCTTTCGAATAAATATTGGGATTATCGATAAAAAAATGTGTACTTTTTGAGTTATTCGCAAATAAAATACTGAATTTATCATAAAAATGTATGCAGCTTGTTTTTGGGAAAGTATGTTAAGTACATAAATTATAAAGGTTTAAAGGGAAAGACTTTAGCCAAGTTTCATTGAAATCGTTAAAGCCGTATTGGTGCTACAGTCTAAAGCGAATCACGTTTTTCGGCCGCCATTTCGAAATGATAATGATAATGCCCGATTATAATGAAACGTATAGAAAAAAACTTCTAAATATTATTGCGACGTTGTGTCAAAATTAAAAAAAAATCGGTGAAGAATTTTCGGAGATAAGCCGTTTTGAACAAACTACCATTTATATTTTTATTCACATACTATTTAATATTTTTATTTATTGATAACACTAAAGCTCGTCAATATCTATTAAACAAAAAAAGAATGAAGAAAATCGGTTGAATAATAGAGGAGTAAAAGGGGCTGAACCGATTTGTGTTTGCCTATTTATATAATGATGATATAAATAACAATATATCATAACATAAATTAAATAATTACCTCATAGACTGCTTTTCCCAGCATTCTTCCAACAAATTCAAATAATTGTAAATGATTCTCATGTACATGAGATGTTGGAGATGGGTACAACCTTTCTTCAGATGTTGCTTTGAAGAGATTTAAAGAAGGATCAAATACACGTTTAATAGTCTCTTCCAAGAATTCTATAAATAATAATTAAAACAATACTATTATTAGTTTGAATAATAATAAATGAAAAAGATGATTATTTGAATACTTGTAAATTCATAAATTAAATTTATTCATAAATGCATAAACCATATTTGATCTACTGCATGATTAAAAGCTAAAAACAACAATTGGCAAGAAGTTTGTCCCAAAAATTTAAAAATCAAATATAATTTTAATTGGTCACAAATACTATAGTCATTTTTTAGATGAAATGAAAAGTAAGAACAGGTTGTTATCACAGGATATAAATAAACACTGTTTTGAGTAGTTATCCTTTAGTTTTGTCTTTCTTTAGGATTTGCAACTAACAAGTTGCTACAATCAGTGTGACACCGATTTCAACCAAATGTTTTTTTATGGTAATACTACATTGAAAAATATTTATTGTATTAGATGAGTTATAATGTTTCATAAATTGTAAAAACTAAAACATGCTTCCATTTAAGTGGGCATAGTAAATTTTTGTTATAAGATATATGTATTTTTTCTTTTAACCTTACTAAATGGCATCAAATTGGCTTGTATTTATTATATACCTTGATTTAGTAGAAATTAAAAGTATTGAACATCCTATCTAAGTGAAATAAAATCTTAATTCTTAAATCTTAATACAGCATAAAATACAAACCTTTGAAAACTCCATCTTGGTCGATACCTGCTTCATCCAGGCCCTGTTCGTTAATGAATCTAACCCTTATGACACCCTTTAGTGATTGAGCTGGCAGAGCAGCTAATTGCCTATAACCGTCTTCAACAATTCTTTTCCTAGATAAATTGGTAAAAATAAAATAGCAATCGAATTAAGAATAATAATTTAGTGTTAAATAATAATCGTAATTAATATTGTAAAGAGAAAATGATAGACTCCTTCAAAATCATCTCTCACACATCTTAACCACATTACTTTTTTACTATTAAATACTAATTGAAGAGTTTAATAAAGTAATCATCATTATTTTTCCTAATCGATAACTTTAATACCTGGTAATTCAAGCAGATTATAATATACTTTTTTAACAAATAATTATTTTTTAATAATTCAAAAAGTAAGATAAAAAGATAGTGATAAAAAACTGACCTATGGATAGTTATAAGAGTGGAGTGAGCAGCGGCACAGGCAGACTCTGTCAATCCCAACACTGCCTTCTCATTGGCCACGTTCTTTCTGAATAGTTGGACCCTTTCTGAATGAGGAATGATGTGCGGCATTTTGGCCAACAGCAACTGTAAACAACTTAAAAAATCAGCTTCAAACATAAACAATATGTGTATTTCATGTACAATAAAACTACACCACTGACAAATAATGTTCTAAAAATGTTCATGTTGAAAAAACAGCCAATTAAACATATATAGGAGGTTGAAATAATAATAATAGAGAGTCATTAAAATAACCCTTGTAAAATCATTATTATAAAAATAATTATTGTTTTATGAAAATTCATCATCCATTTATATATTCTTCCTAACATTTATATTTAAATAAATAAAATAATCATAAAGCTAAATAATCATCCCACACATATATATACACCTCAAACAGATCATTAAAAAAAAACTTCAAACTTTTCAGGAAATATATTTTTAAGTGTGTTAAGGATAATAACACAAACAAAAAAATCTAATAAATAAGAAAATATCATAAAATATTTCAATGATCCAAAATAAACGCAGGTTTTGAAATGTTAATTAACAAATAAAAAATATAATACACAAAACAATTTTGATTCTCAAAATAATCTCTGTAAATTAATACTATTGTAGAGGATATAAAATTTTGAAAAAATTGAACCTGAGCAGCTTTTTTTCCTTTGTCAAGGTCATTCAGAAACGAACTAATGCGAATTTCTTTAATGAGCCAGTGATTTGGTGGACAGTAAGACCTTCGGCTGTCTCTCCTATACAGGACCAGCAATAAGTTGTGGAGGGCATTGAACAGGCTGTTCCCACATGTCCCGGGCTTCATATCTAATAAAATAAATGAAAGTTAAAATTAAACATAAGCTTGACATTCTATCAGATAAGGTTGAACTTAAACTTAATAAATGGCAGTGAAACCATGCATTTTCACAATTGGGCACATGAATGAATAAATGTTTTTTTACATACCAAATAGATTATTCAAGATTCCTTTGTAGAGAAATATGTTGAGGAAACTTGACATACAGATAAAATCACTCAGCTTAAAGGGATTCTGTTCTTCATACATTTCTATGTCATCTAAAATACTTCAAAACAAAGAAGAAGAAAAACATTAGAGAACAAAAACAAAAATAAATGAAGTATGGATAATTCTATGCACTTCTGCCAATCAACGCTTAAGAATTCTCCGCTTGCAAAATTTTTTAAATGTAGAAGTAATATGTTCCCAGGAGCTGCTTTTATGGCATATCAATAACGGAGTATTCATTTAAAAAACAAAAAAAACAAAGTTCTATAAGCCAAACCCACTAGAATAATTTTTTTTAAGTTTGCAAATCTGGGAAGAATTTAAGAGATGGTTTACCATTTTATCTAATAGCACTTAACCTTTTCCTAAATACTTATTTAATTAATTTTCTCTAAAATCAAAATAAAAAGTAAAATTGCCTATAAAAATTAATTTAATTTAATTATTATATAAATAAAACTTGTAATTTTTTTTCAATAATGTTAAAACATAGTTTAAAGAACATTTTTTCTTTCCCTTTATTTTTAAAAAATAAATATTAGTTCTTTCCTTGTCATGACATCCATCCGAAAAAAAATAAGTTTGAAATAAAAAGTCCATTTGACTAAAAAGCATGACTGTACTAGTATTGATTGTATGAAGTTTAATACTTTAAAATAGTTATTATTATTATTGTTTAATGTTTAAATTATTATTATTTTTTAATATTTTTTTATTGTTTCATTAACCTGTTTAACATTAATTTTTTTTTGTATATATTACTGTACCATCGACAATCACTTAGGGATAAAATAATCTTCATAAAATATTCCATATTAACTAGTCCATCTGGGTACTAGTTCACAAGTACTCCGTATGGATCAGGTGTAGTTCACACTCATTTCAGTCACACTTGTTCAGGGAATAACCAACTTTTCCTCTTGCATTTCATGAATGGGTGAATGAACTTTTACGATTCCAACTTCCAGGAAAGTCTATGGTGGGAACATACGGATTTTAAAAAATGAGCGGTAAGGTAATGAATGGTGTGGCAAGAGCTAAGTTCCTAAGATAGTATTAGTCAGCCACATCCGACTGTTTTCAGCATTCCATGAACAGCTGTGACTGAAGTGATTGTGAACCAAGCCTAATCCCTGGAGAGCACTTGTGAACTAGTACCCAAAACCTAACCTAAATTTTTAACTCAAAACATGTGTATGTTCCAAACGTGATAACTAAATAGAGAATTAACAGTAGTAACCATAGCCGCCCACAACAATATGGCAGACCAAGGTGAACTCATGCAGTACTAAGTTGAAACTAATGCTCCATTCTTTAAAATGTAAGTTATAAGATATCAAAAATAAACAGATGAATTCTCATTTACACAAAGAAATAAAACAAACATGAGAGCTTCCCCTCTTGCGGACTATTCACATTTTCTCACAATCATATTCTTGTGGATAAACTATTTATTAATTAAAAATATACTCATCTATTTCAAAATAAAATGATATATATATATACATACATATATACTCGCTTATTAAGGTTTTACTCACGTTACATAATGCATCATACAATCACAAAAAAGAATAAGTGTTTGGAATTCAGCAGATGAGGCTATTTTGGCATTGTCAGATAAAGCATCAATAAACATTTTCAGTCCACATGTTGGTCCCTGTGATTCCAAAAATTTCCAAAGTCGGAAAAGAATTGATTCTTGATAGCAAAGACCTGAACAAAAAGCGCACTTTTAATTCAGTGAAAATTAATTACTCCAGTCATTCAAATGCACATTAAAATTTTCGGTAACATTTAATATATGTTTAATTATTATTAATTTAGTACCACTTTACAAGTGTACTCCAATGTAATGGATGAGCACACAGTATATGGAATTCTTGAAATTGCCAATTCTTGAAATATTGACAGTCGTGTTCTTGGGTCTAACCTCCCTTTGACTATCACCTACTCAATCAAAAGTGATAAGCAAATCTTTAACCGGTCCTTTTCAGTAGAGGTCCAATTTTAACAAGGGACTTGATTGCTTACATCTACTTTTGGACATACTCGGCCATTTTTGGTATTCCATCTATCATGTGATTAAACAACTTTTACCAACTACCAAGAATTCTATTAACATTAAAAATAGTCCCATATCTCCTCTAATACAGTTCCAGACAGACTTCTTTTACATCAACACATATATGTTTATTCTCTTAAACTTAATCAAGCCAGCCTCAACTTTGCTAATTAAAATTAGCATTTTGGTAAAATGTTGGATATGTAAAGAATATGGCGAAACACAACTAATGTTATTCAGGAACTGCACACTAATAATAATGATAAACACAACTTCATACATGGGTTGTAAGTATATCATCAATCTGAAAAGTCAACTTGTTAAAAAAAAAAAACCTACCACTACAACCCATGAAGGGTCTTGGATTCAGTACTATTTACGAAAGCTGTCTCTTGGTCTACGATTTGTGCAAGGAGGTGATTTGACCAAGATGCTCAAGAACTTGTTACCAAAAGAAAACAAATAACTAAAGTTTGTATAAAAATTTTCATATGGCAGTGAGTTCTTATGCAATAAAAACTTTCTCATACTGCACAGAGAATCATGTCACTAAGCAAAAATCAAATATACATTTATCTAAAGTTGATTTTCAACAAAATAGTATACTGACTACATATATTTCTTAAAATGTTTTTTTTCCAATTTTTATGACAATACCCAGCGCTGTGATACTTCAAATCATTTCATAATTTGTTTCTGACTAATAATTTTATTATATTTCATAACTCCTTTTTTAGCAACATTAATTTTTTTTTTTCTTCCTCACAATTATTTTTCCCCATTGCTCAATCAAATTTCAATTTGTTCCAAATATTATTAATAGATTTAAAGAATTTTGGTATATTTGTTTATTGTATTACACATTCTCTTCAGCAGATGAGAGTTTAAGAGACAAATAGCAATAATAAAAAAATACAACAAGGCTACAAAAAATATATATTACCTGTTAATATGTCAAGTCTAAGCTGGGTAAGAGTATTTAGGGCTGTGTAATAAAGAGAGCATACATTTGATACTTTCGTCAAAGGTGAGTCAGTGACACCTAGTTTGTATCTTACTTGCTTCCCAGCTGCATTGGTACGGTTCAGTCTGTTGTCTATTGCCCGTCTAGAGTTTAAAAAAATACAAAATTCAGAAAAATATTAAGATTCATAAAATAAATTAAAAAAAAAAAAATATTGATGGAAATGAGCTGCATATATGAAAAAAAAGTTATGTACCATATTGGATATCTTTTAGATTCCTACAGATTGATGTATGATTCAAATTTAATAGCTTATGATTAAAATAAATTGTAAATATCCTACTTAAGGAAATTGGAAGATGATAGACTACTACTCGAATCAGGAAGTACAGGTAAAGTATTCTCATCCAGGACCCTGCCAATGAGTGTTGAGATGAGTGGCTGAGACCAGAAAAGATACAGCTGCGTCTTCACGAACTCCATTGACTCATGAAGACCTGGGTCCATTGGCTGAGCGAACCAGCCAAGAACTGGATGCCAATGACTTAAGTTCGATTGTTTTGATCCAACGTATACTTCGCAGCACTTTAGCAATCTTCTTAATACATCCTACAACAAAAATAAAACACAAATAGCAATTAAACATGCATAAATTAATACAGATTATAATTTATTAACGTTATTATTGATTAATAATTTTATCATTGTAAATCATTTTAAAAAGATATGGTGTGCACATAACATAACTTTAACTTACCAACAAAGTCAAAGTGGAAATGTGAGTATAATTACATTTAAAAGAATTAATTAAAATGTTTTCCCGTCCATCAAATCTATTAAATTTATTCGTTTGCATTGTTTCTCATTTCCTTTTATGAATGTGTATAGTATCAAATAACACTAATGACTGTGGGGAAAAATAGATCTTTTGGAAATATTCTGAGTTTTATCAGAAACATTTATCACAAAACTCATTTAAAAAATAACGCTATCTAATAAATATTGTATATTATTAGGTTTACATTAGTAAATTCTCAACATTTCACAAGAAAACACTTTTTAAAAAATTATGGATAAGTGATATATAAAAGTTAAACTAACAATATGAAATACTCTCCAGAGGGCTATAGGGCATCTGTGAAGGAAAAGGATCGGCAAAGATCGAACACTCTTGGCTGTTTCTGTATAGCTTCCAATCCTTATTTTTCCTTTAGTTTCCAATAGTGTGAATGAATACTATAGCCCTAGTACCAATGCCTTTCAGTGTGGCAGACTGTATTAATACTCAATAAAACAATAAAAAAAAGGTTTCCAATAAATTTTCTTCATTAACTATATTTAACCATTTTTTACATCACTTGGTAATGTGAAATGGTTAATTAGTTCATATAAAAAAAAATTAAAGGTACTTTAGAGGAAGAAATTTTGAAAATTAGGCACTTAAACCATGCATTGATATTAAGAACATCAACAACAATAAGTTCTACATTATATTAAAAACTGCTCAGTTTTACACTGATATAATGAATTTAATTAAAATCATTAGAGCCATTTTCGAGAAAAATATGTAAAATCGGTAATATAAAATGGCACTTCTGGTTGGACGGTTTTGACGCAAAAGTTACAGTAACATCCCAGGCATGTACAAACCTTAAATACACAATTTCAGTTGCGAGGGACCTCAAACATATATTTCTGTTGAAAAATCAGATTCGAAAATTTTCACGATTGCAATACTTTCCCTTACTGTATATTACATATGTAGGTAAGTGAAATTAAAAAGCCTTAGACCATTTTAATTAACAAAATATATTGATTTGTTTTAAGACATAATAATATTTATTTCTTATTTATCACATTTATAATGAATATATTCTATTAAAAGTAAATATGTTAAGTTATAATTTCATATTTGAAAATTTTCAATGATAACATCTAAATATGTACCAATCGAAGAAAATTATAACAAATCAAATCAATCCTTAAGCATTATCCTGAAAAATTCAGCATCTTAATCTAAAGCAGATATCTATTAAGGAAATCGTCCACTTTTTTTCTTTTACACATGAGTAACAATACAAAGTAATAATATTGTATAACATACATTATCATACATAAAAAATTGACAATTAGTGGAACTTTTTTTTAAAATCAACAATACAATAATGACATGTCAGAAATTATGAGGAATAATACTCAATGGCATCTGTTCTGTATCATGAGAAAAGATGTCTCATGTCATAGTTCAACCAAGCTTTCTTCAACTTATCTTAATCATGCAGTTTTAGTAGTTGATGGGACAATGGGAAAAGAGTATATAATATTCTCAGCCCTGCTGGAGGAAAAGATTAAACAATAAGGAAGTATATAAATGTAGGTAAATATAAGTTTGTTTTTTTTTAAATTAATGATAGGGTGTATATGTTTGGCAATAAATCAAATCCAAGTAGAATCTATGTTTTGTTTTTTTATATTTAGACTCATCAGGGTACTAGTATTTAATATTAAAACTAAATTGAACATCTGAATCAAAGGAAACCTTGATTGAAAAGATTAAACAATAAGGAAGTATATAAATGTAGGTAAATATAAGTTTTTTTTTTTAAATTAATGATAGGGTGTATATATTTGGCAATAAATCAAATCAAAGTAGAATCTATGTTTTGTTTTTTTATATTTAGACTCATCAGGGTACTAGTATTTAATATTAAAACTAAATTGAACATCTGAATCAAAGGAAACCTTCAAGGAACTTTTTAAAGTCTATTTCTTACAATATGGAACCAGTAAAATTGTTATTTAGATATGATTTTTAAAGTTAAGGGAAGTATAAAAGATATCATGATTTGCATCTTCCCACCACCCATTAACTCCATATTTATTTTCAGAAGAATCAGAAAGAAACGGACTTAGAGATATAGAAAATAACTTCTTTAAACAGGTGATTTACAAGGCAACAACTAAAATAAACATGGATACGAATATTATAAGACCCGTCCCAGAATTAAAAATGCCGCGCTGGAAAAAAGACAGACCATTGATTAATAAATCCATGACTAAAATTGCAAAGGCATATCCGCTCGAAATACAAAAATCTTTTTTAAAGTTAATGGAACAATACAAAAATTTCGATTTTATATATACGGATGCATCCAAAGAAGGAGATAACGTAGGATGTGCTTTAGCGAGTAAAGAGAACAACTTACTGTTTAAATTACCTGGAGAATGTTCAGTATTCACAGGAGAGGCCACTGCCATCATGAATGCCTTATATCTTATAAGCGAATCTGAAAAGAACTACTGGGTAGTTGTGACGGACTCATACAGTGTTTTAACTGCCATTGAAAATCCATATTCTAGAAACTCCATAATTAGGGAAATTCTCAACACCTGGTGGAAGGTAAAAAATAAAGGAGTAACAGTTGTCTTGGTATGGGTACCAGCTCATTGCGGAATTTTAGGGAATGAAAAAGCTGACAATGCAGCCCATTTAGCAAGAAGTGGAGCAGAAGAAGAGGAAGTGACTAGAGTGAAATATATCACTTTAGAAGACTGGGTACACGAAATAAAGAAAAAACAACTGGCAGAGTGGGAAAAAGAGTGGAGGATCAAAGAGTGTAAGCTGAAAGAAGTGAAACCCAATTGCGATAAATGGCTCACTAGCAACAGAAAGTCCAGGCGTGAAGAAATTATACTGTGCCGCCTAAGGATTGGGCATTGCCAGTTCACTCATAGCTACCTTTTAAGAGGCCTAGAAGCTCCAACTTGCGAAAAATGTAACAATACACCGCAAACTGTGAAACACCTTCTAGTAGAATGTTCCCAATTCGAAAGGCTCAGAGAGAAAATAAAACTAGAAAAAACACTAAACGAAATACTAAAAGACAATGAAGAGAGAGTCTCTATCCTGTTTAAATTTTTAAGGATTATCAACTACTATAACAGAGTTTAAATTATATAGAAAACGCCAATGACCCTTTAGGGTAGAGGCGAGAAAAAGAGAAAAAAAAAAAAAAAAAAAAAGATATCATGAATAATCTGATCCTTTTTTTTTTTTTTGCGTTCTCCCCTTCCTCGCCTTTAAGGCTTTACGGAGTTTTCCTGGGTCGGGGGGTGAGGAGGAAGATTTATGAAAGACTCCCCCGGCACCGGGACGTGAACTCGTGACTATTTTTATCTAGTTATCTCATGTATCAGGTTGCCGGGAAATGACGATGCTATGCACACACGTTAGCCCATTCGGCTACCCCGTCTGTGTAGAATTGGTATTTTTAACTCACCAGAGTTTACTCTTAGAAAAAAAAAAAAAAAATTTAAAGTTTAAAGTTAGAATTATTTTGTTTAGTATTTTATTTTTACTATATTCTGTTGTTCGTATTCTTTCTTGCGTTTAATTTATTTTTGTTCTGTTCTTGATATCATATATTTTCCTTAACATTGTATTTATCATTACCATTGTACATAGTAAATTTATCTTGACAGAAATATGTACCTTATAAATAAATTAATAAAGCATTAAATTTAAAAAACAAAATAACTTACAGAAAATAAATGTACATCTATCTCAGTAGAAAGTATACTCCTTTGAAGATAAGTAATATGTATAATGTTTCCAATCAAACAAAGAGCATAACTTCCTTCTAGTGCATTAAACACTATCCTCATATCTTGTTCCACATTTAGAAGCTCCAAACTGTGCTGAAGAAAACCATTGGTTTCCAAAACTCCAATGCACTACAATGAAATATTTTTTTACTATAAAAAGATGCAAAAATCCATTATAATTTTAGAATTACAAATTACTTTTATTAATTTAGAGGTATTCATCTCCTAATTAAATTCAAATATTAAAATAAACTTTTTGTTAATAGTTTCTTCTTAGCATTAAAGTTCAGGCGACAATTTTAGCAATCATGAAGTTTTTTTATAAAACTAGCTAGGCTGAAAAAATATGATCAAAGTCCTAAATGGAAAACTTGTCAATATTTCTGATTCAAGGTTGCGATCTTTTTAATACCTCATTTGAAACTACAAATGACTGCAGTTGAATTAGTTTCATTCAATTCATAGACATGATCTAAATCTTCATAGACGTTTTATATTTTGAATTTTTGATTAAATATTTCATTAAAATAACTTCACCAACTCACATACTGGCAAATTAATGGAATTACAATGCAGTGACTAAAAATAAATTACACCTCTGAATAATACACATCAAACAATTATTGCAACTTTACAATATTTTGACTTTCTCCTCATTACAAAAGAGCAGTAGGCAAATACTAATGGGATTTACAAATTAACAGATCAGATCTACACACACTCTTTAGCAGAAAAATGAAAAACATTTAAATATAATACAGTTCATTAGAGTATAATTTTTGTTTATTTCAAGGATATAAAACTAAATTTTGATATAAACTAATATCTTAAAAATGAGACAAAATGGTCTTTATAAAACAGAAAATGAAGAGATACCTGAAGTCAGGGAAACAATGAATTGACTAAGACAGGGAGAGCTGTTGATCTTAGTATTGGACTAAATAGTTAAGAATGGTAGCAGTTGTGAACAGATCAACGCTTGTACGTAGAGAATTAAACAAAGAGACTTATGTTGCTTTAAGAGGGAAAGCAAAAATCTATTGTCTCAAATAAAATGCTAAAAAGAATAAATGATGGTCATAGATAAATTGAAAGGAACACCCAATTTTTAAAATGCCAAATATTGAAGTGGGTAGTGTGTGCTTTTCCATCACCAGGACCAATGATACTAATAGACTCACCAAAACTTTATAAAAATTACAAACCAAAATACAACTATTAGTAAATAAAAAATGAATCCTTCCAACATTACAAAACCGAAATATATCATTATAAAGTTATTATCTCTAAAACCGAAATATATCATTATAAAGTTATTATCTCTAACATAATTTGATGAAACTTGAAAGCGAAAACCTGTTATACCATACCTCTGGAGCCAATTGATTCAGGTGTAAAAGAAGTGCTGGCACACTAAAGATATGTATAAGAAACATTGAAACCAGTTTGCCAGAGAGATTTGCCGAAACAAGAGGGCGTGTTGCAAGAGTGAATATTGCTGACAATGCCACTCCTTTCAAACTAACCTTCGAGCGAGCCAATCCTCTAATCAGTAAAATCTAGAAAAAAAATTCTTTTATTTAGGATGAAACATGTAATATACCGAAAAGAAATAAAGAATCCATCTCTTGATTGGAATACAAAGAATTCTGAAAATATTTGTATGGTTTATTTAAAAATTCAATAATTTATTTGAAGAAGTAATTAGAAATTCCTTCTTTTTTTACACCTGAGTAGAATCAGTTTGCCATTTTATAAATGTAGGTCCAATATATAGCTACCACATTAACTCTTGTGAGTTATCATAAGTAAGATTGTTGGGCATGTATATGTACAATCGGCAGTCATTTCTTCTTAGCATAAGCTGCACTTCAATGATTTTTCTATTCTGCTTAAATGATGTCGCAAATAATAGGGTCCAGAGTCACTACTACTGTTGTACATAAACTAAGTTTTTTTTTTAGGATTCAGCAATCCTTCCCAACATTGGTCACGACAATCTCTAAAATTTGCCCTTCCTGTTTTCTAAGTGATAGTACTGAAGACCATTCATTCCATACTGCTCAATGAAATAGGCAGAATAGGTTGTGTCTATGGTATTTCTGTGGTATCCATCCATGCAAATCAGCTTCTTCATTTCCATAGATACCACAATGGGCCAGAATCCATAGCATAACTGGAACATTCATGGCTTTGCTGTGGGTTTGGCAAACAAGAATGCTATAACTGAATACAGATCACAAGCAGTGCTGCTTTCAAATCCCACAGCGGAACCATGTTTTCTTTTTTAAAATAAAAAGTTTTTTCCATGGCCAGTGTAAGTAGCAGTACCTACTCCATCAAAATTTGTTGTATATCTTTTAGCAGATGCTTAGAACAGAAGTTAAAACAGGATGCTAAAGTTATTTTAAATTTAGAATAACCAAAAATGAACAAGCCCAAAAGTTATTTTTATAAGTCTGGTGGTGTCTCTCTATGTCATTTTTTTTAACCTCTGGGTTGCATTGCTAGTGTTTGTCCAGTATTTACTACAATTTCTGAGAATGCACTTGGAGGAAAACATTCCTTTCACATCTGTCTTTCAAGGACAAGATTTCTGCATGTGATTGTATATCAATATCAATGAGAGATATTGGGTGTATTATGCAATATCAATGTTGATTTGGCCGCATTGGTAGTGTTGTTCATTGGCATATTTTAAACTAAAATATTTAAGATGATTAATGATCGAATCTGTAGTTTTCACCACACTCCAGGTCGGATCCATACTCCAGGATTAGTTTGATATATGATGTATACGCAGTTCTTAAAACTTCTGCATTTGCTCCCCATTTCATGACCAATTTGTTTCCTTAGTCACTGGTAATATTCACCTTTCACTGCAGCATGTTATTCACTTAGTTTAGCCTAAGTCAGTTAATTGTCCAGCACCCGTACCAGATATTTAACTTCCTCAGTCCCACTTATGGGTTGATCGTTAAAATTCACACCAAAAATATGTTGCTTTGAAGGTAGAATAAATAGTTCGAATACTGTTTTTTGTTTTTGGATGATTAGTTCATTTTCTTTTCACCAGTCAATTATCACTTTTATTCTGTATGAGCAAACTAACTTTAATATCAGTGGTGAGTAGCTTACCCTTTCAAAATAGATCCTCTTGAAATTAGATTTTATTCTTTCCTCCTAATTTTCCAACTGCATTTTATGCTTTATGAGCATTCGAAGCAAAAATATGCCATTAGGCCAATAGAAGTACCAGTGATGTTTTTTAAATTTAAAGAATCCATAATTAAAAATATTTGAATACAAAATTGTTGCCTAGAGGTGTCAATTTATTATGTGAAGCTCTACCATAAATTCTAATTGAACTAAACATATCATTTTAATGAAAAATAAAAAATTGTCTTGCCTTAAGAGTCAGATAAAATCCTCTCATGAAAAGATGTCCCATTATGTTTGCACAGAGTTGAACCATTCCTGGTTTCAATGGCTCCATGCTTTTCTGGGTATGGAGGATTCTCCATGTACTGATTGAAGTAAAATTAACAAGTGTATGCAGTAACAATAAAATTGAGTGTAGCTCAGAGGGCACATCAGGTTTCAAATTATCTAAATATTCGCAGCATCTCCAAAGTATCAGCTTTATCTGTCTAATCCATTCTAAAGCATACTCTTTATTAAAAGCTACACTAATGTAACTTATTTTCGCATTCTCATTTTCCAATGTAGAGACCAAATAACTACAAATAACAATCCATAAATTATTTTCAAAAATTATTATTAAAATTAAAATGCTAAAAAACTATTTCAATGAACATGATAGGATACCTGCACAATCGTTCGAACCTAACTTTGTCTCTTTCAGCCTTCCAGATATACAAAAACCTCCAAATTATCTTATAATAGTGTAGGGCTGGTCGTAAAGCAGCTGCCTTAGGGTCTACAGGAATTTCTTTATCAAACTCATTCCTAATTTTATAAAAACATACATTGCAATGAAAATCCAATAATTACAATTATATTAAATAAACCACAGTAGCATTACTTAAGAGAGCTATAAACAAGACCAATAAATATCTTACAAAATTAAAAATATATATTTTTTCCTTTGGATCCATCCCCTGACAGCTGACTGTATTTTCAGGGCAGCTAGTTCTTTTTTCTTTTCTTGAGCTCTACATTCTCTAGCAGCCTTTTTTTGCTCTAGAAAAGCGTCTTTTTGGAATTCTGGTTTAAACATCTTTTGATAAGCAAAATTAGATACAGTGCAGTTTTAGTTCAAAGAAATATTAACATATTCTGGCTATAAATATATATAAAAAACAAAGCCTCAATAAATAATCTAAGTAATTGCTGCCATTTGAAAATTAATTTACTTATTTACAAATTAAACACAAAATAATATATTGACACTTGAAATTTTATCAATGGCATCATTAAAGATGATTTTTAAACTAAAAAAAAATTCATTAATTTTAATAGCTTTAACGATGTAAAATCCAAATTCCAATGAAAATTACAAATTACTGCCTAAATGGAACCGTCGTTATCTGTCTGTATTTATTTTGACTTAAAACCCTAATCTTGACATAACCACAACAACAGCTGATTAAATCGATTAGTAGAAATCTAGAGAGGTAGATTTGCAGAAAAGTTGTACTGGTGCTCAACATCCAACCTCTAAAGGCTACATTCTTCGTATGAATCTTTCAAACACATTTAAAAAATTTTAAAAGTTTTGCTAAAAACAACAAAAATAAACCACAGATTGTAACTAAGCGTTAAATTGCTTTAAATAGATTAATGTTTGTTTTTTATGCAAGGGTGTCTAGAGAATGGGGCGACCAATGCGATATGTAATAAGGAGACGCCTCGTATCAGGTATAAAATTACAAAGAATATATTATATTATAAGTATAAATATTCTTTAAAATGTTGCTATTTCTACCTGCATTTCACTTTCTGATTCCTTTTAATCTTTGTTTACATATTCATACATGATATGTTGAAAAGTAGGAATTATTATTTTATATTCTTTTTTTTAACAAGTTTATTGAATAATAATACAATTTGCCACATTGAAGACCAAAAATATTAAGACTATAAGTATTCATTCATACAATAAAATGGAAATAAATATAAATAACCAACATAAAAAATAAATGAATAGACAACAAAATAATAAATTTGAAGTTAAGTAAAAATAAAGTATACTTTTAAAAAAACAGTCATACCTATGTACAATCTTGAAATCGGCGAACACTTGCGTGTAAATCTAGGTGTTTCTCAGCAGGGTCAATGGTATTTATTATTTCTAGCCTCAGTTCCTATTACTGTTGTTAGAAAAATAATAAAATATTCGAAATTTATATATCGTAGATGGAGGTATATGAAAATATGGAAGGTTTAACTAGCTTATAGACTATACGAGATTTTATCGGGCTAGGGGGATAGGGGAAGGGCGGGGAATTTAAAATCCCCTCCGGCACCGAGACGCGAACTCGTACTTTTTAATCTTTCAGATCTGTTATCTGGTTGCCGGGCAACTTGCGGCAGTGGCGGATCTAGTAATTTTCTCAGGAGGGCGCGCCTCTGTACCACGTGCTTCCTCCATCCCTACCCGTTCCCTCACCACTACCCATTTCCCCCACTCCTTAGCTGAGTTTAATGGTTTTAACAAAAGCAAACTCTATTTTTATTTAGACTAAATTTTGACTAGTTTTCAGTGAAGCTAACATTAATGACTTAAATTAAATTTTTTTTTTTATCACTTCCTATTCAACAAAAAATGTGACACATAAAAAATCACAAAACTTTAATTCCATATTTTCCTGCTAAAAATCGAACCATTGTTTATATAAACTTTTTCATATTTATTGAGTTTTGATATCACTCCTGTAAATATTTCCCTCTACTTACGAGACAGCCTGTATATGAGTTTAGACATGTAAAGAACTAAATTGCTAACACGGGTCACCAAGAGAAAACTTTTTACAGCCAAAAATTCCGGATTTATCTGATCTTTTTTTTTCATGTATCACCACTAAATTATTTTTCTAACATCAAGAAGAGGACGCGCCCCCTGGAAGAAATCACTAGTACTGGTCGCGATAATAACTTTTTTTTGAATATTACATTAGAAAATTCTTCTATGAGGATGAATTTTCCCTATATTTCTCATTTCTTTAAATAGGTGTTATTTGGAATTTTTTTCAACATCCAAGGGAGGGCTCGTCCCCTGGCAGATTTCGCTATTGCTGGTCACGATAATAATTTTCTTTTTCATTAGGAAATTCATGTATGAGGATGAGTTTTTCCCTAAATCTTTCTTTTCTTTAAATACGTGTTTTTTTCGGATTTTTTTACACCATCCAAGGAAGAGCGCGCCCCCTGACAGAATTCGCTACACGATAGTAATTTTCTTTTTATATTACATCTTCTAAAGTATAATTTCAGAATCAATGTAGCAGTAGAGGTTTTAAAAAAGTATAATGCACTAACATAATGCTATATTTCCAAACATATTTGATATATTAGAGATTCACATGATGTATTAAACCCAACAGATGAATACATCCTGAACACAACATAGCCGAATTATATCAATGCTCTAGATAGAATATTTGAAATTATGTTTGCAGTTTGCTATAGTAAAAATAAGATGTGACTAATGTATATTATTGATATTTCTAATTTATAGAAATATACATATATATATATATATATATATATATATATATATATATATATATATATATATATATATATATATAATTTTATAGAAAGATATTTCTAATATATTAGCGATGATTTATATCAGAAAGCAATCGAAAGAGACGGTATTTGTCTCCAACTAAGGATGGAAAGAAGAAATCAGAATGCTTCAGGATTTATTTTGTTGAGTATATGTTGGGAAAAACGCCCTGAAATCAAATATCAAATCAACATATGCACTGAAGTCAAATAATGTTCCGAGGGAGCTCATGGATGACATTAGATTCTTGTATAAAGGCTCAGAGGATTAAGTGGATATCAACGGGAAGGAGTCCCAAAGCTTCGAAATGAAATGAGGTGTGATGGAAGAAGACAGTGTAAACTATTTGTCTTTATTGATTTGTCATTATTGTATTTACTGGTTATCAAAGTATGGAAAATAAGTAAGCGTAGTAAGGGATGACCAGTTATTGTAAAATAGAATCTGAAAATAAGGTAAGGCAAATTGGACATTAACTTGATGATGTGCAGATCATTTGTAGAGAAGAATCACTTGAGCCAGTAGAAGAGTATATCCATACATTATCGGAATTTAGTTGAGAAAAAAAGTAAAACTGCACATTTTTTTTTTACTAAATTGACATTCCTATATTATTAAATAGAAGTGAGAGCTAAGAAGTTCTTCATGATAATTTTTTTTGAGAAGAAAAAAAATCTTACATCTATAGATGTCTGAACTCGAAGAGATTCCCCCATAAAAAATGAGGAGTTGTGGGTGAAATTCTCTACTATGATTCTAATATTAATATCTAAGAGAGTGAGCAATTAAAGTAGTACAAGCCTAATGCGCAAAGATAACGAATCGAGTAAATTCTTTGAAGATAGGTAGGCAAAGAATGCTGTGGATAGATCGTGTGGCTCAATTATGAGAGAGTAATTCCATGAAGATGTTGGCTTGGGACCGAGAAGGTTGGTATGCTTCGCTCGAATTACCACATTGTAGCACAAAGAAGAAAGGAAAAGAATAAGAAACATTTTGGCCCGCAAGTCTCACAAAATTATGTTTAAGCTCTTCCTGTCAGCAATAGAATTGACCTTGCCCAGGCGGTTCGGTCATATCTACTTTCTAACACAGTCGGTCATTTTTTAAATTGCATTTACAGTGGGATCTTAAACCTTCCCATCAAAGTAAAACAGTACCTTAGTTTTCGTTCTAAAACATGTTATGAATTAGAAATAAATGCATAAGATAATCATAGATATAAGACAATCTGGATGATATTCATCGATTTTAAGGCCGCATATGATTTTGTCACACGGAGCGAACTATGCAAAGGAATGGCTGAGATGGGGATTCCTTACAAATTAATAAGACTGGCAAGATGCATAATGTTAAATATGAAGTGCAAGGTAAAGGTTGATGGAAATATCTCTGATACTTTTGAGATTGGTAATGAGCTTAGGCAGGGAGTACCACTGGCCCCCCTCTTCTTTAACATACATCCCCATGTCCTCATAAACAGCTGAACTAGATAGGGAAGGGACAATATTTAATAAAAACATATAGCTTCTTGCTTATGTGGATGATGCAGCTATTTTTGGGAGGTCTCTGATCTCTATAAAGAATAACGATAAAAACCTTGAAAGTGAAGCAAGCAGAACGGTGTTGGAAATCAATGAAGAGATAACTAAAGTAATGGTTCTCAGAAGAAAAAAGCAAGGCCATCCTCAAATCATGGAAAACCACAGTTCCGATGTAGTGAGGAGCTTCCAGTGCCTAGGATCTATAATTAATGAGCAACTGGGAAAAGAAGAAATAAAGACAAGGATTATGCTGAGAAACAGAGCGTATATCGGCATGTCCAAGATACTGAGGAGTAAGCTGATAAATAATATTACCAAGTTCAGAATGTACAAAACACTAATAAGACCGGTGGGAACCTACGCCGGTGAAAACTGAATTATGAATAAAAATATCAGTGACCTATTGAATTGGTTTGAGAGAAGGGCACTAAGGAACATCCTGGGACCAATTTGAGAAGACGGAATACGGCGGTTTAGGAAAAATAGGATTCCGCAGGGATAAACACATGGACATCAATTTCTGACCAACATCAGAATTCAGAAATTGAAGTGGTTTCATTTGAAGAGGTGATCATTTAATGAGAATATAGGAAATTAGGATACATTAGACAGAAAGAGAAGTAGAGGGAGACCGAAAGACTGGTTTAGAGATAGTGTACTCCAAATAATATTTATTTACCTTATTATAAGTATAATGTGTATTTATTCACCTTATATAAATAATATTAGTTCGCCGTCAACGGGAATATGATTTGCTAGCTTTGAATGAAATTTCTTCAACTAAGTATCTTAAAATTAAACATAAAATAGAGTTAAAAAATATTATATATACATAAAAACATCTATATGTACATATTTCTATCTAAAAATAAATTAAATATTATCTAATTTAGAAAATAAATTAAATTAATTTTACAATATTGTCGACACCTTGTCAAAACTTGAAAATGTACACATATAATCGATATAGCATTTGTTGACCTCTGCCTGTCTACCTAATTCCGTTGCTTATCAAAGTAGTCGGATTTCTTTGCTGTTTAATTAGTCGTGGAATAACTGGTGTTATGCTATAGTTATTGTCGTTACTAGACGTCGATAATCCTCTCATTGTGTTTTTCTCTAATAAAAGCCTGAAAAGGCGTTGTTTTAGTGTTTAACAAGTGCACACCACGCCCCAAAAATAGGCCTCTCGGATACTGCTATTATGGACATGATGATTTCCAATTTACAGCAGCAGAGACAAATTACCGAACAATTGCGAAGGGAGGCGGCGATAAGAAGAATTAATGTATCCCAAGCCGTTCAAGACATCATGAAGTATATTTCAGAACATGAACAAGAAGATTGTTTACTGGTCGGCTTTAGTTCTCAAAAAGCCAATCCATTTAGAGAAAAAAGTAGTTGTACCCTTTTCTAATCATGCATTGTGTTAACACTAATCTTAATTTAAATCGTTCATAATGCATGAACCTATTTTATATTGATGTTTACATGTCCCTATCATAAGTTATTTGTATGTATTTTAAAGTGAATGATATGTATTCTAATTAACTTAATGGTTCAAACTATGCATTCTGTCAATAGTAAATCTATTTGTGTCAAATGATACATTTTTATATTAACACTGCTTTGTGTTATTAGAACTCAATGTAATTCTCAGTTGGATTTAAATTATTAATTACTTTCAATTAGATGGGTCTAAAATTTTATTATCTACTCTATTAATTGATCAAAAGTTATTAAATAAATATTTATTGCTTTTGTTAATTGATCTTTTTTTTTTTTTATTATTGTAACAAAATCATTACAAAAATATACAATCATTTCGTAGATTCTTCAGCATTACTTCTCTGACTAAAAAATTATGTAATTGTTTTGTTTTTTATTTATCTTCTATTTTACTGTATATTCTAAATAAAAGAGGATCCTTTCAATGGCATAGATGCTATTTTTATTTTTTTGAGTTCCTTAGCAGTATTAATTTCTGTGATTCATTGAATTAGTAATATGTGTATTAATAAAGTTATCATGATTTACTGGCATATGAAAGTACCCAGGTTTATTTGTTCCATTTATATTTGTGGTTTATGTATCTCATCGGCAATTATTAAGCCATGGATTGAGTTTAAATAATACTTTAGATAGAGATGATTTTAACATTGTCAATAATTTGATTTGCTCAATTGAATTAAGTTATAGACTAATTCTTAGAATGAAGGTATTTTCAACAAAATTAAAAGAATTTTAAAAAAGATTATATATTCCTGTAAAGTACTATTGTATCATGCCTAATTTTTTTTTTATTAGATTAAATTTTATTTCGCTATGAGCTATTTTGAACATTATAAATGTAGCAAGAATATTGGTGATCTTTTGTCTATTTAAGAGGAATGGACTCATAATTTTGCCCTAAATAGATTGAGTGGAGTGACCAGGTTGAGGCCTTTATAGGAGAAAATAGGACCATAGACCAGTCAAGATTGGCTTTTTACAATTTGTTACTAAGTTTTACTGTTTTTCAACTCTCAGTACAAAATTCTTACTCCAACTGACTACCAACATCAAAAGTTACATATGTGAAGTACATTATGTATAGATCCTAGATAATATAGGCACCAATTTGTGAATATTATTGGGGGAGCCAAACTACAGGATCACGGGATAGGGTTCATGCTTAGAATATATAGTATATACCTGTATGAAAAATTACTATCTCAAGCAGGTATTGAGTTATTTCAGAGCTTCCTGATGACAAAAAAGTCATTTAGTCATGCAAAATACTTTAAACTAAAACAGTATAGTGTTGGTGATTTCTTTAACAGTCTAAGTGAGTTTACGAGGCCAAATAGGACACTGTTAAACAAATTCTAGTTTATCTGCTAGTAAATACAGTGCTTTCGCAATAATGTCATTGTGACGAACATGATCTGTATGTTCATTTAGTTCATGCTACAGCAATGTGTTGGAGAGACTGAGCCTCCACCACGGCAGCATTGGGGACCCTCAAGCCCTTAGTAGTCTGTGCCTATGCTTGATAATGGGATTTGTTCATACCTATGTAATATTCTTTTGACTTAGGTAAGAAAAAAAAAATTCTTGTTTTCTATCTCCCTAGACATGTATGAGCCAGTTTTTCAAAGATCACCTGAAATTTTTAGCAAACATACAGACTAATAAAATTATTTTTATTTGATTAATCATTTGGTTATAAACATAATCAATGGCAATGCTCAAGCAATCTAAAACTCTGTCTAATTAAATACAATTACTTAAGACTGTCATGCCACTGAAACTGGTGTCAGCCACGCTTCAATTGATAGAAGGAAAGGGTTTTTAAATATGTGACTTAACACTAAATGAGATTTAAGATATTTTGTGTAAATGTGTAAACAATTTTTCCATGACTACATTATCTATTTTCTATCTAAAGCCTGTAACACTATACCCAGTGCTGGCCTTAGACATTTTCGAGTGCCTCCTGGGTAATGACATCATCTTACCTCTCCCCATAAAAAAAAAAAATTACATTTATTTCTTAAGCTGTTTTATATCATTTAATATTTGAATTTTATTTCATTCAAGATTTCTCTAATAATGTTTTTTTTGGTAGGCTAAAATTAATTCTTTTAATATGTTTTGTATTTTTCTAATTTCTAACAAGTGGCGAGCACCCCAGAAAATCAACGGGCAACCCTCAAGGGTTTTGTTCCATCCTAAGGCTGGCAGACTTGAAGGTCTTGGGTTCAGTACTTAATAAGGAAGTTCTGTTTCAAGACCAACAGTTGTGCAGTGAGGTGATCTGGCCAGGATTTCTCAGTTGTTCCCTCTTAATTAATATTAACCACTTTATAAGAGATGAGTGGACCACAGGGACAATCCACAGCTGATGAAATAAAATAAATAATAAATATCTACTTTCATATAATCATTTAGTGCATAATCAGTAAGTTAGTAATTAGTGGTGTGAGTGCCCATGTTTACATGTTGTCAAAGGACTCAATAAAAAGCACTTAGTAAAGAAAAAAAAGATGAAATTTTTCTGGGAAAAAAAAACATAACAAGATTGTACCATAACAGAATGACCTATAAGGTGTATATATATAACATATATATATATATATATATTCTATAATGGCTGCAACCGTAATGTAGGATATATAAGTTTTTTTTTATTTTAATCTGGTAAGTGAAGCAAAATAGAGGACCTGTTTCATCTTTTCACTCTGGCAGTTTTTGCATCAATAATGGTAAAAGAAAGAATTCATAATCAGGTTATGAATAAATAAAAAACAAAAAAGAACAAAACAACTTTTATTTTTAAGCATATAACAGTTGGATGTTAAAAAAAAAAAAAAAAAAAAATTGAGTTTGGAACTAATAGAGCCTTAAAACTATTATAACCACATATTACTTAATTTCATAAATATTCACAAGAAATTTATAACTATCAGTTCTGATGGTGGTTATAAATATTAATTAAGAAAAACATAGGAAAAGGAAATTTTCATTGAATAAAATATTTTTGAAATGACTAGAGACAGGGTATGGCAGTAAAAAAGGGGAGAAGCATAAAGAGTTATCTCTAAATATTTACAAATTAAATGTTTCAATATCTAAATTAAAACTATTTCATATTTCAAATTAAAGTCAAACATCCATTTCATGGGCTTCATTTTTACCAATAGTGGTATAATGTACTTTTTGAGAAAGAGACAGTACAACTGGAAGAAGCTTGTTTTTAATAACTTCCCTGTTTGTATAAATGAGCAATAAAGTGATAGCAACTATGATAAGAGAAAGAAAAGTAACAGTTGAATTTGATTCCTGAGTATCATCAGCCACACTTCGCTTTAAATGACAAGACTGACCCACCAAATTTAAAAAGAGAGGTTCATCACTGTTTTTAGGGTCATGTTTGCATTTAAGCTTGTTTTTGTTACGTACGTTAACAAGAGTCGTATTCAACCATGAAAAGAATTCTTCGATTTGATAGCCACAAGAGAATGGATTTTCAGATAGATCTATAGTTAAATTCTGTCCCCGAAGGGGCAACATGTCTAGCTCAGATAGTTCATCCTTATTAAGGTAAACAATAGAATTTCTCTCAAGATCTAGAAACCTGAGATGAGGGAGGCAATTGATTTTAAATTTGATATGTTCCAATTTGTTGTCACCTACAAAACAAAGTGGAAAATCATTAGTATGCATAGTATAATCTTTTAATAAAACATGTTATAGTATCATTTGGGAAATAAAAAATAACCAAATATCAATGTACATTAGTGATTAACCTTAAGTTGCTTAGACAAGTAACATAGACTAACTCAATTATATAATAATAATAAGTAATTTCATGAATAAAAATATTAGGGTTTAGTTAAGAAAACTAAGAATAAAAGGAATTAGGTGCAATTGATTAATATATGGTAACCATCAACAGAGTTTCTATAAATTTTATTCGTATTTGACCATCACTGATATCTTGAATTCCCTAGGGATTTTCATTGTTTTATTACATATATATGTACGTGAAAGTAAAAAAAATCGTAAAAGTTTAAATTTAGTTATAAAATTTCATTTATTTTCCATTGAAACATTCTATTTCCATTAAATAATATTGGAATTATTAATGAATAATACAGAAATTATTTATTAAGCCTTTTTTCATCACCCTCCATTACCCTCTACAACTTTATATATGCCAGATATTATTATTTTTTTAAATCTTCAGCTTTCCGATATATTACACATATAAATTCTGATTGTTATTAATAAAATATTTAATTGTTATAGAAGTTGAAAAACAATATATATATATATATATATATATATATATATATATATATATATATATGCAAATGCATGTTTTGTTAGCATATTGTTTTACAAAAATGAGTTGATATCTTTCTTTAACAATTGATTGTATATCTTTTGAAAAAATTAACAATATTGGCAGATATTATTTTTTTCTGAAATTCCCAGCTATTCAATGATATAGTATACACATAAATTCTGATTTACAGAGTCTGATTATCATTAATAAAATATTAATTTATATATATTATTATTATTATATATTAACTAAGAAAATGTTTTAAAAAACATAAGGCCTTCTTGTTGATTAGTATTAATCTATTCCCTTATTTAAAAAAAAATTCATTCTATTTTCACTTAATTAAACTCTTGTAAGTTTGCAAACCTATTCCATTTCAATGTCAGGGCGGGAACAGTTTGAATAAGCTGAGAAGGGAGAGGGGAGGCCGAGTGTTGACGATATAAGCCGAATAGGCCCGATAATTGCTCTTTCTCAAACATATTTTGCTCCCTAGACTCTAGCTGTGAAGATTACTAGAGTGGGAGTAATGAGCCAACATTCATACACCTGACGGCCGATTTAGGTCACTGGTATTCTGTACTCTTTGGTTATATATGCAGAATTTTCCTTAACAAAAGTAGTTTCCAGTCTCCCAGAAAGACCCACACAGTCACACAAGGCAGTAGGAGTGACGATTTGAATTCATTAACTATACTCATTATTACTTCAACTACACCTATTCCCTCGTACTTAAATATGGCTTTATAAAATAATACAGCTAATAATTTTTATAAGTATAGGAGATAAAATCCCAACAGAGAGGGAACTTATCAAAGAGGTTGAACTAAATATTTGGTATAACTATAGGAGGTTCATGTTACTGCAGTGAACAAGAGTTAAAAATCTGGTGCACGCATCACACGACTTTCAATTAACACCTTCTTCTTAGCAGAAATAAGTATTTTCAGAAAGTGAAAGTAAAAATTATAGGTGCTATATTTATTTAATTTCATTGTGGGTATTTTTATTTGTTTAAATACCCTTATATATATAAATTTTAATTTTTATATCACTGTAATCTATACAATTAAATATTAAATAATATCAATGATAGCATTTATAAAAACCGCATATGTATATGTTTATAATATTGTCAGAGTCCGTATTATATTAAGCTCATGCTACGTATGGAAGCCTGTTGTAATCTTTTGGGCTAGCCCGGGCACCCTTGTATTCCTTTGGTTTGTCGATTACACCTATTATCCGTTGCGATTCTTATTTCTCCTTTAGTTAATAATCAAATTCCCCTCGTATTCCTTTGGTTTCTCCATTACAACTTTTATCCGTTGCGATTCTTATTTCTCCTTTAGTTAATGATCAAATTCTTTCATATTTTCAAATTTAATTTAACTACTTTTTATACCGAAGATTAATGTGAAATGGTTAATTATTTCAAATAAAAAAAAATGAAAGGTACTTTAGAGGAAGCTAATATTGAAAATTAACCATTTATGTCCAGTTATAGAACATAAACGAGAATAAAACCTACATTATATTAAAAACTGCTTAATAATACACCGATATACCAAGACAATGTGTAACATCAATCATATAAAGTGCCATTTCTGGTTAGCCGATTTTGACAAAAAAGTTGCTGTAACATCTCAGGTAAATACAGACTTTAAATATGCAATTTCACTTTCATACGAATTTTTGTTTTTGAGCTAGACTGATCATATACATACACCCACACAGACACAGATAATTTTTCTGAACTTGGTTACTTGGACTCAAGAACCTTAAAGCATTTATTTCAGTTGAAAACTGAGATTCAAAAATTATCATGCTTGGAATACTATCCCTTAATATATATTTCATATATAGGTAACTGAAAGTAAAAAGTTTTACACCTAAAGATAATAAACGGTGCGGATTGTCATCAACATATTTTAAGCAGCTGTCAGTCCATAAAAATTGATAGTCTGCTCTGGTGTGAGTAGTCACTGGAACATAACTGATAGTTTTACCTTACTTAATTTCAATTATTAACTTTATTTTTACCTAAATGCAAATCCATCAAGTTCTGTAATGTACAGAACAGCATGTGGTCTTTAAATGACTTTATTTCATTCTGTTCTAAATGAAGTTTCCGTAATTTTACCAAGTCACTTTCTAAAAATATATTATGTAGAAGTGAGGCAAAATTTTCAGGAGAATTATCATCAAAAGCATCAGTTAAGTGAAGCTCCAACAGATTTTGAAAGTTGGAAAATAGTCTAGAAAAAAAAAAAAATTATAAAAGCAAAAAAAAAAAAAAAAAAAGGAAGATATTACATGTAGTAACAGAATACTAACCTGGGATGGTGGCTGGCGTCAGCTGTTAATTCATTGTGATTTAAGATCAATCTTTCCACATTGACAACTTTATGATAAGCTTTCCCATGTATAATTTTTATTTTGTTATTTGACATGTCAATAATCTTTAAATTATTATTGCTTGAATTTCCAAATAAATTAACAGGTAATTCTGGTATGTTATTTCCAGTAAAGATAAGCACCTGGGCATAGAATTATAAAATCAACAAAATGCAATAGATTGACTTACGAGTATGTCTCAAAGTAAATAAGAACCTCAATATTGTCTGGGAGTTTCTGTAAAGGAGTGGTGTTATTAAACCCAGTATTTGTACAATTGACGATATACTGTTTTTTATAAAGGTACTCAGCTTCCCCACAATGACACTTAGCTAAAGCCTCAGGGCATGATCCAAATGCAATAGTTGGAAGACAAAACAGTAAAATTATTGGTAAAGTTGCCTACAAAGAAGATGAACAATACATGTAAAATTTACAACACATAAGAATACATTTTTTTATAACTACCTTTCTTAAGAACATGATCAGGGTGAATCATAAATAAACAAAAGATAGAGTAAAACTATTAATTGTATTATAATTAAGCTGTAGTTTAATAGTGGCTTCCATCATTTCCTAGATCAGAAGTTCTTGAACTAAGGTCCATGGAACCTCAATCTTTAATGAGATTTCATGAAACAATTTTGACATTAATATTCTCCAACTTGCCAATTTTATTTTATTAAGTAGTGTATTTAATAAAACTCCTACATGGCAAAGAATTTTGTATTTGTAGTGAATTCATTGCATAGAGAGAGAAATACTTTATTAAAAGTAATGCTGCCCTACCACATTGGGTTGCTTCGTACACAGCATACCTATCAATCCACAAGGACATTAATTTTATATTTCATTTTTCTATTTTTTATACATATATATGTCATATCTTTCCTTTCTATCTCTCTTTTTCCTCTTCCCCCTCATAACAATACACTTACAAGTTATCAACAATAAAAACATATTAAATAATATACATAGCACTATAAACATTTTTCAAGACAAAAAAAAAAAAATGTTTCCCTGTTTCTCTCTTTAAATTTTCAAATGCCAGGAACTCATTACAACATCGCACACATACATAACACAGCAATTCTCAGAATGTAGACAAAAAGACAGGACTACAGCGGATCAATTCAAAATTGAATAAACAATTATTACCAGATGTCCTCAATCGGTATAAATATGATAGTGGATGATCCCCAGGGAGTACAAAATAATATTTTCGGCCAATACCGCGAGCTCCCCAACATCAACACCTAGTTCCTCGAGAAAGCTCCTTGTTCTTTCTGGGATCGTTCTGCTTGACCCAAACCAGAGGCCTCTCACGTAAGAACAAGAACCTCTGTCCTAATTCATAGATTCTTGACCGGTAGTTATCAGAAATCCATGAAACTATTTTGACAATAACTTCCGTCTTCCACGTTATCACTCTAATTTAAATATCACTTGGTAAATAAATTTTACATGGGCAAGACATTTTGGATTTCCTGTTACCTTCTAGTTATTAACATAATGATGTAAAATGCCTAGAGCCAGAATAACACACACACAAAAAAAAAAATCTGGGGGAGTTTCATTAGTTACTTGAACAGTTTAAGAAATCACCTACAGTTTAGTTTAAAAATCCTTATCCTACTTGACTAGTCAATACTTCTATGCATGCTTTTTTGTATTTAATGAATACAAATATTTCACTTAGAAATATGAATTTCCTTAGAACAGTTTGATAAAGAGAAAAAAAAAATCTAGTAAACATCTTCAATATATTGAACTAAAAGTAATTAATAGGATATCTAATATTTTCAAGAAAACTCAGAGGAATAGACATAAAAGTAATGAACATTGTTAAACTTAATTGTTCTAAGTAGGCAGTACCTTTTTTATATTTAATCAACCTGTAACCTGAATTGAACATAAATGGAAACACTTAAAAAAATATATTTTTTCTTAAAAAACATAAGGATTCACTTTCATTTAAATCACTTTAATTGTTCTAGATTTTTTTAAAATCTGTAAAACAATTTAGTATTATTCTCTTTTTGGATATAAGTTTTAAATACTTCCTAATCAAAATAGATACACCTTATCACGATTTATGAATTAACTGTTATTAAAAACAATTGCTAATTAAATTAATTTATAGCTAATAAACATAAGTTACTTTATTAGAAATGGTACAGAGCAAGAATAGTAAAATATATTATTTCAATTTTAAAATACAAAAATAACAGATTAAAAAATCATTCAACACAATTTAAAAATAATATGGAAATTGAATCTAATTTAACAAATTAATATTTTTTGGGAATTTTAATTTCATCATTCAAGCTTAATATTGTATAAAATACATATAAAAAATAGAACATAGAAGATATTCCCTGTGGAACACCCTAATAAACCTTCTAAATAATAAATTTAATGGTTTTCAAACAGTATTTAATAACTGTGACCAGAAAAAAAATGCCATTCTAAAGATGAAAATCAACAGATGTCACTACAAGTATAACTAGAATTACTAATAAATAAACTAAAAAATAGTCTAATCATTGAAATGTGGATATACAACTCATTTCTGAAATAGTTTCTTGATTTGGAAACATAAACTAACTGATAATATTAATATGAACTAAAACTTTTTTCCCTACATTTAATAATTCTACAAAAGTGAATTAGGAATGCACCCATTATTCTCACAGTTTAAAAGTAGAATCAATCTTAATAAGATTATTAATTAAAGTGATAGCATTTAAATTAATTAGGTAAATAACAGTCAATTAGGAGTTAAATATGGATTGTATGTAAACTAATAAATCGGGGCAAATGATGCCGAGACAGTTGAATTTATTACCATAGTCATAGGTGATTACAATAGTATGATTAACGTGTATTTAATCCAAGGTGTATTCCAGATTTTATAATTACATAATGTACATGAACTTCGAGGAGACACGAAATATATATATTAGCATTAATGTATAGTGAATGATACACAAATAAACTAGATTACACTGCACTCATCGCACCTCAGGAATGCAACAAAACAGCAACAGGTTTCTCCCCTACCTGCTCCAATCTCGGGAGCATTAGTGGCGCCAATTCAAATTATGGTTGGTCACATGATTTGTGTTTCTTAAGTTGTAAATTACCATGGCAATGTAATATATCATGAAAATACTGCAATTCTGATTAATGAAAATCTAAGCAACACTTTCATATATCTCCGTTTTCGTTGACCTTGTGTTTTCCTTGTAAAGCTAGATAACACAACAATCATTGTCACTCGTTTTTGTGTATATGCTTCTATCCACATAGCTCTGTACTTCTCATTCTGGAGAAGTATAGACTTACTAGAAGTATCCCACCCTCTTTTTAATTATTTTTTTCTCTCCTACTTCGCCTTTTCGGCAGTTTCAAGTTTTGCCAAATCAGGGAAGAGGGCGGGGAATTAATGCCACAGTTAAAATGCCCCTGGCACCGGGTCTTGAATTCATAATCTTCAGAAAATTAGATAGCGGATGTATTAAAAACGCGTTATTCCGCCTTTCTCTGCATATATTTTTTCCATGGTTTAATTACTTTTCTTTTGTTGATTTTTTTTTTAGACATTCAAGGAGCCCATACAACTCGGCTAATCACCCTTTCTCACTCACGCATTTTGACTATAGCACCTCGATAATAAAATTAGCTTAACAAGAAATTACCTATGAGTGCAAGTAGCTAACAAAAATTCAGCCTTTCATTAAAGTGTGATTGATTATCAAAACATGATCATTTATTTACACTATTGACTAATTTCTATGAATCTCTATTTAAGCCTTCCCCATTTCTTTGAATGGAAAAATCAATTGGCTACTTTATTTAGGTCAAAATCTATCATATTATTGTATTCAACTATCACGGTTTTTTTTCGAGCCAAGGGAGAGGGCGGGGAATTAATGCCTAAATTAAATGCCTGCCCCCGACACAAAGACTCGAGCTCGTAATTTTTCATGTAAACAGGTTTTCAGGCAACACGTAAATTGCAAACGTTTTAACTCCATGCAGTCTATTTAAAAAAAATCTCGGAATCGCTGCTACACGATGGTTCATGATTTCTAGAGATTGCGGGGTGATTTTAATCTTATTATTCAGTTGAAATGAGAACCTTTTCCTCTCCACTATTCAGCTTCTCTCTTAGAACTAGTTCTTTCATTGATTTCTCTTGAACTCCTTGGATCGGAGAGTCTACCTCTCGTCCCCCCCGAGTAACAGCAATCATTTTAGAATTAAAAAATGGTTATTTAAGTTACTAACGTATATAGGTATATTTTTTGTAGACAAATGAATATTTTTATTGAGCTTATTTCATTCATACATTATATTGCGTCATCTGAAAGCTGTGCAAATATTTGTCTAGTTTTCTCCTCTAACACACTCAATTTTCTGAAGGCATTTTCTGCTCCGTTACGCCAACATTTTGTGAAGAGGATCAGTTTCAATAGCTTTCGAATATTTCACCATTATCTACTTAAAAAATTAGTTTACTTCCAGGGGCAGCAATCTTATTTCGCCGCCCCCTTTTTCACCTTCTCTCTTCACAAATAAAAATCAACAGTCTAATAAGCAAGCTCGTGGAGAGAAACGTAAGATTATGCGTTTTCTGTGCGCCTCCTCTTAAGAAAAAACTATATCCTTATTACTTTTACCTAGCACTGGTGATTTTCCGGCCCCATTTTCCCATTCTAAATATACTTAATATATAAATGATTCTTTTATTTTTTTTCTTTATAATGTTTTCCACTTTATACATTAAGCACTGTGCACTGGCGGATCTACGGAGAGGGGGGGGGAGCTTTCGAACTGAAGCTCCCCCCAAAATGGTAAAATATAACCATGTTTTTACGAAAAAAATTATAAAAAATTAGCGTTATTTAAAGCCACTTATAATAAATTATCTTCGTGGGACAACTTACAATTAAAAATAAGTTGTGTTTGGTATGCATATAGTAATCTTAGAAAAGTTCAGTTCATTAGTATCTCATTTAAATATGCATTTATGATTTCGAATAATAATAATTTACTAAAACACGGCGGTGTATAAAATTCCTTCCCCGGTGCGGAAAGGTGAAAGAGAAATAAAGAACACCAAAGAACAAAGTCGAATGGGTGAGTTGAATGCCAGTATTTTTCTTGTTCGCCTTTCCTCCGTCCAGAAAAATCACTTTTATCCTAATTCCTTGGGCACAACTTAACATAGCAACATTTTTCAAACTCATCCTTAAACATACTAATCATAACATAATTATGCTTTCAATTAATAAGGTAAATAACACTCCAAAGAAAATTTTTTTTTATTTGTTTTTTCGATTTTTGCCATTATTTTATGGCAGAAAATTTATTTATCTGTTTCATTGGCCGTGGGAGCGACCTTGGGTCAGGAGTCCCTCCTGGGGCACACCCAGCCTCTATAAATTGGGCACCCTTAATTAAGTAATTGGTTAAGGGGGAAAACCTGGCGGTTGAGCGTGATCTCGGTCAAATCACCTCCTTGCACAACCGTTGATCTAGAAACAGTGCTTTCCCTAAATAGTACTGAACCCCAGACCCTTCATGGGTTGTAGTGATACAGGTTTTTTTTTTTTTTCGATTACTCCTGCATCGCGTTTTTTAGCAGTCGAAGGGTCAGGGTTACTTTTATAAAGTTGATTTAAGTAAAAGATGTTATATAAAAGTAATTTACTTTTATAAAATTACGGGGGGTTACTTTTATAATTTGAAATTGTAATTTAATAAAAACAGCGAGGTAAATGGCAAACTCTTCTTCCCCTCCCCTCCGTGCGTAATAACGGATCCAGAATTTAATTTTGGGGAGGGAGATTCAGCCCGTTATTTTATACATATATATAGACAATTACTTTGACAGGAAAAGAAAGAAACGAATATGAAATGGTGTATTAGTGATTCTTGAAGTCATATTTAATTCAATTACACAAGTAGTAATACTTTTAGAGATAATATTTTAATATGTTTTTCATAAGACATGGCTATATTTTACCATTTTGGTGGAAGGGACTTCAGCTCGAAAGGGAACTTCAGTTGTTCCAGAGGTACAACCAAAATCACAGTTGGAAGGTCGAGATTCATTCTGTTGAACCACCACGAAATAAATTTCAACCCGCCATGGCCGGATTGAAACCGCCGTCGCTAGACTCGAGAATGTTAAAGTTTACGCATTAACACGCTCGGCCATCACGACCTCTTGTTTCATCTGGTTGAAGTGTCAATGCATTACGATCCGCACAGCCTCTTGTGGTATTACTCAGGGTACTCCCCCTCCTCCAAGCTCGACGGCACACCTTCCGCCTAAGAAATTGTATTGGTTCCCTTCTTTTCAAAAGCAATGCAAGTAGAATTGATAAAATTGTAGACCAAGCGAGCCTTTCAGTTGTTGAAATTAAAATGTTGAAATTGGAGTTGGTCATTCTGTCAACTGAAAGGCTCATATATATCACAGGTGGGGGAAACGGAGGCATCACCAAAAGGGACCTCCGTGACGTACCTTCGGCCCCGCAGGCCTCTGTATGTTTTTTTTCGCAATCTTTATTAATTTAGCGTTGGAATTAATTAATATTTAACTATTTAAGTTACGAAAAATTCAAAACTAAGTTCAATATATGAATATGGGTTATGTGTATGTGTATTTACTTATACATAAAAATAGAAAAAGTAAAATATAAAAAGTTATTGTGGCGTCCATTATCAATACCCAACCTTGATGCGGCCTCTAATGATAATAAAAGGTTCTTCACCTATGGCATATACAATTATAATTGCTTTATCTACCCATTCCCTCTTTGTTCCCTTATTTGAAAGTTCCTCAAAATTGAACCCTATAAAAATATGATTCCTTCCATAAAGTCAAAACCCCATTAAAATGTGCTTCTTCCTCTAAAAATTCAAAATGCCATAAAAATGTGCCTCCTTCAAAATTTTTGATCTTGAAACTTGCGCCACAGAAGGATTTACGAGGGAGGGAGCTTACGGGCTGAAGCCCCCTCCCCCAAAACGGTAAAATATAACCATGTTTTATAGAAAAAAATATTAAAAACTATCTCTTAAAGTATTCTTGTTCGTGTAATTACATTTAATAGGACTTCAAGAATCACTTAAACACCATTTCATAAAGGTAGTTCATTTCTTTCTTCTTTTTTTTTCAAATTAATTATCGTTATATACATATGAAAAAAAATGTTTCGGGGTGAAGCCCCCCCCAAATTAAATCCTGGATCCGCTAGTGACTTGCGCTATGAACTCCTTTCTGGGTACCCGTGTTGTTACTAATGGTACACCATTAGTGGATCCAGAATTAATTTTGTGGGAGAGCTTCATCTCAGATTTTATTTTTTCATAATTACTTTGAAAAGAAAGAAAGATACCATCTATATGAAATGGTGTTTAAGTGATTCTTGAAATACAATTAAATATAATTAAACGAGCAATAATACTTTAATACACAATGTTTAAATATTTTTTACCATAAAACATGGTTACGTTTTACCATTTTGGGAGGGGGAGGGGTTCTTCAGTCCGGAAGCCCCCTCCCTCCTCGTAGATCCACCTGTGTGGTACACCACTGACTCAGGACCTAAATAAAGTAGTAGAAGAATATTCAAATAAAAGATGATGTCTTAAATACAGATTGCTAGAAATTAATTAATAATGGAAATGGCCATGTGATCATAAATATTATTTAAATGAAAATCTGTGTTTTTGTTAAATAACTACTTGAATTCATAGGTATAACGAATTCAAATAATATAATTATTGAAGTGCTACAGTTGAAATGCGTGAGTGAGGAAAATGGTGGAACATCTGGAATTAATTTTCTATTTCAATATTTAATTAAATAGACAACGGGGAAGGGCCTTCGAAACTATGTGATCTTAATAAATATCTTAACTTTTTATGAACAAAAAGACGGTGAGGAAAAAATAATAAAAATAGAATCCCTATAAGTTTCAAAACTAACAAAAATTGGTTTGAAACAGTTCACAATAATATGCATAAACCTTTTAGAAACATTAAAAAGCAAATTTTTATGCTCCAACGGAACAAGAATAAATAGGAATGAATGGAAGTCTAATTGAGTACAACCATCAAGTAAAATCAGACTTTTATTACGTTAATTCAAATATGACACATTATTTAAAAATAAAAAGGTGCGTCTAGACATTTGACAAATACAATTATCTAGATTAACAGCGATATTAGGGTTAAACCAAACCCATTTTTTTATTCTTCTTGTTACCGACAGCAGGTGGAAAACATCAAAAACAAGAAACAAAAACACAAGCATAGTGAAACAACATTTGTACTTGTTTGTCTCATAGTTTTTGAAATGTCTAAACGCACATTAATATTCAATCCACAGGTCAAGTACGTAATCGGCAGCTGGAAGAATCATATTTAAATGCAACGCACAAACCAATACAATGTGCAACCGAAACTGACATTCAAGGCTGAATTTCAATAACAATTTTTATAAGAGGATACTTTTAATATATATTAAACAATACCGATATGTTCATATGATAAAAGTAATAAATACACGTTCTTTTTATAAAATTTAAAATGTGGTGTGTCGCGGGAATCGCACTACTTTCACTTGCCACGCCACTTCGAGTAGAAATGTATTATTCTTATGATAAATTGGAAAGTGAATGTTCTAGATGATAAAAAATATTCATTTGAAACAATTGATTAGCCAATGTTTCCCCCAACTATCTTAAGGTACATTTATTCATTTAACAAAATATGGAAACACAAATATTTAAATGTGTTTTTTACTAGGATAGTATCTTTGTTTCTTATATTTGATGTTTTTCATCTGCTGTCGGTAATAAGAGAAATTTAAAAAAAAATCCAGATTAGCGTAATGTGGTTATTAGTTAAGTTAGATTATTATGATGATTAGATAAAAACAATTAAACACAAAAATTCAACGTTATAATAATTTATTTCCTTAGCTTAAAGCACTAGCGGATCCAGAATTTAATTTTGGAGTGAGCTTCAGTCCGAAAGATTTTTTTTCATGTACATATAACGATAATTAATTTGAAAAAATAAAATAAAATTAACTACCTATATGAAATGGTGTTCAAGTGGTTCTTGAAGTCCTATTAAATGTAATTAAACGAACAAGAATACTTTAAGAGATAGTTTTTAATATTTTTTTCTGTAAAACATGATTATATTTTACCATTTTGGGGAGGAGGGGAGAGGGAGCTTCAGCCGGAAAGCCCCCTCCCTGTAGATCTGCCTATGGCTTAAAGTCAGTTTTTAACGACCAATATCTAATTTTCCTGCTAAATGCCTTTGCAAATAATTTATTTTATATCCAATGTCTGTATTTTAAGCACTAATTTCATTTATTTCGCCATGACTAATTTCTATAATATATATGAAAACTGTACATTACGTGTTTAATCGGGAATATATCGGCAACGCTCGGCCTTGTTAGTCGGAGATTTAAAAGGCTATATTTATCCTTTAGTTAATAACAATTTCATTAATAATTTATATTTATTAATTGTTTGTAACTAATGATAATGTGAGAAGATTAATTATTTAAAATAAACATAATTAAAGGTATTTAAGAAAAAATAAAAATGAAAATTATGATTTTAAAGCCCCTTCAGACTATTTAAATGAGATTGAGAGATATTAAAAACTATTTAATTGTCCCAGATGTAACGATTTTAATCAAAATCGTTTTCGATAAATTCCTAAAAATGTGTAAAATAAATGATATAAAGTGGCACTTCCAGTTAGTAGATTTTTATGAAAAACTTACAGTAACCCCAACTTTGATGGAAGATGGACCCTGCTGATGTAAATCACGTTTGATAAGATTTTATAAATTAACAGGTATTAAGTTTACATCACATAACAAAATACAAAATTAAATTTATTTAACATGAAAAATTGTTAAAACTGTTCTTGACCATTGTTAAGGTTCCTGACATCATTGGAGAATCTGACATGGTTTAATAATAAAAAGAATAAAAAAAAAATTGGTTCACTGTTTTAAAGCTAAGTTCACTTCCTGTTTTCAAATTTGAATACTGTTAAAAAGTAACAAGTCATCCTCTTATAAAGTGAGACATTTGTGTTGATGAGTTACTTATAAAACTTGTTATGAATTTATTTTATTTCAAATTGATTACTGTACTAAAAGCTGCCCTGATTTCTGCAAGCTCCCAGGTAACTATCTCATTCTTTTTAAAATCATGTTAGACATCTATCCTTTTCTTTCAAGTAGAGAGTGTCCTTTCATGATCAATTTATTTTCAAATGTTGAAATAAATTCAACATTTAAAGTGCACTAACAATAAACCTGTTGCTGTTAATCAATTTTTCTTATTTTTATTATTTATATCGGTCATTCTTTTATTTTAGTTTCTCTGTTACAAGGCAAAATGCCACACCTCTCTCTAGCTTACTCTGCAGAAAAAATTCTCTTCCGTATAAGCAATAAGATTTTGCTTTCTGTAAACATCGGTGAATTCTAATCCAGTATTATACTTATTGAGACCTATTGGGTTGAGTGGGATCTTTTGTTATATGATAAGAACTTAATGACAGCTATGGTGATATTAATAACCAAGAAAATTAAAAAATGTCCATAAAACACGGTGTCTTTTTATTATAAATATCAAAAAGTTCCTTTCTATATAATTCAATTTACTCTTGTTCAATCTCTGCTCGTTTTTAATAGATTTTTAGTAGATCAAAGACTTTATAAATAGCAATATTTTAATTTTTAAAATCTAAATAATGAGTAAATGCAGGGCTCTATTTTTTAATTGAGAATTATAACAATCTGTCACGTGGACAATAATTATAGTGATATATGAACACATTCATACCATATATACAGAAAATATAAAATTTATAAAAGTAAAACAATAATCAAAAACTATGTACAATAAAAAATAAAATAACCTAAAGAAAAGTAAATTAAAAACACAGTCATACCTATATACAATCAGGCAGAAAACCCCAAGCCAGGCCTCTCTCCCCAACTATGGAAGGAAAACAGGACTCCAAGAGATTCCTGTGCTACTCTCATAACCGCATCACTGGTGCTAAAGCCAGTGGAGTTTGAGTGAGAGTGCTTTAGCCACATACACTCATGTCTTGAGTGAAGAATCTGGCCATTGCCAGATATATATACTACAAAAGATCTCTGGGCCACTGCTGCTTCAAGCTTCGAGCAGGATTGTAGGGATGAGTGGAACTACATTGTGATTGTGCTAGGTGATTCGGACGATGTTTGTCAAAATATAAGGTTTTAGGGACTGAGATTCTTTTTTCTAAAAAAAAAAAAAAAATCTTACGAATTATGTATGATTAAACCTGGTATAAGATGATATTTTTCCAAATTTTCAGTCATCCAATCTCCATTATAGAGTTCTAATATTCCTGTTATTACCTTTCTACAAGCCATCACTTAATTATGCAACTTCAATCTCACCAAAGCTTTGTAATTTATAAAGGGATATATCAAGTGAAATGTTAACAGCAAATAAGACCGTTAAGTTTATAGAATTGTCTTTACAATTAAGTATCTGAAATTCACTTCCATCAGACATATTTTCAACCATCTCATCACTATATCCCTTTCAAAAAACTGGTCCACTAACTACCTTTATTGCCAGTGACACCTTCAGACCAAATTCTGTAATCAGCATTGCCACCTTCCTCTGTTTCTATGTTAAGACCATGCCTCTTCAAGAATCATAATTCCTTTTGACCTTAAATCAAAATGAACATTTTTAAATAGTAAATAATTAACCTACATTTTTATTTTTCTACAACAGAAATGCTGTATATTAATTATGCAGAGAAAAATCTTATTTTTATTTTTAATAAGGAAACATTTTAAATGAATATGGTCAACTATTTAGGTCTATGTACAATGATCTTATGAATTTTATTGATATATCAGTCGCACTGTAAATAGAATTTCATTTTTATCATCCCAAGGTTAGATCAAATAGAGGTTGTAACAAATTTATTAACTTTGCAACTGAGAGATTTCAGCATTGCCTGTTTTTGTATCAAGTCATAGATATAATAATTGGTACTTCATTTTGATGATAAAGGGTTTGAATAACATGGCCTCACTTAAATTTCTTTCACTAATCATTAACCTTTTAACGATGATGAGAGGGAAGGGTGTTGCGGCCTTGAGGACAGCTCTCCCACCCTGTGACAGAATACTTTTCTTCACCACTTAAGCATTTTTGTTTAGTGCGTCGTTCAAAAATTTGTTATTTTATTTTTCATTGAACTTTTGTATTCTTACAAAATAACTCTTAATTTTTATAAAATATGAACTTTTCAACCTTCACTTTTTATACGATTGAATGAGACAAAATCTAAAAACACAACTGTCATGTTACCTCTTAAACAGAATAGAATAGAAATACATAACTGAGCACCCCCTTATTTACAGAGAAAGAGCCCAATTTCGACTCGACTTATATTTGAGTCCACTGTCGCCTGGGCTAGATTCATCTCCATTCATATATGACTCCACTGTCATTAAAAAATTAATAACAAGAGTTACTTACCCTTTGGGCTAAATGTCCAAATTTTGTAGGGTATTAAATAATGAAGTTTTTAATTAAACACAAAAAAAAAAAGACTTTTAAAAGATAATTTTATTACCATTCAAATCATTTATAAAGCAACAGAAAAATATTCAAGGATTGAACATTACCAATTTTCTATATTAATTATGAGAAAATTTTACAACCAAATCTTCGAAAAAACAAAAGAAGTAAATAAATAAATTACAGACATGCATAATACTGAACAATAATATCTATTACAATACTGCCATTTAGCAAGTTATTACAATCTAATCTTGAATTAAATTGCTAGTAAAACATGTATTATAACAACAATGGAACTCTTTAATATGTACATCACTTTGCAAAGGCAAAGAAAATAAGTAGTTAAAATGATTCTTCTGATGCAAATAGAAAAATCTGGGAGTTTAAATTCCTGAGTATTGCTTACTCATTTTTAAATACATGATAAATTAGCTTATTACAATAATAAATGATTTCAATGTCATTTTTTGTTCTTATTTTTTCAATTCCACATGCAATTAAATGCCATCTCATATATTTTTCGAGCAATGGTGGGCTCTCAACAGATCTTGCATGTTAGGGTGAAACAACTGGTCCCAATTCATTGGCTCAGCTCGTAGTTAGTGCATATGGTGGCATGTAGCCTGCATCACCATAACAGCGTAATAAGACTCGTCCACTCGGTAAAATACTCAGCCATGTAATACTAGCATGCTTTAGAGATAACCTCAACCAACCTTCTGCAGGATACTGCAACGCTCTAAAAATATATTTAAGCTGTTAATAATATAGAAAAAAAAAATAGAAATGAAAAGGAAATAATATATACTCATGATTAAATATACCTGCAGACAAAGTATCTAATGACATTTGCATGGCATACGACAACAGTGTAAGTATCAGTTTCTTGTTTTGGATCAGCTCTGTAAAAGTATTTTCTAAAAGCTGCTTCGATTCTTGCACCATCCTGATGAAACTGCTGAATTAAAATTGACCATAATATATGTAAGTAATAAAATTATATAAAAATAGAAATAAGTAGTATTAATTTTTTGTTTCAATGACATCTTTTACAACTTATATATGAAGTATATTTTATGTATATATAAATTCTTCTATAAATATACTTTATTTAGAAAGTTACATCAATGGTGAATAAAAGACTTTAAACTTTAAGATTGCTGCCTCCTCTTCCTTTGTGACATTTGTTCACATATGATTGAATCCATTAAATTTTTGTTTTTGGAAAAAAATAATAATATGTTTTATTAAAATACATATATAATTTATAGGGGGCAGACCGGCACGCTAAACATACATTGTTCGGCAACCTGATAAACTGAAGATTGTAAGTTCAAGTCTCTCTCCTCTGACCAAGTAAAAGCCGAAAAGACGGATTGGAGAAAAATGAAAGAATATATATATATAATTAAAATTATGAATTATTTTTGGTATTTAGGCACCGCTGTGTAAGCATTGCTCGAGGCAATAGCTCTGTTTGTCCTCCTAGTTACACCCCTGTTATTATGGACTTTAATACAAAACAAAAACAAAGCCATGAAATCCAAAGAATTAAATGTTAAAAACTATTTATTCAGCTTCCAAAATTTAAACTATAACAGAAGAATGTCTAAGCAACATCAATCATAGCTTAATTTAGACCATTATTGTGAGAAATACTGCAGTTCATAGCTGGGCTTGAAGCAGAAAATTTTTTTTATTTTAAAAAAGTTTCAGTACATCGGAATTTTTACTATCGATAGTTTTTCAGTTCTTTTGGAACTAGAACTTTTTTCCTAGCAACTTTCTAAGTAAAGGTTTTACAGAACTTTTATTTCTAAGTTCTATCAATTTCACTATAAGTTGATCTAAAAAATGACATATTCATAGCTACTCAAACAAACAACACATTAGAATCATGAATAATTTATTTAAGACAAATTATAATTCTAATCTAATTCCAATTACTGTTTATTTTTCTTTTAATGGAACTTTTTTTAAGTTCTAACTTTCACCATAAATCTGGAACTTAATTACAAAAAGTGCCTTTGAACTTTTATTTTAACAACTTTTAACAACCAACAATTTTTGATTGAACTTTTGTATTCTTACAAAATGACCCTTAATTTTTATAAAATATGAACTTTTCAATCTCTACTTTTTATACAATTGAATGAGACAAAAACTAAAAACACAACTGTCATGTTCCCTCTTAAATAGAATAGAATAGAAATTCATCACTGAGCACCCCGTTATTTATAGAGAAAGAGCCCGATTTCGTCTCGACTCATATTTGAATCCAGTGTCGCCTGCACTGGATTTCATCTCCTCTCATATATGAGTCCACCGTCATTAAAGAATTAATAACAAGAGGGCTTCATAGAGGGCCAGAATTTCCAACAGTTACTTTTGTTTTCTTTGTCCAACTTTGTAGGCTTTTCATGTCTGTATTCCTTTACAGATTGTCTTCCACATTGGCTTCTTGTTAAGAGATTTATAATAATACATATATCATTAGTTTATTAGACTCTAGACATCAGGATTGGTTATGTTGAATCATCGAAATTGCCAGATTAATGGAGGTATATTTAAAAACCAATGAATATGGAAACATAGTATTATTAATTTCCAATTAAAACTATTTAGAATATTTTACCAAGATTGAATTTTGGTAATTTGTAATGTAAAAGAAATAAAAGTCACTTTGTAAAATAAAGACAATATTTAAACAATAATGTACTGAATGATAACATTAATGTTAAAAGTTTTTCTAGCACTGTAAGATGATTCATTACTCTTGAAGAATGAATCAATGTGTTCCATTGTGTATACTGTTGCCTAGCTAATATCATGTAAGTCAGAAAATGAGTTAACTTGTCACCTTCCAGATATTTTAGGGACATTGTAATATATCTGTCTTATCAAGAGAATTTTGTATGAAGCTGAATGCAGATAGTGTCACAAGTTCTAAGATTGTATCTTAACAAAATGTTCTATTAGAATAGTTGCCGGTATATAGGTAATGCTCAACATCAGGAGGCTTACACTGTTCATAATAATATTGAGTTATATTTATTTTGAAGATTTAACTTAAAGAAATAAACAGAAAATAGAATAGAATAAATATAATTATAAAACATTACATAATGAGGAGGTTTCCAATGGCCAACAGGTGGTTCTGGTGGAATTGGAGCACCTTCTTCAAGTAACATGCATTCTTTAACTGGGACATGGGGAATGTATTCAGAAATGATTTTAGCAGTTTCAATAGCTCTAGCCATAGTTGAATGAACTAAATTAGTATAAGGAAAATCTAATTCTTTTAACCTCTTCCCAGTCATTGCGGCCTGATCTCTTCCTAAAATCATTAAAACATATCTAAGTATATCATGAAGCTATTTAATTTATAAATTTAAAAATAAGAGAAACTAAAATGTAATTTTAAAAACTTAATATTCTACACACACACAAAAAAAAAATTACTTGAAAGATAATTTAATATGAGTAATAATGAGGTTTCCAAATAAAACTTAATCACTAAATAATGCTTTTCTTCACCTCTCGATTCAGACCCCTTAAAAATGTGCCTCCTCAAGATTTTTGATGGTGAAGCACCATCAAGTCTGCACCATGTCACCTTATCCTTGGCCTCCCTTTTTTAATGCTTAATTTTATTGAAAGTTCTAGCCAAATTATTCCGACATATTTCAAGATTTGTTATATAAGATAATTAAAAGCTTTTAATATAAAAGTTTAGTTTTTCATTCTGTAAGCGCGGTGGACAGGAATACTTATCTTGTGGAGATAATACTGAAGATTATTTGAACAACAATGGATATACACCTCTTTGAACACTTTAATTTTACAATTTAAAAACAGAAGTTTGATGGCTCTCATTTTTGGATTAATGTTTCAGACACTTTAAAGTTATTTTATGTAGGTCATTTTGTATTTGAAATATTTTACAATATACATACATATACGACTCACAGTGAAATTGATACATCATGTAGAAAAAGTAAATAAATAAATGGTTACAGTAAACAAATAAAACTAAACAAATAAACTTTTCAACAGACTTATTTATAATCTAAATTTAAATATGTACAAACTCAATAAAATTAAAATATTCAACTGTGATTAATTAAAAACAAAAAACTGGATAATTTTACCCCACAGTCAAAATGATACACCTCACTTTTTATTAACTTTTAAATACTGGTAATTTAGTTCTATAACTTGTAGACAAGCCATTATTTTTTATCACTTCTTTCAGTTTGTTTGTAATAGAATCGAGTAATTTTTTGGTGAATTCTGGGATTAGTAATTTATTGTGTATGTGAACAAATTTGTTGAATCAAAAGATAATGTTATAGTTTAAAAAAAAAAAATGTATTTGACAATTTTTGGAGATTTTTTTTTTAATAACAATGATAATGATTACAATGGCAGTAATTATGATAACAGTCATAGTGATTATGATTACAATGATAACAGTGATTGTGATCACATGATAGTAATTGAAATCATAGTATCCACTTATGATTGCAATAAGATATCCATGTTTATAGCAATTATTCAGTTTTAAAATTTATGCAAATAAAATGCTTAATACACTAAAGAAAATCAGAATTATACATAGATATATAGTAAATCGATACTGGAAAGTACCTCATAAATTTTAAATGTATTGAGACAACAGAGAAACTTGTAATCTAAGATTTAAAATACCTAATTCAGTCAAAATCCTTTCTTTATCACAATTACCAGCTGTATTGTACTGGCCATGTCTGATCAAAATTAGATGCCTTATAGCCTTTGGTTTAACACAAACCTCTCCTTCATCTCCACTATTTAATTTTATATCCTTTTTTTCACGTTCCCTTCTGAAATAAACAAAATCACACCAAGATATTTAAGATGAATACATAATAATAGAATTTTGAAGTGAATCACAGTTTCGTAATACTTCTTTACTTTAATTCCTATACAGGAAAGAAACTAAAAACAATTCAAACATATTTTAACAAAATGAAAAGTTAAATAATCTTCTCACTTGTCCCAATTGAAGTCCCATTTACTTGGATATTCAAAAGTACTTTCAGAAAAAGAATGAGCTTTTACTTTGCTTCTTTTATCGAATCCATAATAAGTATATATTCCTCCTACAGTTCCAATTCCAATTGAAATCTTTGTTAAATACCTAAATGTAGACATTTGCGAGGCAAAAATTTGAATTGTTCGTATAGGTTATAGTTGTAGAATGTAAACATATGATGGTGGTTAAGGGCTGTCTAGTTTTATCACGATCTCCAATGAGACAGCAAAATTTTTAATGATAAAACTTAACTTCTCATTTTTTTGTCTTAATTCTTTCTTTGGATCCTTAACTAAAAGAAAACTTGTTTTAAAAAGTTTCTTGTACATTTTTAAAACCTAATATCTTATTTGTCAATGTGGCAGTATTTAGCAACCTTTCATTTGTTTAACTCGCAGGTGCGAATTTCAACCCACTGATTTTCTTTGTTGTTCGCTGTTGTGATTGATTGAGTTAGGAAGAATCATAGATGTTAGTGTACTTCTAATACTGTGGAAGACTGCGTTATTTTTTAAAAATACCCTTTAAGGAATGTGATATGTTCTCGACGAGCTAGAGAACCTACATAAAATGGCTGCGAGTAGTAGTGGTGTTGAATGGGGTAGTATAGTTAAACCCATATTAGCAGCATCCTATGGATCATTTAATAAAAACTATATCACCGATTTAGCTAAAGCAATTATCCGCAGGTACTTTACCATATTCGTTCATTTTTAATTAGTTTTGGTCTTCTTTCAAAACTGTGATGTTTTCCCTTTATCAATTTTTGTTTCAGTTTAGTTATTTCCTATCATTTTTATGTTCCTGAAATTCACGTTTTATCTTTGATATTGTTGTTTACTCTCCCTTTAATTATTTGATTGGCTTAACCTTAAACTTCTGATCCATTAGTCATCATAAATGATATTGTTTATCATTTCATAAGTAAAGTTATTTATACCTTAATGTGTTTAATGCTGTCTCACACCACTTTATTTCTTTTAAGATAAGCTTTCTTATTTTAATATTTTTGTTAATATTGTTTTTAGTGAAGCTGAATTACTACACCACGATGAAAAATATGAAACATTTTACACTGCTTTTAGTGCACTTGCAGCCGATTACATTAGTTCAAGTATTTCTGCAGGTAATATTCCTGAATTTAATCATGGCCTAACATATCTGATATTGTCATGAGTTTGTGACAACTGATTTACCAAACTCATTAGTATTCATTGTATATTTATTGGTGATTATTGCTCTGTTTTAGTGTGCAAAAGCCAGTTGGGTACAGTATGTGCAGCTTGCAAAATATTGTTGCAGTATTTACTTTCCAGCCTTAAAAAGTGCAATGTCGATTCATCTTCAAGCATACTAACAGTTAAACAATTGCTGTTACCCATCAAGGCTCTATGTACGGGTCAGTCAATGTTATCACGGTCTGATCAAGTTGCTTTAATAGCTTTGTTGAAGAATGCCAAACTACCTCCTCATATCAAGACATCTATTCCAGGTAAAGTGGTTTGTAAGAAAGATTAATTAGGCTTAAATACTAATGCTAATAGCATTTATCAACCCTAATTTAAAGTAATCATTACCAAATTTGTCATGATTGTTGATGTAAATTGTTGTCATGGATAATCACCCATGTTTGTATCAAGTATATAATTAGTTCACATTCTATCTTTGACCCTTGCATTAACTATCGATTGATCTAGTTATTTGTTTTAATTGAATTGGTTTTTCTTATTGAATATGGGCATTGTTCTGATTTACTGTTTCATAAACAGTAAGGTTTGAATTAATTATCCTCTACTTTTAAAATTTATTTTATGATGACAATGACAGTCAATGTTTTAATCTCTAATAGTATACTAATTTTTATTTTAATTGGTTTCTACCAATTTTCCTGTAGGTTTAGCTAATCTGTCTTATTAGATGGATTGGGATGAGATGGATCACTGTTTCAGGAGGGGTATTTTGAGATCAGAAGCAAGGATTTCATAACAAAAAAAAAATTATGTTATGACATTTTTTATTTTTTTATATAATGCACTTATTAACCATTCAAAATTTGAGGTTCAAGTTTCAATCATATTTCTTAAAAAACTGATAAAATTTTTTTTTTTGCGCTTGACCGATTTTTATCTAACAGTATTGGGCTAAGTTTCCCAATTTTATAATGCTAAATCTGTTTTTTTTATTGATTGTAAGCCAGAGTGGTTCTATTGATTTAGATAAAACTTACCTAAAGTCTTCTCCTTAAAGGTCTCTACATATTTATTTATGTAGTAAACCTGTGAAAAAGGCAGATTAAAAGTTATGAAAAACAGTATTTTTTTTTTTTAAATACATTAAAATCGGATCACATCAATGACATAGCATATTAAACTTCGTACATATTAAACATTTTTGCTCATATTCCCATGGAAACTCGTTTACCTTTTAGTTGTTTTGATAACATAATGTACATCCCATAGAACACTAACACTCCAGGAGCTCTAGTTCTGAAAATAACTTAATTATCTTTAAATCTTATCTTATATATATATATATATATATATATATATATATATATATATATATATATATATATATATATAAAATTATCTTAAAAAAAAAAGTTATAAACACTTTGTTAGATCAATATTAGTATATGTATTACAAACAACTTTTTTATTTTACATTTATCTAAAGCAGTAAGTGACCACACAAAATAGTTTTGATGTATAATCATCTTGAAATAATAAACTATTGCATTGCAATTTGCAGCAGTTTTATTATTATATTATAAATTATTTAATTTAACTAGCATTAAGTTAATGTTTAATTTAGTTTTGAATGATCTGTTTTTTATACTGCAATGTTTAATAGTATACATACAGTTAGTTAAAGTTATAAAATTAAAATATATGTACAAATACACACACACACACACACACACACACACACACACACATATATATAATGTTAATGTTAAAGAGTTTATTGAATTTATTAGGATTTTTAAAAAAATATTTTTTAATAGGAATTATCTTGGTAGAAAGTATTTTCGTTAATGACATATTTAACCATTTTAAAATTAAATGTGGTTAAAGATATGTTATCTCAATTTCCAATGATTTGTAATACTATCGTATAATTATATGTTTCTGAATTTTTTTTTTAAATTTGATTTTCAATTAATCACATTACCGATACTGAGCATTATAAATTAATCATGTTAACAATATTTACATTATAAACTAGGTCTTAGTTTGAACCAGATAACAATATGTATGAGAAACATAAACAATGTAGGTAGAAAAACTTAAACTAAAATGAAGTAAGTAGAGTAAACTTTAAAGTCAAATGAAGTAGGTAGAATCATAACAAACAGAAAACTAATAAATAATAATAACGGCTACATAGTGGGGACAGTAAAAAGATAAAAATAAAACTGTTTCTATCTATGTATAAAACTATTTTTCTTTTTCATAGGAGATACAGTTGAAACAAAAAATGAAAATAAAGAAGGAAAGATACGTTCTAGGACTGATTTATCAAACCAAATAATGGAACAATTGACTTCGCCTCTGTTAGATTATACCTTAATGAAACAGGCACCTCCTGAGCCAACTGAAACAAAGTCTAATGAAACTACTCCAGATAAATCTAATGAAATAGATGTAAGTTTTGAGTATTAAATCATTATATATTTCATTATTTAATAAGTATATTGAGGATTTAATAAGTATATTTGAGGTAGTTAATAAAAAAAAAAAAAAAAAAATTAGTTATTTTGATTTATATGATAATTGTGGGTTGATGGTTGCCTGTAGTGAATAATTGAAGAGAAGGATGGTTGGAGTAATCAGTCAAAATAAATAATAATATTTATTTTTACATTTGCTAACGTTTCGGCCCAAAATTCAGGCCTTCATCAGGGCTGAGAAAAGAACCAGCAAAGTGACTTCTTAACTGTTTTCAAATATATTTATATGTTGCTCAAACAAATCTGTATTACTTTATTTTCTCCTTTGCTTATATACACTCTGTTCATTCTTTGCCAAAAATTCGTCATACCTTCTTTTGAATTGTATCACCTTCTCTGTATTATCCCTCTCTCCTTATAACATGAAGTATCAGCTGGTTTTTATGGCAATGCTTACCTGTGGTATTCAATGTTTTTTTTTTTTCAATTGTAAATATGTTTTTTAACAGCCACTTTGTGAGACTTTTAGATGTAAAGCACCATTACATATATTAGTTTAAATCAGTTTAATATGTGGTTGTATTAATTGATTAAAGTAAAAATTGATTGTGGTTGTTGTCATGAAAGAAAAGACACAGTAAGTAAACATACATTTTAATGTACTGTGATATTTTGACCTTCTAGGATTGAGACAACCACCGTTATATAAAAGCTACATTGAATAGGTATAGTAGCAAATATGTAGGTGAGTATAAAACAAAATGGAATAGTGTTTTTCAACTTTAAAAGTTTCCAGGTTAACACTTTCTGTGCGTTTTCTTTCTTGACTGTAGCCTCCTCCCAACCAACTTGGATTGGATTTATTATTAGCTCTAACATTATTGATTATTACATTATATATATATATATATATTTTTTTTTTTTGCAGCATGTTTTTATACAGCAGAATATATCAAATCTTCAAAGTTTGGGAGCTGCAGATGTACTTATAGAAACGTGCTTACAACTTCCATATCTGAATAGATATATTAGCAAGTACAACACAGCAATGATAAAGAAAGGTTTCAGTCTTCCTAGTTCATTTTCTGAAGCTCAGGCAATGAGGCACAGGTACTTTCTAAATAATTAATACTTAAATTTTTATTGGATTACAGTAAGACCTCTATCAGGACAGTTATCTAATAGTGTGAACTAAGAATTACTGGCCCAGTAAATATCATCTTTTGATTACTTAAGTTCCTCACAGCTATAATTCTTCGACCCCCAGTAGTGTGAACAATTGAAATGAATTTATTTTTATTCTTAAAGGAATAATGGAAGTTGTCTTTATTCACTAATAGGAATTATGGGTCTCAACTTTTTTTGTATTAGTTGGTGATCACATTATTCCTCCTAAAACTTAATAGTTCATATTACCAGAGCCTTTCATAAAAAAATTAATGATTGTGGGAATAGATAACCTATTCTTACTTGATTTATTTGTAATAATTGAACTTCAAGTTGAAAGTACACTAGTTCCACCACTGGTTATTTGGCACAGAAGGGACTTAACACACAAGCCAAAATCTCCATTGGATATGAATTTGTAAGAATTGGTGGAATGACCTGTGTATTCAGTATTGAGAATTTTCTCTGCTGCTACTGTACAAGAGTCACTCCACTTTGGTGAATGGCTCAAGCTCTTCATGAGCGGACCATAAATGGACATCTGAAAATGGCCGACTGTATCAAAAAGTAGACAGAAGTGATCTTAACCATCTGGTAAGGTCCTTACCTTAACTGAAAAGGACCTGTTTGCTTAACCCTTTTGAATGAGCATAGTGAGCGGGAGTCGAAAGCAACAATGTAATTAAAGCCCCAATTTTAACTAAAAAAGACTAGGAGGGACTTTGCTGAAGTCCTAAATTGCATTCTAATCAAAGGTAGGTTATACTGTAACCTGTACCTGTATAATGTAAGGGAGGTTGACAAGGCAATCCTCAGAATGCCATTTATAGTTTGATCATGGGATCTTGGCCATTTCATCAAAGTGGAGTGACACTTATACAGTGGTATCCGTTCTCTATATTTACTATTTTTTTGGAAATATTACCCTAGGCTTAGTAATAGTAATGTGTTTATTTAAAAATTATATTTATCATCGGTTTTATTCTGTCGAGTTTTCATATAATTTTGATTAACGGTTTCAATTTTGTTCTAACATTATTTTATTTAGCTCAATTTTAATCTCTTAGTATTTTTATGGGATTTACTCATTTTTGTATTTAAATCTTGTGTTAATTTAGTAAACATCTGTTCTATAAGTTCTATCATTTTTCTATTTGGATTAATGAGTTATTATCTACTTCCGCCAGCATCAATTAAAAACTTTGGTTCATTACCCACTCTTTCTCCCATCAAGCATCTTCCAGGTGTTTCGCTACTTTCTATTTCAAAATTCCTTCCCAATCCATTATTTACTATTAGATCACTTATTCCATCAATTTTGCACAAATTTCATATATTTTATTTATTAAACTCTAGTTCTATTATTGAGGCATTCCGGTAATATTAAGACTACTATATGGATATCTAACATGAAATAATTATAATTTGATGTTTAATACTTAAAGTTTAACATTTAATGTCTATTGTTATGGTTTTAATTTGTTTTAAAACAAATATTTATTTATATTCCTTAAAATGAATATCACAATTTTTCATCTTTCTTTCAATACAAAGATTACTGTTACTTTTTACTAACAATATCATTTGTATTTATTTTGAATATTTCAAAGTTTATCAATTACGATTGATGAAGTTTTTTTTTACAATATATGAATAATGTATGTATGTTTTATAAATTTAATTTATGATTCTAAATAATATTTTTGATTGCTTACAGTTTACAAAATGTAGTAACAGATCTGAACGTAGCCTGGAGTGCTTTATCTTTGCCAGTATTGGAACCGCTGACCCAAACAAGGTTAGAAAAGCTGACAAGTGTTACGATGGGCTGTTTATATTGTGCTCTCTCTACAGCAACTGCTGCTAGTGTCCTTGGTGTGTCCTCAGCAGTGTCTCCTAAGACCGCTCCTCCAGCAGCTGCCAATAGTGGTAGTTCTATTTCCATGTTTTATTTTGATTTATTTATCCTCATTAACTCTGTAATGAATAGAAAGAATGTTAGTTATTTTCATTTTCATATCATTATAGTTTGATATATTGGAGGCTTGTATCATTAGTTACCTACTTTTTTTTATTTATTATAATTTTTAGGTGGTTCCTGTAAAACAAATGAAGATGAGGGGAATGCAGATGCACTTGCCACATCAGTAGTAGAGAAAGCCTTAGAAATATTCAATTTAATATCATCTGTGATAAAAACATCTACCAGAGCTGGAGGAAATGTATTTAGTTTTGTTTTCTTTAATATTTTTTTTTGTGAAATGTGTTTTCCTTTACTTTTGTTCAGTAAAAGATAAGACTTTGTTAGCATACAATATTAATATATATCTTTTTTGCCAACTTTACATTTGTATTTTTTTTTTTTTTTAGATACACCAAAATTACATGTTGATTGGAGCTTGGTTAATAATATCTGGATTGCAAGGGCAATTATGTGCTTCGAGTCAAGTACCTTCTGAAAAATCCATAAAAGAAGACAAAGGAAAGTCACCTAGCAAATGTAGAGAAGGATCAGCTAGGATAAACCTTATGAAAGTGTAAGTAATTTATTTGTTATAATGAGATTTATTTGTTTAGTATTATTATTGAATGATATAAAATTGTTGCAATGAGAATTATTTTTGTGTGAATAGACAACAAGGATTTGGTGTATTGTCTGTTGCTCTCGCATCACATGCCCTTCGACTAATGGGGCAGCTGTTGGAGGATGTTCAATACGAATGTGGTTCCTTCAATTCAATATCTCAGGCTGAACAATTTGCAGACCTACAAATTAGCAGTCAGTCTACAGCACTGCAAAGGGCTTTAACTGTACTTAATGCTGTTCCTATAAATCAGTTTCTGTTCTACCTTGCTACTGTCACATATAGAAAAGTAATTATTATATTATGTTTTTCTGTTTGTTTTTTCGAATAATATTATAGAAGTAATGTTTTTATTTGATTTTTTTTTTTTTTTTAGGCTTGTACTCTGAAAAGAATCCAAAAGCAACCGGCTGAAGGTGACACTTTTAGTACATCAGATTCAACAACTTATTATGATGATGATATGAGCTGTTCAGATGAGAGCTCTCCTGACGTAGGTTAGTAATTTTTCAATTTTTTAAAAATTAATTGATAAGTAGTTAATCGTTATGCGTGAAAGCCTTAAAAGTATCCTAAAGTCTTAATATTATTAAATTTCACAATCGGTCTCCTGTTTTGGAGATTTCCTACTTATTATTGTATCTTTCTCAAATAATCTGAAACTTTAATTCGTATTGGGAATGAGAAAATAAAAGTATTAGAAACTTATCTAAAAATCCACCAACATGTATTAGTATTTTGTGAGTTTGAGAAATTATTGATTTAATATGAATTTCCAAGTTAATGTAGTATGATATTGAAAATTTTTATTGAAATATAAAGCAGTTAGATTCAAGTAATTTCATTGGATTTGGAATAATTTAATTTGATAAGTTATAAGTAGATTTAAGTAATTTCATTGGAATTGAAATAATTTAATTTGATAAGTTATAAGTGGATTTTATTGTTATTGATAGATGATGATAGTGAACCATTATTGGGTTTATGGTTTGAAGAAACTATTGCTATACCAGATAATGAAAATTCATCTAAAACCCAAAGCCAAGATTCTCAAGAGTCAATACAAAAAAATGTTGCTGATGGATCATCCTCTATTGTTCCTGAAAAAGGAGAGCCCAATGGAGTGAGTAATTTATATTTCTGAGATCACATTTGGTTCCTTAATTGCTAACGACTAATCTTTTAATGGGATTGATTACAGTATATATCATTAGCAACACAGATCTTCAACATAATGAATAAATATCTCGTCACTAGCAGAGCTCAGTATCTCACTCGATATGTAGAAACTGGGCTAGCTGAACAACAAATGGTGATGTTGGCAGCTATCATCAGAGATTTAGACAGGGAAACTGCCAGAACAGATACAGGTAATTAACGATCAACATATTAATATGTATATATATTATATTTAAATAACAGGTACCTATTGGTCGTTTTTCCAAAAAATCATCAAGTAACCTTTTAGAAAATTAAATTAGTGAATAATTTGATGAATTTTCCATTTGAGAAATCCCAACATTATTCACTTACAATTTGTGTGACAACTTTTGATCTAACCATGGCAGGCAATGAAAATCTCGTAATATCATTTTAATAAACTTTACAATGGAAAGTAACAGTTTAATAACTAATAGTCCTACAATCGATAATCATTTATAGGTTAATTATTCTGTTGAATATTTAATAGTTCACCATTGCATTATAAAGGAAGGAGATGGTCCGGGGTGGCGGTCATAAATAGGCTAAATAGTGGCAAAACTATTTTATTAAAAGCCAACCAAGGCTTGTAATAAAATATTTTTGCCACTATTTAGCCTATTTATGACTGCCAACCCGGACCGTCTCCTTCTGTTAAATATTCTGATGTACTTTCAAATCTCTCTAGGCATATATGAGCCTTTCGGTTGACAGAATGAACTCCAATTTCAACATTCTTTATTATTGATTTATTGATATTTCTAGTGGCAAAATGTATACTATTATTCACAGTATTATAAAGGTATAAACTGAAGTTATGTGGTTTATAAAAGCAGATGGAGGAACTAGATTTTTATTGCATACTATCGATATAATAAATAGACATTTGTAATTGTAATGGTCTTAATGATTTGTTATCTGTAAGCTTTAAGCTTTAGCTCTGTTTAAAACACGCTACAAAAATTTTATAATAGTCCAACATGGCCAGAAAATGATTTCTATTCAAAGTAGAGTGGTAAGTGAAAGTTGTGTATTGCGTGCACCAGATTTTTTCTTTTACAAACGTCTCTTTGTGATCGCTCTTATTTCAAGAAAGAGTTTAATTTATGTGTTTGAATACCTTTGGTAACTTAAAAGTCTTAAACACTTAAGTAAAAAATGAACTTTTCTTATTATTTTTTCTATACATTGAGTAAAAAATTATTCCTTAATTTGAAGTTATATTAAGCCATTCAAATTTATGTTTTATAGGTACAATTTCAGTATATTTTGGTCAAGTACTTGGTCAGTTGTATACTGAATTTTCCCAAGCTCTTACCCAATATACTCATAATCTGCTCGCACGCAATTTGCTGTCACCGTCTCTCCAATCAACACTTCTTCTCCATCTGGGTGTTAGTCCTTTCGCTAATACCGACAATCACAGCTGGCCTCTTCAAGTCTATCCTCGGACATTGGCTGTCCTTGCTCAGGTAGATAGTGCTTATGAATCATAATTATAAAATTCTAATTTTTTATAAAAAGTCTGGACATTCAAATCTCTTTCTAGTTTCTATTAATAAAATAAGAATGAATGAAATGAATCCATTGAAAGCTAGTAAATTATGTTGAAAATACTAAAATGAAATTGAATGTTTCATAAATGATTATTTTTCCCATATTGTTTTAAGATTTTTATATTTAGAAAATTTAGCATTTTTTTCCTATTCCAAACAGCAGCTATATATCGCTGTTAAATTAAACCCTCAGCAATAATCCAATAATTATCACTTTAAAATTTTCATAATTTTCTTTTTAAAGGTGCTCCTGCTGAAACCACAAGAGGAAAAGGCCTCAGCTTGTATTAGTATATGGCAAAGACTGATAAATACTTTGATAGATAATATTTGCTCTACTCCTACAACAACCGTGGAAGCAGAAATCGAGGGTATGTTTCAATTATAATCATAGATAATTATCTAGCCACTTTATCTAATTATTATATTTATATTAATAATGTGATAAATAAAATTTATTTTTACGAATGATATTTGTATTATCCCTATTTTTTATTTTATTTTATAGACCTTAATGTCGAACATGCACAGCTGGTTCTCTTCTTATTTCACTCATTGAATCTTATGCAGAAGAAGTCTGTACTTTTGTCGTGTGCAAATGGAGTAATGAAAGTAAGCGAAAAAGTAAGGGGCGTTATGAGAGAATCCCAAATATTGCACCTGTCTCGGCTTCTCTTACTTTTAGACTACCTGGTGAAACATTTATACGATGCACCTGCTGCTCTTCTTGAGCAGGTAAGCTACTCATCCAATCTATATTCATGCATTTGATTATGAAAGTTTATATAATTTTTTTTTATTTATAGTTCAGATAGTTTTTAAGAAGCGACACCACAGGGTGTCTAGCAGTGATGAAATTTATTTTGATAGGGCATTTTTGTACCAATGAGTATGGGGGTCTAAAAAGACTGCAGGTACAACCCCCTCTCCCTACAGCCGCCATTAATTGCAATGAGGTGTTGGCCGGTTCTCCAGGGGGTTCGAAAAGACAGTATATGTTTACCCACTTTCTACCATTAGCCACTAGGATACTATTCCCATAACTTCTGAACCTGTTTTTGGAATCAGTCTTAGTACTGCAAAAAGAAGGACTAAGGAGTTATATGGTGAAAAATTTAAACAACACTGGACTGAGAAGAAACGACGACATTCGAATCTGTTCCTTAAAGTTCTATGTGATAAAAGAAGTAAGCTGCTACTGAGTTTGGACAGAGCAGCTCAGAAAAAGCTTACAGCGATCTATACTGGCCACTGTAAGTTAAATTATCACATGTTCAATCTCCGAGTGGCTTTGATCTCGCTCTGCAGGTTCTGTCAGGAGGAGAATGCAACAGCCTTTCACTTCGTTTGTCATGTGATATGTTTGTAAGGCTTAGGCTAGAGCTATTTGGGGAGGATTATTTGGATCACCCCAGCAGCTATGAGTCCATTAACCTGATAAGCCTATTATTAAGATATGTGGAAGCGACTAAACTAAAAGTAATCTATTTTATCTTCTTCGTTGTCTTCCTCTTCGTGCCATTACTAGTGTCGAGGAGCCTCTATACAACGCAGCCATGCCTCTCGGTCCCCACTAACCCGCCTCCTTTCCTGGAGGGTTTTGCTTCTTTTCTCTCCAATCCGTTGTATATACTCCTGATAGGAAATTCCAGGGCGGCTCCTCGGCCTCCTCCCAGTGGGTCGAGCTTCCAGAATTTTCTGGAGTTCTCTCTCCTCCTCCATCCAACAAACTTGGCCAAACCACTTCAACTAACCTATTTTATGAACCTATTAAAGTGAATTACTAGTTTTGCTGATTAGAAAAGTGGTTAAATTGTTTTAATATTATATGCAACCCTATTGTTTGAATTTATCCTTTCAATGATTGTTTATGTATTTTGAAAAGTAATTACCTCTTTTGATAAATCTAGATATAAATTAATAAAATATTTTATATTGATTCGTTTTAACAGGTACAATGGAACTTGCTCAGTGGTACGAACATCATGAAAGAAGGAGAAGGCGGTATTGCTTCACGTCTTTATTGTCCCTGGAATGAGATTGATGATAATTATAAGTTTATTCCTCAGGATGAATTCTCTATGCGTCCTAGGTTCTATTCACTTACTTATGGTGAATTGAACAATCAAGAACCTCCAAAATTGTGTGGTTTGGTAAGATTTCATTGTTTATTTATTTTTTTAATGTTGATGTGGTCAATTCTCATAATTTAATTGGGTTTTTCCTTTTTCTTATTATAAACATCAATATCGAATATGTTCAATCCTTTTAATCCAAAGTCCTCCAAAATATTGTTAAGTCTTTTTTTTTTTTTATCTATACCTTCATTGAAATCAGTTATTCCACGTCTGCAACCTCCCCTTGTTAGTTAAAGGGGATCGATCATTGAAGAGGACATGTCTATCAAAGTTTTATATATAATTATTTGTTTATTAGGAGTCATTGAGTATTGATTTTAACATTAGTTTTATTATAATAACCATGATATTAATGATATATTATGTTATAGGCCTGTAACTTCATCCTTGGCACTCCTGACAAAGTGAAATACCCTTTGCTTATGGACGCTTTGGTTGAAATTCTGAGTATTACGGATCAATGTACACCATCAACGAGATGTTCAGAAAAAATCTCCTACACCACCCTATGTGCTATTCAGTACTGCTTCCTCATTTGTTGGAGGTAATATTCATTACATACATTTTATACATAATTAAATAACCAATTCTGTCTTAAGTAGGGTTATGAGTTTAAAATTTGTATTAAAATATAGATAATATATTTACAATATTTCTCCAATTCTTCTTCGGTGCATACTATTTATTTTCAAGTTTATTTATTATCAGCCATTTTACACCAATTTTCAAAATTTTGTCAACTTAATGACTACACATCTGATTACGACGTTTCGGCTCGTTGAGCCATTTTCAAGTCTAAAAAGTTTTTACAATTTAGTCATATTTAAAACATTACATACTTCAACATATAGAGATTCTTATTATATACCTAAAATACCAATCGTGTACCTGTCCTTCTCAACTTATGCATATTGCATGCGTCTACTCATATAAAAATTTTTTTTTTTTTTGTCATGTCCACCTTTAATTATTTTATAACATTATTATTACTCAATTATTTATTATTAAATGATTCAAATAAGTTAAAATTACCTTATAATGTGTCATCGACATCTCATCAGCCTCATTTCTGTTTCGTGACTGGTTATTCTTAAAGGAGTAGGGGAAGACTATTTATTTTAAACATATACAATGATGTTTCCCAATATTATATATGGACTTATTTTAAGTAAAATTAGCTAATTCATTTCATATTTTTATTTTTTCAATCGAACTCACGTAAAATGTATTCATATTATCCACGTCTGTATGATTATTTACCGAGTTTTTTAAATTTTTAGCTATGTATATTGCTTCTTTTATTCTACGTTTATTCATATTACTTTCATTACGTAGGATTTTGGTGTTTTTGAAATCAAATTCATGTTTAGTTTGCACAGTATGTTGAGAGAGCCCAGTAGGTAATAGCTAATTTAATTTTTGTGTTTTTTGAATTACAATTTTGTTTGTGCAGTTTAAATCTTTTTTCAAACCATTGTGATGTCTGTCCAAAATATGATTTGTTGTTGGAATTTTTACAGTTTATTTTATGAATAATATTCGTTAATTTATCGGTGGGTATTTTATCTTTAGTTTTGGAATAAATTGTATCTATTTTATTAATAGGTTTGATTGCTAATTTAATTTCATTTACATCATATTGTTTAAATGTTCTTTCTATTTTGTTAATTCAATTTCTAATATATGTGACGCTAAAATATTTTTTAGGTTGTTGTTTGTTTTTATTATATTTTTCATTTTGTGTTTTAATGTCATGTATATTGTTCATGGAAGGTTTTTGTTTTACTGCATTTTTGGTTTTAAAATAATTTGTTATTAAATTCGGTTCTTTAATTATTTTGTTATTTTGGTTTTCATTCTCGCTTTTATCATCACTAATATATTTTATCGCTTTGTTACTATTGTCATTTTTAACCAACTTTTTATTTCTATACCACAATTTATTTATTAATCGAATGGGGTACCAGTTTTCTAATAGAATTTCATATATTTGTGTTTTGATTTCTTTCATATGATTTTTGCCGGTTATTAATTTTGCTTCGTCTATTGAATTTTTAGCTGTATTAATTATTATATGTGGTTTGTGGTTACGGTGACACATTATAAGGTAATTTTAACTTATTTGAATCATTTAATAATAAATAATTGAGTAATAATAATGTTATAAAATAATTAAAGGTGGACATGACCAAAATAAAAATTTTTTATGAGTAGACGCATGCAATATGCATAAGTTGAGAAGGACAGGTACACGATTGGTATTTTAGGTATATAATAAGAATCTCTATATGTTGAAGTATGTAATGTTTTAAATATGACTAAATAGTAAAAACTTTTTAGACTTGAAAATGGCTCAACGAGCCGAAACGTCGTAATCAGATGTGTAGTCATTAAGTTGACAAAATTTTGAAAATTGGTGTAAAATGGCTGATAATAAATAAACTTGAAAATAATAATATTTAATTTTTAATAAGTTCATAGTTGATCTATTTCAAATGTGAAATATTTATGATATAAAATTTGGATTGCAAAAAAGGCTGTTATGGCCGAGTGTGTTATAGTGTCGCCTGCTTTATCGCTCTTTAGTTAAGTGATGCTGATTTGAATCTGGCCTGGGTGATTTGAAATTTATTATAAAAAAAAGTATAAGTATGAGAAAAAGCAGGGAAAAAAGTTGTGATAGAAAGTGTTTTATGTTTGCATTTTATTTATATATAATGTAAAAAGTATATCTTATATATAATAGCATAGTTGTTTTTGTTATTGACTTTGCACCCAAAGCAGTAAGGGAAATCATCTGAATAGACATCAGAATTTTTTTTTTTTTTTATAAAATAATATTAACAGTTCTCAACAATTAATTATTTTAACAGATTACTACTTCAGTTACCACCATCCACACCATATTTAGAAAAACTTGCTGGTACCAACAAATTGGAACCGAATCCATTTCTTTTACACTCGCTTATCTGGGGTCCAAGAACAGCTCATAAAACTTTTATTCCATGGATGAAGGTATGTTTTTACATTTTTTTATTATCTTTATGATGAGTTGTTTATTTTTTATCTGTTCAGTTAATTTTTTTATGTATTTGCTTTTGTAGGATTGCCTTGTAAAACAAGGTATGTATACCCAGTATGCTGAGTCAGCATTAAGAAACGTCGCAGACGTGGTGAATAGTGTCCTCCATGATATCATTGTTGCAAAAAACACTATAATTGCTCTTACTCCTCAGATCGAAACGAGAGGTAATTTACCTGCTATAGGCTGTTATCAAGCATCTTAGTCATTTATATTACTACCTCATACTTCAATTTTTTTCAGGATTACTTGTTCATAAGAGAGAATTACCAACTGTAATGGATCTATGTATTCTTAATGCAGTCTTAGCTAAGGTACAAGCACATTTTGACCATTCAAGTAAAACTGCAGCATCAACTGAAACTGAATCTCACAAGTAAGTCGTATATATATTTTAATAGAATTATGTTCTATGTGTTTTATTATAGGTAAATATAAAAAAATTATAACCTATCTATAAATATCTAAATGGTTGATGATAAATAATATTGATAATATTTATTATGTTATAATAAAGCTTATCCTATTTCAAATGTGAATCTATATTATATTCACCTTTCCTTTTTAATTTCACTCACCTATATATGAAATATATAGTAAAGGAAAGTATTGCGATTGTGAAACTTTTTTCAATCTGAGTTTTCAACGGAAATACACATTTTGAGCTCTCCTGAGTCCAAATAACCAAGTCTCACAGAATGATCTGTGTGTGAGTGTTAACAGTCTAGCTCAAAAACAAAAAGTCATATGAAAGTGAAATTGCATATTTAAGATTTTTATGTGTCTGGGATGTTACAGTAACTTTTTTGTCAAAATCGGCTAACCGGAAATGACACTTTATATCAACAATTTTACATATTTTTACAGTTTTTATTGCCTACCGTCAATATATTAAGTTGTAATATATATATTGTTAACAATGTAAATATATATTGTAAGCTGTAAGGTTTAGCTTTAATTCCATTAATAATGCAGTTAAAAAACTTTGTAATAGCCTAAAATTGTCAGAAAATAATTTCTATTCAAAGTAGAGCAGTAAGTGAAAGTTGTGTGATGTGTGAACCAGATTTTTCATTATTTGAATTGTACACAGTACATTATGATTAAAGATTATTTTGTAATTAATTTTGCATACAAAAAATTATTTTAAAAATATTACCAAGCTGCTAATAGTTGTTTCATTTATTATTTTTCTTTTAGAAGCCTCCCCAATATGGAGAATAAACTGCTTAGTGATTGCATTCTTGAGCTCCTTCCTCATGCTCTCACCTTAACAGAAGTTATATTAGCTTGTAGCAGGTATAGTAAGCAATTTTGTGATTAATGACTATTTGTTTCACAAATAAAAGAATTATAACTATTTTTATCATTTCTTATTAGGTCCAGTCTTATGTACCAAATCACTGAAAATGCAGAAGGTGGCAACACTTATACTACTGGTGACTTAACTGCCTTTCGTAGTATATTGGCCATAATATCGTTAAAGAGTTCGAAGACTCAGACACTCTCTTCTGCTATATCTCCACTATTGCCTTCACCAGTGATGAATGTTCTTGAGAAATGGAATGAAAATCCAGTCAAGAACTTTCCATGGGTAATAATCTTTGTTGAAACTTTTCTATAGTTACTTTGATTATTTTGGAAGATAAATGATCCTCCTGATAAATGACAATCCTCAATATTTATCATCTAAGATAAACTTTAAAACAGCCAATAAAAATTCATCTCCAAATTATTTTGATGACTTTCATATGGAATACAATGTATGGATTATCTTTTGCATAATGCAATGTATTTGAAACTTACTAATTATAAGTTGTTAGTAAAATAATTGCAATTTAAAACATTACATGTTTCTGATTTCAGGGAGAGTTTGCAAATGACTTGATCCCTGGAGAAAGCTATGCGATGTTAGTTGTCAAGACTCACATTTCAGCACTATCTGCTCATAACGTGTTCTCTATTAACCCTTCTTTGAAGCATTTGCTTCATTGCCTTGTTTCATTTATCAGTGAACATATTGTGTGAGTAATAATGTATTAGTTTTATTAATAAGTAAATGATATTTTTCAATCATCTCTTAAATTTTAAATTCAACCAAATATTTATTTCAATAATAATAAAAGTAATATTAACTTTACTGTTATGATGATAATAGTATCCTTCTATATTAAATACTTCTAGAAAGATATTATTTTGATTTTGCTTACTATTTCATTCTTCCAACAATGCCTTATCTTTTTCCTATGATCATTCTGATTTTATTGCAGGAAATGTAGTGACGGGCATGCTGTTTGGCAACAGGCTGTTTCTGTATTCACTCCTCTTTCCCTCGATGTCTGCACAGAATATTTATATGACATAGCTATCAAAGTTTTGGAAAAAGCCATTGGTAAGCTAATTACTTTAAAAGTAATTTATAAAATGAAGTGTGTATATTGGGTGATAAATATTCAGGACGCAGTCATTATAAAGTTTTTATTAGTACCGACGTTTCAACCCAAACATGTGGGTCATCATCAGGGTGTGTTTCGAGCACTGAAGATATTCAAGTGCTCGAAACACGCCCTGATGATGACCCACATGTTTGGGTTGAAACGTCCGCACTAATAAAAACTTTATAATGAATGCATCCTGAATATTTATCACCCATGATATATAGAACAGTCGATAAACTTCCTTTAATAAAGTTTGTTTATTTTAATTTATTTTATTAAACATTGCTAGGGATAGCATAGCGAGTTATAATTAATGATGAAACTTCTAGTACTACTACAAATAAAATGTAGTATTAATATATGATTAAAATTTGGTTTGAAAAATATCTAAAATTATTTTATTTCATACTATCCAAAAATTTATATGTAAACATTAAATTTCAAAAACCATCATTGATAGAGAAAAACAAAGACCTAACTGGAATTTTGATTTTAGAAATAAATTTTTTTTTTTTTCATTCACCAATACAACATGGTTTCCTTCATGACATTAAGATTTGGCTATCATTTTTTAGAGCCAATATTTCTTCTTTAATTATTATTTTTGGTTTTTTATTACCGCCCAATAAAAAACATTCTATCTTTTTTTTGTGTGTATATTAATTGATTGATTGTTGGAAATATTTTTTTGTTATTATTTTTTATAATTGTTTTATTTTTGTAGGCGATCCTGAAAGTGACAAATATCAAATCACAATTTATGTTCTTGTACTTGAGCATATTTATACACTAATATTGAATTATACTAGTGCAACTTCTCCTTGCAGGTAATGTATTTTTTTTAATAAATTGTCATATAAATTCTGACACTACCTAACTCAATTCTCACACCTTTACAACAGGTTACAACTAACTTATTTTCATCAAAGTGAGATTAGGTGGTGTTGGAGTTCATATGGCATAAGCTTTTAATTATATTTAAAAAGTTTTGATAATAATTATAGAGAGTGGGATAGCTCAGTGCTAGAGTACTGAGTTTCCGATGCTAAAGATCCCAGGTTCAAATCCCAGTTCATGGCAGAAAAATTATTTATTCTGTTTCATTGGCCGTGGGGCAACCCTGGGTAGGTATACCCTCCTAAGGCACACTCAGCCTCTATAAAGTGGGTACCCTTAATTAAAATAATTGATTAAGGGGAAAAACCTGATGGTTGAGCGTGAGCTTGGTCAAATCACCTCCTTGCACAACTGTAGACCAAGAAACAGTGCTTTCCCTAAATAGTACTGAATCCAAAACCCTTCATGGGTTGTTGTGGTACAATTTTTTTATAATAATTATAGTAAATATTGATTAGTTTTAAAGTTTGAAATTTTATTCAGGTGGATATTGAATTTTAGAAGTTTATACTTACCATTTGTGTATATTTTTTTTAGTGATGTTGTTAATGAGAAAATATTGCACGAGTGCTTGGCTTGGATGGAAAGTTTGTTAGAAAAACAAGCAGGAAGGCAGGCTCTTGAGAAATTCTTTGATGGATCTGTTGACAGGAGCCTCATTCATATCCTTCTGTCTGTTGCTTCTCCAAGAACTTCACTATCATCTGTTTATGGCACTAAAGTGTTCCAGTTCTTTAATAAGCTCTTTACGATGGGTAATTTTATTTAGTTATAAATTTAATATCCTACTTTTCACATTAAAAATAACTTTATGCTAAACATTTAAATTTGTTGATGATGAGCATTTAGTTTTTTATTTGTCAATTTTAATATCACAGAAGATTTTCATGATTATTTTAAATAATTTTGCTGATATCTTTTGGTTTGAAGAAACTTTTTATAAAAAAAAAAATCCTGGTGCTAGATGGCAAAAAGAACAGGAACAACATGATAAATTATGCTGCTTGGTTTGTTTAATACTCGAAAATTTTTAGTTTTCTATTTAAAAAAAAACATTGGTCTGTCTGTTTTCGTCAGCATCTGCTTGTGACCTGCACTAATCATTTGAATTTTTTTTTAAATATTGCATTTAAATAATAAAATACTATTGATATTTGATAATTAAGTTCTTTGAGCTTGGAAATTATACATACACGCATATATATATATTTTGGAATTAACAGTTCAAACTTTCCTTCAATTTTGTTCAATAGTTCTGTGGGGAGGTAGAGGAGTAGGTGAGGAGGGGGAGGGGGAAATAAATAGATCTCTTAATGCAATTTGTTCAATCTATATAAAAATATACAAAATTTGTTGGCATTTATGGAAGATTTTATTGACACCTCTGAATTAATTTTACAACTCCCTAATAAAAGAAAAAAAAAAATAGTTCCTTATTTTGTGTTAATGGTATTATTATTTAAATTTCAGCATAATTATTTTATATTTTTAACAATTTATGATTATCATAAAAGTTAACTAGTAGTTGATAGAGCTCTAACATATTTTAGTTATATCCTTTCTGTTTTTGCTGACTAGCCTATATCATACATTGAGTATATAACAGCGATGGCTATTGATTTTTTTAATTTTTATGATAGCTGATAAGAGCCCATCAGATGAAGAGCTAGAGAAGTTATGTGCTTCAATCTTGGAACTGGCCCACGTGGAAGCTTCACAGTTATCTGCCTGGCTACATCATGTTATTCTTGGACCAGGTTCCGGAATCGCTCAAGGCCAAAACAACACCAATGGGAGGGAAACTTCCCCTCCTATTGTCACTCTTGGTTAGTATTTTTATTTTACATCTGTTCAGTATTGGTCCTCACTAAATTCTCCTCTCAAAATCAATTAATTTAATTATTCCTTAAAAATTGAATTCATAATTTTAAGGCATTGCATCATCAACAACTAATGAACCAACCAAAAATGAGAAAACTCCTTCAACTAATGAATCCACCCCTCCACCAACTAACGGAAATGCCAAAGATAAGAAGGAACTTTTCCAAGAAAATCAACTCCTTTTGCAGCATTTAACAACTTACATTGTGAAACAAAACAGGTAAAATTTTGCTGTCATTTTTTTTCAGTCACTTATGTCATACTGATATATATTTAAACTCTTTAATTATTTTTAGTGGTTCTGATGCCAAAGAAGCAGTTGCTTTGACTCTGCTTGAAGCTTTGGTGCCAATGGCTACTCAACTGTTACTTGTTTGCCAAGGCCAGGGATTCCCTCAGCTGATGTATGTTATGGCTATTCTAGCTGGTGCTGGATCAGCGAAAGGACATCTCTCTTTGTTCCTCGCTGCTACCCATTGGATAAATATTTGGTAAAATCCTTAAATTTTGTAAAAAAAGATATTCTTCAAAAACTCAAGTTATTTTATGTTCACTTATTGTTTGTTATGTGAATGAACTTACTATCTGTATTTCCTCTGAGAAAAAATATTTTTTTGTAGTTAGAAGTTTATTTAGAATGTCTCATAACTTCTGATCAGAAGTTTATTTAGAATGTCTCATAACTTCTGATCGGCTTGATATTTTTATTCCATTATTTTATGATGAGTTTATATCTCTTTCTTCTATTTCTATTTGTCACTGTAGCAATTTTTTGATTTTATATTATATAGTAAGGATGAACTGTGTGAGAAAGAGGTATTGAAGAACATCGAAAATGGAGATAGTGGTGGAAGCCTTGTAGAATCAGCTTGTGCTGCGCTGCGTTATGTCGGAGATATAGTCCACGCTCTGGGACCTGCTCCACAGAGAGCTCCAAGCCCCCATGGGAAGGTGAGGTGGTGATACCACCAGATCCCGGCGATGTGGACTGGATGGAAGACCTAACACATGAAGAAGATGACGAAAGTGGAGGTGATGAATCGGTACGTTTCAGTTGTGTAATATTATTATTATTTATTAAATAAATTCCATTCTTATTTCCAACATGTTTGCTTGTAATATTTTTATTTGTTATGGATGATACTTCATTGATTACTGTATCATATTACTGTATCATAAAATTTTAGGATGAAGACAGTCTGTGTAACAAGCTTTGTACTTTTACGATTACACAAAAAGAATTCATGAATCAGCATTGGTACCATTGCCATACATGCAAAATGATCGATAGGGTTGGAGTTTGCTCAGTATGTGCACGTGTTTGCCACAAGGGTCACGATGTCACCTATGCCAAATTCGGCAACTTCTTTTGCGATTGTGGAGCACGAGAGAGTGGTTCCTGTCAGGTATCCAAAAATGTTCGATTTATTTTTAACTTATTAAATGTTATAAATTTATTTATTAAAATAAAATTTAGTTTTAGTGATTAAATAAAAATTACCTTAATTTTTGTTTCCTTTCATATAATATTTTTATCCTATCTTAGTTTCATAACTAACGGATTGAAGATGTGGTGTGCACTATGATTATGTCTTTCAGATCACTTCTTTCACTTTTCCTTAGTGTAGGATGTCTGTTAATCTCAACCCATCTTCTATTGTTATAATATATTCCATTTTATTTTTAAAATAATCTCAAACTCATAAATTTCAGAATGTTTTTTTTGTACCATATTTCCTGCCTCTTATTATCCCATTATTTTGACTATATGTGCATTCTTTATCTTTCTACTCTTATGTTTATCCATTATAAATCTGTTAGTGATATAAATCTTGTCATAGTTGATGACATTAAAATCCTAGTTGTATTTTTAATTTTCCTGTTTTACATGTGTATTTAATAGCTGTTAATTTATTTATTCATCATTCTGAATTTGGATTATAATTATTTTTTATATTTATTCTTCCTTTCAAATAGATATTGTGATATCTTTTGCATTATGTTCACTTTTTAAAATATTTATTGAATTGGTGATCGTAAAATAATTCCAATTTTTTATTTTTCTTGAGAGTGAGTATCTTGTCTATTTGAATATATATATATATATATATATATATATATATATATATATATGAACATTTTTTGAGTGAGTGAATAAAACATGTTACGTTTAGTAATTTTATTTATTTTGTTGTCAGGAAAAAAATAAAGACAACTTTTATAATTTTATTATAATTAACATATCCTTAATGTATTCTATATATTAGTAATAATCCATCACATAGCATTAGTCAGTTTATATGGAAAGTGGAAATAAACTATATTATGCTTTGTGATTAAATAAATGGTTGTCATTATATTCGTGATTTGAAATCGTTTTTGTAAATGTAAGGCTGAATATTTATTAAAATATTTTTTAATCAAATAATAGCTGTAAATTCTAACATTTTTTTCATACAAAGTTGTATTCAGTTGGTTACTGATTTTTTTAACTTGATATTTAATTTGAATACAAGAAAACCTGTTATATAAATTTAACTGTATATAACTTCTGTCATCACCACATATGCCGATGACACATGTATCCTATCAGTAAACAATGACCCAGCAATTGCATCCCAAATGCTTCAATCACACATCCTAAATCTAGAAGAATGGTGTCAAAACTGGAGAATTAAAATAAACGCCAATAAATCCCACCAAATTACTTTTACCATTCGTCGTAAACCAACGACTTCCTGTCCTACAGTTTCCTTTAACAATACTCCACTTATCCCTGTTGAGCAAATTATATACCTAGGACTCCACCTGGACAAACGACTAACTTGGAATCCTCATACTAGACTGAAACGACAAGAAACCGCTTAACGTTTCCGATTACTTCAGCACTTACTAGACAAACGCTCTAAACTTCCCATTAATTACAAAAGACTCATATACTTGACTATAATAAGACCTATTTGGACTTACAGACTTTTTTTTTTTTTTGTTCTTCCCTACCTCGCCTTTTAGGCTATACGGGATTTTCCCGGGCCGGGGGGTGAGGGCGGAGAAATTTAAAATCCCCTCCGGCACCGGGACGCGAACTCGTACTTTTTATATCATCTCAAATCTCTGTTATCCGGTTGCCAGGCAACTAGCGGTGCTGTTATGCACGCTTTAGCCTATTCGGCCACCCCGCCCCTTGGACTTACGGAGTTGAGCTATGGGGCTCCACTAAACCATCGAATTTCTCTCGCATCCTATCCTTACAATCCAAAATCCTTCGTAAAATCCTCAATGCTCCTTACTTTGTCACTAATAAAATTATCCATAAAGATCTTAATGTTTCTTATGTTCCAGATCTGGCCCAATCCAGATATCTATCCTTCCATAATAAACTTCAGAATCATCCCAACCCTCTCATTTCTAACCTTGCTTCCTCTTCAATTCCTGACAACCCTCCGAGGCGTCTGAAAAGAAGATGGCCCCGTGATCTCCTAATGTAGTCATATCATTAGAGTGCTACTATTGGGTTGTTACTCAGCAAGTGTATTCATATCATTATATCTATTATGTCCAAATTTACTTGATGTATTTATGTAATACAGTTGTAAATGTCATAAGAAATAAAAAAAACAAAAAAAAAAATTGTATGTAACTTAATTTGTCAATCTTAGTTATAATTAATAACTGTTGATGTATTTTATGGTACTAATGGATTGCTAATCAGCAGTTCATATCTTAACATATATATTAAAATGGTACTCATTAAAATTATTTTAAGTTAAAGTTATTTTTGCATCAGGCCCTGACCAAAAGAAATCCTATAAGCAGTAATACTGGCGCTGAAGGACAGCAGGGAACAGGTGCTACTACAGGAGGTAACTGCGGCATTGAGCACATGCTTACTTCATCTCTTCGGCGAAGACCTAGTAGTCCTTCCCTTGACAGATCACAGCAGCAAAAAGACCTTGCTAAACAAGTGGCCCTCACAAAACTACTTGGTGGGTACTATTTATTTTATTTTTTTAGTATCAGTAAAAAAATTTTTTGTATTAATTAAGGTGTATTTACAATATCTTAGAGCTTATTCCTATCAATGTTTGCCTTTAGAAAATATATCTGAACCGTTAACTGCTGTGGTCAGTAAGGAAAGAAGTCTGGTAAGTCCACTAGTTGCTCTTGCCAAGGCGTTATTGCCAGCTGTTGAGGCAGCCTGTCAGCGGAATTCACCTGTCGGCTGCCATAGAAGGACCAAGGAGGCACTTAAAGAACTTCATTCCCAAGAGAAGAAATTTGTTTTCTCTGATCAAATAATGGTAAAAGATATTGCTAAGTACTGTTATTTTTGATTTCATGGTTTATGTACAGTAGGGGAATTTGTAATTTTTTTGTAAGTAAAAAAAAAAAAAGCAATGCCTTGTTATAATTCAATTGAGGTAACTCGTTGATGCCAAGAACAGGAAAAAAAATAAGAAATGGCTTTATCATTATTTTATGCAGATCAATTACTGAGCACCTCAACTGAAGTCGCTTGTCATCTAAACTTATACTAACAGAAAATAATGTATACCCCATTACCTGTAAACCACTGAATTTGCGATTCTTAAATTTCATATTTTTTTTCTTTTTTAGGTACCAACTCTTGGTTCTCAAGAAGGTGCCTTTGAAAATGTAAGAATGAATTATTCTGGTGAACAAGGACAGACAATAAGACAGCTGATGTCTGCACATATGATAAGAAGGGTTGCTATGTGTTGTCTTGCTTCACCCCAAGGGAAACGCCAGCATCTTGGTAAGGTTTTATTTAGCTTTATGTTTCTTGTGATCAGCAATAGTTTTTCAAAAGGAAAAAAAAAAAAAATTGCTTTTATTTTGTAGCCGTTGCTCATGAAAAAGGAAAGATAACAATTTTACAGCTGAGTACCTTGCTGAAACAGGCTGACTCATCCAAGAGAAAGTTGACTTTGACCAGGTTATCTTCAGCACCTATTCCATTCACAGTTCTTACCGTTACGAGTAACCCTTGGAATGAAGATTTTCTTGCTGTCTGTGGTCTGAAGGTAGATCTTTTTCTATGATGTTCAACCATTTTTATTTTTAGTAATTGTTAGGAGAGATTTATTAATTTATTTTGTTTTAGGATTGCCATGTTTTGACATTTACATCTGGTGGATCAGTAGCTGATCATTTAGTCCTTCATCCCCAGTTGGAGATTGGGAATTTCATAATCAGAGCTATTTGGCTTCCTGGATCACAGACCAAGCTCGCTCTTATTACTGCAGATTTTGTTAAAATTTATGATTTGTCTATTGATGTACTTAGTCCACAATACTATTTCTTAGTACCTTCTGGGAAAATAAGAGATGTAACATTTATTTGTACAGAAGTGAGTCTTACTTTATATTTAATGTTTTATCATAGAACATATCGTATTTATTGGCTGGTGGATGCTTTTCTTAAATTGTATCATGATTATTGTTATTTATTATATTCTTTATCTGTTGACCGCATCCCTCACCAACTTCTCAAGTTACAATTATGGTCAATTATTTCGAAGCCATTAAATACTTTTTATTTATTGATAAACATAAGTGATTAAATATAGATTATTTATAGTTAAAATATAGATTATTTTAATTTCATTCAATTATTTTTAGGATGGTAAGAGTACCCTGTTGCTAATGGCTTCAACTGGCTATATCTATACACAAGATATGGATGAAGAAAGCTCAGCCAAACATGGAGCCTTTTATGTTACCAACACTTTAGAATTTTACCATCCTGAAATGAAGGTAATATTTGATTATTATTAACCATTTAGTGATTTGAACTTAAACTGATTTTATTAAATATAGAGTAACAACTGAATATTAAAAATCTGCAATACATGCATAACACAACTTTTACTTATCCCCCTTAGAGCGGTTTTAGAGAAAAGTGTAAAAATGTGTTTCACCATTGATATAAAGTGGCACTTCCGGTGAGCTGATTTTAATATAAAAAGTTGCTGTCACATCTAAGGCATATACCTGTCTTAAATATGTAATATCAGTTTAGTCCGACTTTTTGTTTTTGAGCTCTACTGATAACATACACACAGACCATTTTGTGGGACTTAGTTATTTCGACTCAGGGGACTTCAAAACGTGTATTTCCGTTGAAAACTCAGATTTGAAAATTTTCACGGCCACAATATTTTCTCTTACTATATATTACATATATAGATAAGTGAAAGTAAAAATATATACATATTTATTATATACTGTACTTCTTCATTACAGTAAAGGATCTGAGATAAGGAAAACATTAAAAGCATAAGTTAAATAACATTAGATTTTAATTAAAAATGGATGAGGTATTACATAGTAAAAACACAAATTGATTTTATAATTTCATATTAAATATTTAGAAAATGAAAAGAAGAATAGGATGAAAGAAATTTTGTAATTATAACTTAAGTTACACCAGAGTGCTTAACTGTTCATCGAATATCTCATTAAGGAGAAAATAAAAATAACTGTCTGAAAATGTTTAAAAGCAGTGGGAATCAAAATTTAATTTTCAATGTGTAAGTTTAATATATTGTACTAATAGAGATATAAGGAGAAGCTGTAATTTCTAAAAGTACATCTTTTAATAAAAAATATCTGGGAAAACATAATGCTAATTCATGGCAATGTTTCGATTAGATTAACTTAATTAGCTTTGTTCTTAAGCATATAGATAATAAACATAATCATTTTTCTTCACATATATATATATATATATATATATATATATATATATTGTACATATACTTATATAAACAAAATGTTATAAAGTTGGTAAATCCAAAATCCCATCTAAAACACACATTTTCTTTTAATGCATCAACTCATGAAGCAGATCCTGGCTTAAGAGATTTGAAGTTACACAAGTGTCATTCATTATCCACACTGAGCCATGCAGTTCTGAGCTGCTTGCCAACTTTGCATGTCCAGTGTGTTCGCATCTTAAGAAGTTTAATATACTTAACACATATTGCATGAATATTCTTAAAATTTTATTTTGTGGTTAGTATTTGTAAACATTTATATTCCAGTCACTTTGTTGAAGTTGCTTATTTCCCTTTAGAATAATAATAAGATTATTGGTGTTTAATAAAAGATTTTCCATAATTTTGGTACTTTTAAAGGATTCAAACGGACAGATCTGTGGAGGTGGCGTTTCTGTCTATTATTCACATGCTCTCCGCTTGTTATTCTTCAGCTATTCCCATGGTAAATCCTTCATAGCACCTCTTGAGAGCGGTAGCAGTCAGCTGACTGATGCCTTCTTGATAAATTTGTCTCGTCCCAGTGGCTCCGGAAGTGGTTCATCCAGCGGTGGCAGCTCAGGTGGCAACAACAAGGGAGGTAACCCTTCCTCCGGCCAACCACAACCACTTTGTCTTTGGACAGAAGTGGCCAACCATCCTGGCATTGTGTGTGCTACATTGCAAACAAGTGAGCCACTTTTGAGTTTATATGTAGTAAAGTGTGTGATGTGTTAATATTTATATAGTTTGATACGTATAAATATATTGATTTATTTAGCTGGTTAGCTACCAATACCTTATATCTGGTAATTTGGTTGATTATATTTCTTCCTATATGTCCTATTTGCAATAAATAAAATTTAAAAACATTATTACTTATGTTAAAATGAAAATCTGTTAGAACAAGTTAATTAAAAATCAAAGTAAAATGGTAAACATGTATTAAATGTTATAAAAATAGTTTTTATGTTTGTCAGTTAAATAGTTCTATGTAAAGTTTGTAGTTGAGAGATATTGACAGCTCACCATGGATATAATGGTCATACTCTCATCAATTTTAAAATACCTCTTATTGCTGGACTAAGTATAGATTTTCTTGAGCCTTTTGATTACCTTTATCTTAGAATTTTGTATTTACATTTTTATTGATTTTACTAAAACCTTTTAAATCATTAATATCTGATATCTAATGTTTTTGTATGTTTATATATGATTATGTCCAATAAAATGTCTTTTTGAATCATTGCTGAGTGAATTAATTTTGCAATGTATATTTTATTTTATTGTAATCAAAATTATTATTAATGATATTCTGTAAAATATTAATTTATTAATGAAATCATGTAAAATTTACTTTTGCATGTACCTACAACATGGTATCAGCTCTTTGGTTTTCTCATGAAGCCAATTAAATTGTAAAAGAAATTAACTTCGGATGATGAGAGTGGATATTAAGAACTAGAACCAAGAACTTGGAAATTTAAATACCAATCTTGGAATATGTAAGTTTCTCAAACAGTTATCTGTTTTACACTGTATTTTTTGTTGTAGGTAACAATCCCGTAATATTAATGATAAAACCTGATACAATATTCATCCAAGAAATTAAAGTGTTACCAGCAAAAGCTAAGATCATGGACATGGTTGTTATTCGTCATGTTTCTTCTAATTCAGAGCTACGGACAACCCTTTTGATCCTTTGTGAAGATGGCAGTTTGAGAATATATAATGCTTCTCCTGAAAATACTGGTATATTTCTAATATTCATGGTAAAACTTATATGTATAGAAAAAGTATTGATCTAGGTTTTTGTACCTTTCTTAATAATATTTTGTACCTAAGAACTTTCAGTTAATAAAATAATTATTTGCCAATTGTTATAATATTATATTAAATATTTCTTAGAAAATTATTATTATTACTGTAGTTGAATTATATTTGTAAAAATATTTGTGTTTGACAGAGATTTTTTTGTTTAATATTATTTTAGTTGTAGAAGTAATTTCTGATTTATTAAATAACGATTTTATGATAATCGAATTTGAAGTTTCTGATCCATTAAAATATATATATATATATATATATATATATATATATATATATATATATATATATATATATATATATATATATATATACTAAAATAGCAATTTGATTATTTATTTTTGTTATTATTATTTATTTTTTTTTTTTAAACTAAAGTGGAATAACTAGGATGAAAGGGTTGAAAAAATAATCCATTTTTTTCATCAGTTATAAGGTGCTATAGACATAAAATTTGTCACTTCATGAAAAAGACAATTTTTGACAGGGCCTACTACTTTGTAAAAGGCTGATTATTGATTTCATTAATCTTTAGATTTTGGAATTAACTCATAAGAATGATTGATTTATTTTAGAATTCATCTTAAATAACTTTTACAGGATTCTGGTTGTCACCAAGTATCCAGGCAATCAGTAGTCTACCATCTCACAAAACAACAAAGAAAAAGAAAAATCCCAAACCTGCTAAAACTTCAGGTATTCTTTTTGGTATTGCATAATATTTTGAGACAATCAGGCTTGTTTTTTTCTTAATTTTGAGAATAAGTAGATTTTAGCAATCCTAGAATTTAATAAAATTCTGAATTAATTTTAGTCAAGTGATTATTCATCGATATGAAGATAATTGTTAAACCAGAACCATATAGGAAAGCTTTGTCTTGAATTACCTTGAGACAAATTTTCAGCCATTTGGTAGTCCTAATAACTATGGTAGTTGAGATTGGGAAAGTCTATTGGTCAGATCAGGGTGAAAGATCAGTCCATCTAACCTTCGTATCAACAGCCATTAATGTTTCTTTTGTTGCTTTCTGCATTTATAGACTTACATGTTAAGTAATTCACTCTGCTAATGATTTTATTAAGAAATGGCATGATTAAATAATTGAAAACTGAAAAGAACTTCATTTTATTTTTCTATTTTTATGCGTAGGATAATTTAAAGTATAATATCAGTATTTTGGAATACTTATAAAATATTACAGTCTATCAAAATACCCATTGTTACAGAATTAAATATTTACACAATTATAATAAGTTTTTACACAATTTTAACTGATGTTCTTCAACAACCGTGCATTGTCGTAATTTGTCTAAATATTATTCTCCTTATTGGTTCTTTTAAAAGTAATTGTAATAAAGTTTTCCCTAATACTTTTACTGAAGGAATAAGAGTTCAGTTTGCCTTCCTTAAAGCAATTTTAAAACTCAAAAGATCCCAGCCATCCTTTGGCCACTGAAATTGCCCAATTTGACCAAGTCAACTTTTTCTAATAGTATCTCATATAATTTTAAAGGAAATATTCTTATTGTTTTCAAATATATTTAAAATTATATGAGATGAAGAAGTATGTTTGAAACTCCTAAATTTATAATTATCAGATCATTTGTTTTTAAGTGAAAAATTGTTAATTTTAAAAACATATATAATTATGGGAAAAAAATTATATTAAGATCTGACAACTATAATTTATTTACATGAATACCTAATAATCTTTAAATGTTTATAGCCAATGTATCATTTCCTGTAGACTTCTTTGAGCATTGTACGCTGCTGAATGATGTGGAATTCGGAGGAAATGATCTTCTCCAAATTTACAATGCCCAGCAGATCAAGCACCGCTTGAACACTACAGGTAATTTCTTCACAATATTTTCTTTTACAATTATGATCATCTTTTTACCTAATCGATTGGTTATTTATTGATCTGTTTTAAAGGAATGTATGTGGTTTCAACCAAGTCAGTTGGATTCAACATTGAAATTATAAATAATGATGCTGCCCACGTTATCACTGGAGTCAGGGTTCTCCTCGGAAATCAGGATATTCAAAGGGTGCCAGCTTATATTGAGGTATGGATGAAAATTTTTATTTTGCGTTTGATCGTTTTTTAAATTATTTTTATTTGTATTATAGTGTTTTAAGTAAGTTCCTTATGCATAACATTTTTAAATATTGGACTTGATATGAAGTACTATACTACTTCTGAAGTACTATAATAAATAACTTTTGTGTTATGAGTTTGTTTCTAGTTTTAATTTAACTACCTATAAAGTTTTCAAATTTGGATATATTGAAATCCTTAAACTTGAATTTTCATTAAAAACAAAAGATAGAAGATAAAGAAATTTAAGAAATAGGCTTTAATATAGGTATATTAAAAATAATGTTATTGTAAATATTTATTATATTTTACGAGAGTACTGAATTATTTTTTAGTCTCAAGAATTGTGAAAAAAATTACACTCCTTCGTCTTAAGCACAAATATACTACTGGGCACAGGTTTTTCAAGAATGTTCATTTTTGACAAAAATCATAACTTGTGTTCTAAAAATTTTAAAACATGTTAATATGTTTTTTATTTTTCGTGCGAGAGGTAAAAAAATTTTGTGCTCAGAATTGAAAATATCCACTCACGTTTTACGTTTCAGACATCAAGGTCATATTTGGTTCGGTGTCTGTAGTCAAATCACTGTAACGGGCATATCACCTACTACCGTTAATCTGATTTCCATGAAATTTTCAGGAATTGTTCGGGTTGGTACCTAGATGGTCCCATATCAATGTTATTAATTTCTAACCAGCTCTTCCGCTTATGCACGCGCAAACGTATTTTTCTAGATATGCCAATATTTCAGAAACGGCAGGTTCGATTTGGCTGAAAGTTGGATAAAAGGTAGGTATTGGTGGAAAAATAATTTGTCAATTTTATTGAATTCTGTCCATTGCTTTCTCTTATATATGCGAAAACGTGTTTTCCTTGATACTTCTTTATCTCTAAAACTGCAAGTTCAATTTGGCTCAAATTTGGAGAGAATTAAGGGATTGGTAAATGTAAAATGAAACAGACCAATTTTATCTAATTCTATCTAATACTCCAAAAAAACAAAAACCTTCCGCTTTCATATCAGGAAATGTGTTATTTTATATACCTATAGAAAACGGCACATTCGATTTGACACAAACTTGGAGGAAATTTGGAGAACAGTATAGAAATTACTTAGCATCAATTTCATTGAATTCCATTTAATAATTAAAATTAATATAAATAATTGTTTACAATATAATGGCTATGAAATGTGGAAGGCACTGATCGTATGGAGTGGAAGTTAGGTTTTTACAATATTATTATGGGTTTATAAAATTTTAGGTTTTATTAAAAAAATTAATATTGTTTGGTTGGTTCCAAACGTTACTGGCATGACACTTACTGCCATTACTTAGATTTTGTGTAATTTACAGTAAATTTAAAGCAATTTTTATCCTGAATTTTTTTTTTTAAAAGTCTTATTTGTGATTATATTTATTTCCATTGAAGTTCAACCAGCTCATTGTGGTCTCGATTTTCTCCTTAAATATCAAAATTGGTGTCAACTTCACTCATATTTTTATATTCCGGCTTAATTAGTTTTGTTCAGACTAAAGAAAAGTATTGGTCTCTTTAACACCGAACAAACAATAAGTTGAATTTTTCCAATGGATTTTTTGTTCCATCCATTTTATAAGTGAAAACATATCTGTCAAGTATATATCACTACTGTTAGTGCAAAGATCGTATGTAAAAGCTTTCAATTTTTATTCTATTTTTGACATCATGTAGTCTGCAACTATGAAAAATAGCAGAGGCCAATAAAATATAAAATTATACTAATAAATCATAAAGAAATAATTAGTATTTTTGCTCTCCAGTGAAACACTCAATTTTTACATACGTCATTTGCACTAACAGTAGTGAGATACATATTCATTATGCACTGGATTTTTTTTAAATTACGAATTATCAAATATGCAGTCTGCAAATGTGGAACTTTTTCGCATTTTAGTATTTGCTGATAAACAAAACTCATGAATATCAAGCCCTTATATGTTGAGGGATTACTGAATTTCCGAAAAAGGCTTCTTCTAGAGATTGTATTCTGATAAGAAAATATTTAGATCTTTTAATGTAGATATATTTTAGCAAATGAAAACGGTGAGGAAGCTATACTGACCTTACTTGGCAGATTTTTTTATTAATTTTTATAACGTCATTCTACTTAGAGGCAAGTTTGGATTTAGAAATAAGCAATAGAATTTTCAGAGTTAACCAAATCTTATTAGCAAGTAAGTATAGATATACTTATCATCATACAATTTTTAATACATCGTTGTAATTTATTTGATTCAGGTGAATGGAAGGAGCATTCAAACTACAGTTACCCGAAACAGATGGTTTGATTTTCCTCTGACCCGTGAAGAGAGTACCCAAGCAGACAAAAAACTTATTCTGACATTTGGGCCATCACAAGATCCTGATGGCATTATTATGGTTGATTCAATCAAAGTGTTAGTACAATAGATTTTCTCACATTATTGTGTATTTATAATATGCATTTATTATATCTTCTTTTTTTATAACTTGTAATAGGTATGGTAAAACTAAAGATGTATTTGGTTGGCCTGAAGAAAGCGAGGATTCACAAAATCAACCCCAATCTTCTGGTCAGCAAGTTTCTAATGCTAGTAATGAACCAGAAATGTCTCCTGTATCATCACCTTCTATGCCGCTTTTGGATAGGTATATATTTTTTCGTTATTTATTTATTTTTTTATGGCTAACCATACTCCTGATGGCGCAAATGTAAACTTTGTTATTATTATAGAATGATGTCTGGAATTTTGGAGGTGTTGGATGGCTGTTTTGCTTTGAGCCATCTAGAAGAGAAAAATTCATTTAAGTCTACAGCTATTTCCTTATCTACCGAATTACTCACTCTTCCTACTGTTAGTGGAGTTCAGAAGAACACTAAAGCTCTGCTGGCTGCTCTTCACCCATCTAAGCAGACTTACCACAATTATAAGGCAAGTCCAATTCACTATAAAAGATTAAATCCTTTAAGCATTGAATTATATATTAAAACTGTTTATTATTGTTTGTTTTTCATTTAAATATTTAATTCTAGGATCAAGCAGTCATTAATTATGTTATTTCATCGTTGAACACTTTAAGGAAGGTGACCGATTCTCGTGACCTAGATACAGAGGCGTTTTATAGGCTTGTCCTCATGACACGTTCAATAGCCATTTCACGGCCTCACAACTTAGTCAAATTTTCGCAATCAGTTGAAACTTCAGGTAATTAAATGTTTATTTATTTTCATTAGTTTTTAATATATTCATCTATGTAAGAATAACAGCGTTGGTCTGGTATTCTTCTGTGCACATTAGTGGGTTTTTTTTCTTTTAAGAAGAGAGTTGGTGTTAGCTGCTTGTAATTCCATATAAAGTGTTTTGTATTTTGCCTAACAGACCGCTAATTTTTTATTACTTTCACTTTCCTATATATGAAATATATAGTATAGTATTATGATCGTGAACATTTTCGAACCTGATTTTTCAACAGAAATACATCTTTTGAGGTCTCCTTGAGTCCAAACAACCAAATCCTGCAAAATGGTCTGGCTGTGTGTGTGTGTGTGCGCGTGTGTGATGGAAAGTTTTATGAAAGTGAAATTGCATATTTAAGGTTTGTATATACCTGAGATGTTACAGCAACTTTTTTGTCAAAATCGGCTAACCGGAAGTGCCACTTTATGTAATAGATTTAATACATTTTTACTATTTTCTCAAAAAAGGCTCTAACGATTTTAATTAAACTCAGTATATCAGTGCTTTATTAAGCAGTTTGTAATATAATGTAGGTTTTATTCTCATTGATCTTTAACAGAGCTCAAATGGCTAATTTTCGATATTAGCTTCCTCTAAAGTATCTTTAATTTGTTTTATTCGAAATAATTAACCATTTCACATTAATCTTTGATATAAAAAATAGTTAAATATAAAATACGAAAGAATTTGATAATTACCTAAAAGAGGAATAAGAGATCGTAACGGATAATAGTTGAAATGGAGGAACTAAAAGGATATGAGTGCACCCAAAAGTTTATAACAGGCTTCCATACGTAACATGGATATATGGAATAGCGTCATGGAATACATAACAGCTTAATATCATATGGACTCCGACAATATTATGTACATATACATATGAGGTTTTCATAAATGCTATCGTTGGTATTATGTGATATTTAATATTTAATTGCTTAGATTACACCTGTATAAAAATTAAAATTTGTATATATATAAAGATAATTAAACACATACAAATACCCACAACGAAATTTAAATAAATATAGCGTCTATGATTTTTACTTTCACTTTCCCTTTGTCTGAAAATACATATTTCTGATAAGTAGAGTGTGGTAAGTGAAAGTTGTGTGATGCACGCACGAGATTTTTTAATTAGCTATCATATCAAAGGCTGGTTGTATAAGAAGCTAACCACTACACGGCTTCAGCAATCTGAACTTTTGAATTTGTAAAATTTTGTTTCATTATTAATTAGTCATTATGGACTAGATATTCAGTTTATTAGTCCAGATTCTTTACTTTACTTTACAGATTCTTTACTTAAACATTATTAGTAAAAATGCATTGGATTAATGTTGCTATTAACATAAATTTTAATCAATCAATCATCATGGTTTTACTTATGTCTTTTGTCTTGGTGGTGACTTTGTTCAAATCAAATCAAATGTGTAGATTACTCCTATGTACAGGATGGTCTTGATAATTCCAACATGTAGATTGCATGACCTGTTTGAGTTATTAAAGATTAAATTTTAAATTATCGAAAAATTGCCAATGACGAAAATATATGTATTATCAGTTGAATTTAAATTCCTTTAAAGTACCCGGCTAAGGTAGTCGACGTTGCACCCACTCCAAGCAAGTATTAAATACCTTTATGGTGTTTCTATGACTTACCGATAATGAAAAATAAAATGGATCTAAAGAAAGAAAGTGAAACAAAAATTAATATAATAAACGTTTTCCATACCTGTTTTGGAAATTATTGAGTCAGCCCTTTACTGATCTTAAAATTTGCTTTGTTATCCTTCTTAAAGAAAAAATTTGACTTGTCAGCTAATATATCCCCAGAAATAGGAGACCCTCATGATTTCGGCTGAAAACACGTATAAAGAGATTCTTGAACTTCTGGATTTTAAAAAAAATTTTATAGTGTAGTTTTAATTTTTTCCGTTTAGGCACACCACAGTACGATTTCAACACTACGACTTGAAGCAATTGCAATAATTAACTGAGAAACAGAGACATGTCCATTCTGTCTCTCGTCAGTCAACTTAAACTTTTTTTTCTTTCTGGTTCCGATTACCAGGGGATTCGGATTATCGAGACCGCCCTGTAATTGTTGCAATGTTTTTTACCCTATTAAAATTATATCATTAAATAAGACTATTATGATTAGATAAGATTTAATTTGGTGAAATTCACTTTTGTCATTCATGGATAGCAAGCAATTATTAAGTTGTTTTTTTTTAAACCTAAACCAGTGTTAGCCATTTAATTTTCTGCTGCTACATAGAAATTAAAAGAATTTACATTGAGTCTAATTATATTGATTAACCTTGTCATGAAATGTATTTTTTAGAAAATGGTCATCTAGTAGAACAGCTGATTGAAATCTTGTGGAGGTTGCACAGCGCCAGGCCTCAGAACATTGCACTTGCAAGCGTCAACATACCTGGTAAGAATAAACAAAAGATATTTTGATTTATTTTTCCCTTTCATAATATGACTTTTTATGGAGGTTCGGTAAACAATAACAATATATGTCCAGTATTGACAACAATATTATAATTAAATTGATTAAGAAATTTGTTTTTTGGTATTGAGGGTGTTGAAAAGGTGTTGGTTCTCTGATTGTGGATTGGTTCCCTTATGCTAAATGGAATGAAATAAGAATTTGAAAATATTATTATTGATAATAACAAATTAATATTTTAAATGTTATCTGTTAGAACTAATTTAATTCATATGTTTTTATATATCTGTTTGTAGGGCTTACGCATGTGGAAGCAACTGTCTATTCTCTAGTTGAGATAATCCATGCGTTTACTGTTGCTGAGCATACCGAAGCGATGACAGCGTTAGCAGCTAAGGTCTATCTCGAATTGCTATTATGCAAAGATCACAGTGTGTGCTTCAGTGCGAAGCATGCAATTATCAGAGTGTTGAGGCCGAGGGTGAAGAGAAGACGTGTATTTATTCCTAGTCCTCCTCACTGCAGCACTCCAGGTTCGAGGGCCACTCTTAGCAACAGTATGCTATTGCATTTTTTTTATTTGTGTTTAATATTTAATTTTAATCTTTTTTTTTATTCTATAAATTTTTACCTCTTATTTATATTTTTTTCTTAAGTGTGATTTATGCATCATTAGCTTTTATATTTTGCATTATTTTAAAACTCTTAACTTTAGTAGTGAAGATCTATAATTGTAAAATAGTCTGAAACACATAACATGTTCCTTGGAACTTGGATCCTAATTTTTATGAGATTACATATTTCGTCTGCACTCAATTTTTAAATTGCTTGTCAAATATCTTTACAAATTAATTTACCCAGATGCAGTTCATAAAATTTTATATTACATATTTTTACATATTGATGATAAATTCATATAATTGCATATTTTGATGACTTTAATTTAGAGAAAAAATAAATTAATTTTCAATTGACCTTTAGTTTTGTTTAATTAATAATTTCATGCAGTTACTAATAAAAAAAAAAAAAGCTAAATATAAACTATGAAAGTATTTGATAAATAATTAGAGGCAAGATAAGTATTATTAAGAAAGAACCAAAACCAAGGAAGGTCATTCTGGGAACCATTAAATAATCAACAAATCAATTAAAGAATCCTTCCTTCGTAAATTATGGATTTTTTTCATCTCTATTTTTCAATATTTTTAAACAGCAAACTCAGTTTCGATTTCTTAATTTCTTTGCAAGATATGGTATCTATTATTATTTTAAGTCCCTAAAGTAAGTACAACATTCTATTAAAAATTAAAAGCATTCCTTTCAATGCCGAGGATGAAACATTTTTTAACTCATGAAAAAATCTTCCATCTATTGTTCAAAACTAGTTACTACTGAATATGAGTTGATTATTTTTAATATAAATTTGCTTCTATCATATTGATTTTTTTTTTTTTTTTATATAAAAATATTTAAAACAATAAAATATTAGATTTTCCTAAAAGAAAAAAATTAGAAATTATTTTTTTTAACTTTAATGAAGAATATGTCTCTTTCTAAGCGCTTTGCGTTTTGTTTATATTTTTTATATTGTCAACCAATTTTTAAATACAATATTTTTATTACTTATTGTATTGGTTTACTAAAAAAAGAAAATGCAAAAGAATATAAATTAAATTGTCTTTATTTAATTTTTAGTCCTTCCTCCAATTTCTTTTTTAGTTCAAAACTTTTTGTTGGCGTAATAGTGTAATTCATTATTCTAGCTGTATTATCATCATTGGAGATTTTTCGCTGCATATTTTATGCTTTGTTACTATATATTTTGCTGCTTATTTTATGGTATTTTATTTCATGTTGTATTATATTTTCTGCAGGGTTTTACTGCATAAAAATCTGAGCTCTGCTAATAACCAATATTTATTTAGATTCCTAAATGATATCCAATAATCTGCTGTAGGGATAGGATAAAATTATATTTTATTAAACAATAATCTTTCTATACAATTTTTTTTATTTTATTCAATCAATGGTTATTTCAAGTAAAGTACATTTTTAAGGATTTAGCTATTTCTTATTTAATGAGTTAAGCTTTATACATAGTTTTTAATTGAGCTAGTTTACAAATAATTAAATATTTAATTGTATTCTCCTAATCTCATAATGGCCACCCTTCAACTACCTGTTAAGACAGAAGATTTCATATTTTTGTGCATCAGGCATTTTTTATAATAATTGTTTGTTAAAAACATCCTTGATGTTAAATGAGTTAGCTGTTATGTCTAGATCTGTTAAGAATAAAAAAATAAACAAAACCATATCTCTCTAAAAACTACTTTAATAAAGTACAAACAGTATATCCAATTCTCAGTAAAAAAATATAATTGTAATGGCAAAGTGAGAGCGGGGTAGCTCAGTGGTAGGGCACTAAGCTTCCTATGCTCAAGGCCTCAGTTTCGAATCTCTGCTCATGGCAGAAAATTTATTTTGTTCTGTTTCATTGGCTGCGGGGCGACCCTGGTGTAGTTAGACCCTCCTAGGACATACTCAGCCTCTACAAAGTGGGTACCCTTAATTAAATAATTGATTAAGGGGAAAACCTGGCAGTTGAGCATGATTCTGGCCCGATCCCCTCTCTGCACAACAGTTGGCCTTAAAACTGTACTTTCCCTAAATACTACTAAACCCAAGACCCTTCATGGGTTGTAGTGGTACAGAATGACAAAGCAAGAAATTAGAGAACTATTAATTGAGTTTTAGTTTGCATTTGTACATTGGTAAATATTATTTATTTTTAATTTTTTTTTTGTCCTCTCCTTCCTCGCCTTTAAGCCTATATGGGGTTTTCCTGGGCCGGGTAAGGGCAGGGATTAAAAGACTCCCCTGGCACCGGGACGCGAACTCGTGACTATTTTTATCCAGTTATCTATGTATCACGTTGCCGGGCAATGGCGGTGCTGTGCATACACATTAGCCCATTCGGCCAATCCGCCCCATTTTAGATTTAATTTAAGATGTGTAAAGGTATTGGAAAAGGAGTAATTTAAAGTAGGAGAGAGAAATAGAATGAATATTAGTTGGGAGGGAATTCCGTAAGTCAGTGGAATGGGCAAGAAGCATTCTGTGTGATGGGGTTTAGAAGTTTGAAATATGGTATATTTTTTTTTCTGTGAGTGGAAAAAGGATTTGAATTGTAGGAGACTGTAGATGTGGGTGCTAGGACATGGTTTTTTGATGCAGGTAAGGTCCAAGGAAATTTATCGCTGGATTTGGGGGAAAAAGCTACAAAGGTGATACAGAGGAGACTGCCTCACATCACTCAAGATTCTCTTTATGAGAGTACTTGAATACCTTCAGTGCTCGAAACAAGTCCTGATAATGACACACATGTTTGGGTTGACTTTAAAATGACTGCGTCCCTAATATGTATCACTCATTATAAGGAGAACAGTCGACTAACTTCCTTCAATAATTTAATGAATTATTATATTAATTAAAACATTGGAATTGAATTAATTTTAAATTGTATTTTTGTGTATCTGTGTGCTAAACCTTACCTGAATTAAATCAAATGTAAATCTATAATATATTGTGGTTCTGTTGTAGGAGCACCGGAAATCGACAAACCTGGTCCTGTTTCTCAACCTTCTCAGGACTCATCTGAAGCTGAACCAAATCAGTTTGAAGAAACTGTTGAACCCATTGTTTTACTGGCTCCTGATCCTGGTATGTATATTCAATTAGTTAAATTCTCACAATCATTTAAAAAATGTTCATTCATAATTCAAAAGTTTACAAATTGTTTTATTTCTACAGCCTTTGATATATTTTTTGAAGCCTTTTATCCTTAAATATGACTTAAATGCTAGAAATAGAATAGTCCTGTGTGGTGTGCCAGATAGACCACATTGACTGCTTATGGTACTTTGTAGGTGGTGTTGCAAGTGGAGTGTCAGTGAACATGGAAGCGCTACTTGGGGGTGTGAACGGAGGATCAGGTTTCGCACCTATGCTTGATATACCACCTGATGCTGATGATGAAACTATGGTGGAATTGGCTATTGCCCTTTCACTCCAGGATCATGAGGGAGGTTTAGTTAACTTGCAGGCTTTTCAGAACCTTGCAGGACCAGCATTACAGGTCAGTGTCAAAAATTTTTATATTTAGGTCTCTCTTTAGGTATTATTTTCTAAAGAAACTGTTAACTATCACCTGTCTAATAACTGTAACTTTTATCAGATTTTAAGATATGTTTAATTGAAAGTATTGATCTATTCAAGTATTTAAGAAGTATCTTTTTTTAATTGAAAAAACAAAAATCATATGTGGCATGCACATCATATAACTTTCACTTAGCATCCTTGATGGCCGAACACGTTGGCACAAAAGTCCTAGGTGCCTGGTTTGAAATTTAGTGGACTCGATTCACCTAGAATAGGAATTTCCTGATTTTGTTTCTAAATCTACCATAATATTAATTTTAATCCTATAAGAAGTGAATAAAATTCATTAATTAAAACTAATTAAGTGTTACAGTGTTTTGTTTTTAATTTTTTACTATATTAATCTTCGGGAGACACATTGAGTGGTGAAGGTTTGTATTAGTTTTATACCTTCATTTGTGCAGTGAATAATTGTTATATTACTAATAAAGATGATATAATGAAATTATATTGATATTTTTATGTCAAGTTTTATTTATTTTTCATTATATGTGATGGTGTGGTTGTTTTAAGCTCCTCTCTCGGTGTTATTCATTATATCTGTTGATTTTGGTCTAAAATGCGTACCCTCTTTTTGTTATTTAACTTTGAGTTTATTAAATTTATTTCCATATATATGGAGGTTACTTTGAGGAAATATAGTATTGACAACGAAATTCTAAAAGTTCAGTCAAAAAAGTTTTGATCAGTCTCAATATTTTAGGTCTCGCTAAGTTTGAAAAACTATTCATTCATCTTGTCTGATTAGGAAACATTCGTTGAAATAATTTGAAAAATCGTTTTCAAGGTTTTGTTCTTGCCAGTGTTAATTTAATTTTATTTCAGTTAATATTATTGTTAAATATACTTAACTGAAACTGACATTTAGAGAGTTACCTGAATGTTGATGTTTGACAAGCAGGCTCTGGCTAGTGGCCAGGTTCCAGTTGGAAGTAGTGGACAGAGCCAGGAGGCTGGTCACTATTCGGACACGACAGCTTCTGCGGGAGGATCTGATGACGAAGGCTCGACAGCAGCCACTGATGGCAGTACACTTCGCACTTCTCCTGCAGATCAGGTCTATACCATAACTTCAAATCTAGCTCTAAAAATTAGTCATACTCGCTTTTTTTTTTTAACTCAATATAATTTCCTTTGGTGTGTTCTGCTAGATTACTCCAGGCTTTGTATAATGTTTCTGTAAACAAGGGAAACTGAATAAGAATTATGATTACTGATATATAAGAATTAAATTGCTGTAACATTAGAATGGAAGTTCAAGAAATAGTCGATTTTTCAAATATAATTCTATATGAAATGTTGGGAAAACTTAATGCAAGAAATAAGTAACTTTGTGGAAGCTTACATAAAAGATAGATAGAGTTTAAAGAAGTCATGCTTTTGTGGAGGAAACAAAAGTATACCTGAAAAGATTTATTATGAGACCTTTTATTTAATTTACATTGTCGACCGAACAAAAAGTTGTGACTACTGTACAATAATACCATAGTAACAAATCTTCATTTAGACTAGATAAAAATTCATCATGTATTTGTACATTTTTTGTGTATTATCGTAACTAAAATTAAATTATTTGGAAGGTTGTTTAATGTTTAAAGAATAACTAAACTATTCTAGTGGGTGTATGAGAGTATTTATGGAATTGAATAAAAAATTGAAAATATAAATAATATTATATCACTAACAACACATGAAAGGTCTTGGGTTCAAAGTAGGGTGAGAAAGTACTGTTGTTACAAGGCCAATGGTTTTGCAGAGAGGTGATGGGTCAATATCACGCTCAACCGCCAAGTTTTAATAAATTTATTTTTGAACAAAATTAAAGACAAAGATGTAAAACCAATGATATGAAATTCCTTTACTATAAATAAAGGCATTATTTATGGTCATAAATTTGATTTTCTTTACTTAATAGATTTTGCTAATAATTTATGATTTCTGTTGCCCATCATTTTAGTTTTAGTACATTATGGTCGAAGTTAGGCCTGATTAATTAATTGAGCCTGTCGCACTCTATTTTTTTCTCTTTTTGCAAATTTTGTGATGTTTTCTTAAATTTTCATGTTTCAGACCATTCAGCAATAAATTATCAAGAGCCTATTGCATTTTATATTTTTCTCTATTTAAAACAAAAAATGTTATGAATATTTTTTGTGTTCTATTTAACAGACAATTCTTCTTTGATAAAATTAAAATACTAAAACTTAACTTAATAGTATTTCTTTAGAATTAACATAAGAGTATAGAAATAGATATAATTCCTTATTCTCTTGAAGTATTTATTGATAAGAGCCCTTAGCGCTCTGTTCAGTGGGTATTAAACAATAAAGCCTTGACATTATTGCCAACTCCTTATCCCAGAATCTATACATTTGTGTGTCTACATGTGTTAACTTGTCATCAATTGTATTGGCAACTTTTTGTTAAACCAAATTGAACTTGTCCTTATCTACGAGGTTATTTTGATAATAGTAGCTATTTTGTCTTGCATGTACAGTTTTAGTGTTTTTAATTAATTTTAAACATGTTCTAACATTATGCATACACAATATGATTGATGTATGTTTTTATCTAATTAATTAATTCTATATTGTGTGTTATGAAGCATGCAAATGTATGTTATGTGTTATATGATGTTATAAACAGGGGGGCTCTGGTGGATCAGAGAGCGGAGGAAGTGGTGTAGACAGTATAACTGGGGAACAGAATGTATCCGGTCGCAGTTCAGCGTATGGCGAACAGGAGGCTTTGGTCGGTCAGAGGAGCGAGACCAGTTCTTTGGGTGGTGCCCCTTCTGGCTTTCAGGTATACCCTCACTGCGTTTTATTGCTGATGGTGTATGAGATGGTGATTCATGCTTCTTTCTTTGTCGTCGCTCTCCTCATTATTGCTTTTTAACAATTATTTCATGGATTTAAAGTAACTTTATTAATTTTTAGGATGGCTTCTATTTAACATTTTTTCGTTAAATTTGAATTTCCAACGTAATTACAGTGTCTGTTATTAAAGGAAAAACTTATTTGTTTAAATATCAAAGTTTTAGTCTATTGCGATAGGTGAAATGCTTACAGAAATAAGTATTTGGAAGTTTAATTCACAGTAGGCTTTATTATTTGTAGTTATTTTCTCGGTATTCTGGTTTCCGGATCTTAAGGTCATCTTTATTTTTTTGCCATATTTTAAAATTTAGTTGTGTGAAGAATTGATTAATTAAGTGAATCCCAATATTCTTTTTAAATAAGATTTTTAATAACTTGACCATTGTGATTTATTTTTTTATTTTAAAAATCAAGCCAACAAGTATTAAAAAAATCAATAATAAGACAAGTGAATTTGGTAGCTACTACAAAACTTGAAATGTCGATGAATTTAACAACATGTAATGGAATCCAAGATTTCCTGAGTTGTAAATTTATAGGTTTTTTGTATGTTGAAAAAGTGGAACACATTTTAATACCGTCTTTAAAATGTTTCCATAAGTTGAAGCTAGAGAAATATATTTTGGTCAATCAAAGATTGTTATTGTATTCGTTCATTTACTGCTACAGTGAGCCCTGAGCCTTCATATGATTTAATCAGATATTTTTCTGACGATTAGTATATATTTCTTGTAAACTATTTGTACATTTCTTTCTCTTATTACACTAATTTTTCCAATTTATGTTTAGTTGTGCAAATTATCCATAGTATTGCCTGGAGATGATTAGTTACTCACAAGAAAATTATGCATTATTTTAATCAATTATATTTCCCTCGAATATTTGAATGTTATCATTTTATTATTAACAGTTTTTTTTTTTATTGGTAATGTTTCTTTTTTGTTATTTCAAATGAATCAGTGTTATTATATATTATATTCTTATAATATTTAGTAGTAGTAATGTTTAATCTACTGTCAGATGAATTTAACAATTAGCTGATTTGCTCTTTAGTTTTTGATCTTTTTACAAGCTTTAAACAAAAGGTTGACAAAAATTACATTAATTTCCATTTTTAATATATATATTTAAGTTAACTGCTCAATTTCATCATAACCAGTTAATCTATTATATTAATCCTATATTTGTTTGTATTGATGTTTAATTATATTTTTAACAATTTAAAAATATATATATTTTTAATAAATTGAAAAAAATTACATTATTATTACTACATAAAAAATATATATTATTTGTGCTCTACTTTGAAAAAGTTAGTTCATCTCTGGACCAGGTATAAATATTTTTAAGACCAATTTTTTGTTATTAAGTTATCCCTTTTTATTGTCAACTGAACAATAAATATTTTTATTGTTTATCTGATGAAAATATATCAAATTAATTAAACTATTTATTGAAAAATAACTAAATCTACATTATATTTTTCATAATTGTGCTATATCTCTTAAATAATAGGCGCAGGAGACTGATGGCTTAGAGGCAGAAGGTGATGTTGAGATGGAAGGTGCTACAACTCTGCATTCACTGAGATTGGCTATACTTGAAAAATTCGTCCAACATGTCCCCGATTTGCAGAACGTGAGTGGCGTTATTGCCATACCATTTATGCAGGTCAGTATTGTCGAAAAGTAATTATTTACTCTTAATTTTTAATTTATTAAAAGAAAATATGTCAATGATTGTTTTTGTCAGGTGGTTTTGATGTTGACTTCTGATTTGGATGGAGAAGAGGAGAGGGGGAAGGTTTGTTTAGAAAACTTGATCAGTGCTGTTCTCTCTTTGTTGAAGCTCAATGTTCCTGATACCAATGATATATGTACTAGAAATCTTCATAGGGAAGTGTCATTGGTTATTATGAGGCTTCTGAGTAAGTATATCACTGTTTTTCTAAATATTTTTACATTTATTCAATTGTTCTAGGAATGCAAAATATATCTTCATTTTGTTTTTAGGTGTTCTCATGTCTCGCCCCAAGTCTTCTTCTAAATCCGGTAATGCAAGTTTTGTCTCACAGACTACTGCAAATATGCTCTTACAGTCCGGTATGATCGATTATTGCCTTATATTGCTCAAAGAACTCATACCGTATTGGAAAAAGTAAGTAACACGGGTTAATATTTTTATTTTATTTTCTCTGCAAAGCATATAAAATAATTCTTTTTTAGATAGGTACCCTTTTAAAAATCATTTTAAAATTAATTCAGAATTGTTGGTCATTAGATTGTTTTTAGCTCACAACATTGTTTTCATTGCATATTTGCTCAGGTATTATTAATTATGATAAATATTTTTATTGTTTTTGTAGAAAAAACTGTTGGCAGATGTACCAGTCCCTGAATTATTAAAACTATAATATTAAGGCCTAATAAATATATTAATAAGCTGCACAAAAATGTATATCCTTCAGAATATAGGTTATTAGTTTGAAGTCAAATGGTTCTCACGTCAAATGAATGTTTCAAGTTGTTTGATAATTTTTATTTAGTTGATAAATCCTTATGATTAAAAGTGCATCTTTTACCATTGGTTTATCTGCGATTTAATTATCTTGAAGATCCGGTTTGATTGTTTATGTTAATTTAAAATGTAGTGAAATGACTGTTTGTGAATGGTTCATTGGAGAAAAGTTTTTAATTAATTTGTTTATGAATATCAACATTTCTTCCTTCTTTTTGTTTTTTTACTTTAAATTATTTTTCTTAATTTTTTTATTTCTTTGTTTAGCACCTCACAGGAAGAGTCAGGCACATCAACAAGTGGCACGCTGTTGAAGCCTCATCTTCCATCTACGCCTCCTGATATGTCACCATTCTTCCTGAGACAGTATGTGAAGGGGCATGCTACCGATGTCTTTGAAGCCTATCCTCAACTTCTTACGGAAATGGCTCTTAGGCTCCCTTACCAAGTTCAGAAGCATACACCTACACATATTTCTTTTCCACAGGTAATTACAATTGTAGTAGACATCCCCCTGTATTTACTCCTTTATGTGACAGTGTGTGAGGGAATTAGAAGGAATATATAATATATAGGAATGTGAGGTTGCACTGTGAATTGTACTCAATTGTGCAGTGGACAAATTGTTCTTTGAAAAGTCTCATATCGATAAACAATCGATGAAGAAGGAAAAAGATCCGACCAGGTAGCAGCAGCTGGAGGAAGATGCCAGGGAGGGAAAGGGCACTTAAGGCTGAGACAGAGAGACAGGACATTGAAGACCAAGAATATCAAGCCTACAGATATAAGACTTTTATAGATTCATTTATTATCAGTTGTTAAAATAAATTGTTTTATTATACAGGAGGGAAAAGTCATTTTATTTAGTTGTCCTATATGCCTCACAACTGAAGAATAACAAACCAGGTGAGTCAATTCATTCAAAGTGTGTTTACTAAGTCTCACATTTCTTATATGTATTCTTATTGTTTCTTCTCACTCAATGTCACAAAAGGTATTATATTCCCTAATTCCCAACGACAGTTAAACACCCTCAAAAAAGTATATATCCAGTGCCGGGGATTTGTTTTAATATTCACGATTGTAAATAACCTAAGTCCCCGATAATAAAGCGGAAGGCTATTCACCTATTCCCGCCAAGAGGTCATTTACAATTAAACTTAAAACATTTTATTTACACAATTGTGTCATTTGCACGATAACTGGTTCATCAATTTAGATTCACCATTAATTATTGCTTTCGGGAGTAACATGTTTTTGAACTAAAATTTGATAGTAATTGATTACTGATTCTTTGGAGTTTGTCATGAAGCCTTATGCCTGTAATGTTGTTATTTAATCTGAATAAATAGAAGAATCATGTACGTAAAAGAATGAATTTTTTCTTTGCCTTGATTCTTTCTTTTTTTTTTCATGAGTAATTTTAAGGTATTGTCACTTCTTTATCTATTTTGTAGTAGTACATGAACAACTTCAGTGCTCAAACCACGCCCTGAAGATGACCCACATGTTTGGGTTGAAACGTTGGCAAAAATAGAAAAATTTTTAAAAAAGACTGCGTCCTGAATATTTATCATCCACTATTTTTTAATCTATTGTTACAATTCTATTTCTGTTAACAAACCATCATCTTATATAGATCAGATCCTTTCTTTATTTATCCTATTAGAAAATATGAAAACTGAAAGTTGCTGTAAACAACTAGCTTACCGAACTATTCTCAAAAATTAAAACTAAGGTTAAGAGGAATAATTATCGGCAGTTCGCCTAAATTATAGTTCAATAAGAATAAAATATTTACTGATTTTTTTTTTCTATCCATATCTTATTAATTTTAGTACTTATTTTTACATTTTTCAGGCTTGGTTTTATTACCTTTGTGAATATATGATGACCCAACAAACACCATTTGTACGTAGACAAGTCAGAAAGTTATTGCTATTTATATGTGGCAACAAAGAAAAGTACCGACAGAGGCGAGATTTACATGCTCTAGAGTCACACATGAAGGTACTTTATTTGATTATTTTAACAATTCTGCTTTTATACTTTTCTCAAATTTTATTTCTTATTTGTTACGTGAGAATTGAATATGTCTTAAAAAAAAATAGTACCAATTAAAATTAATGATAGTAAAAAGCTTTAATAATTTTTTAACTTCATTGTACATATTTATTGTATTAATTTATCTATATTGAAGCATGCTTACAGTTTATATAATCTGTATGTTTTCATGTAAATTTATCATATTTAAACTTTATTAACCCACTTCAAATTTATTGGTTTGTTATAATTATATACATTGTCTTTTTAATTGATTGTAGAATTTTTTTTTTTAAATTTCTTTACAGTCTGTGAAACAGTGTCTTGAAAGTCGAGAACCACTGTCTTATGACTCTCTCGTTGAAGTAACGGAACATCTTAAAGCATGCGTAGAAGTTGGAACTGGTCGTACTGGTAACTGGCGCCGGTTCTGCCTTGATGATCCATCAGTCCTAACTTTCTTAATGGAGACTAGCTGCAGTGTTGAAGAGGCTGTTGCTGCCATTGCTCTTCAGTTGCTGCAGTGTGCCCTCTGCCCTGCTAGGCCTCAACAGCCGGTTGCGTCCAACCAGCAACAGGTACTTTTTAACCGTAGTTATTCACTTCAGGTAAAACATAAGATACTCTCATTTTAAAGAATTTTTTTTTATTAGTAAATGGTTTTACTGTAAATATTAATATAGAACAATATATTAACAAAATGAATAATGGATTAAAAAAAACAAAGAAAAGTCATCTCGTGGTAAAACTTATAAAAAAAAAGAAAGTAATTTCCAAGTTATATATGATAAGTGAAATAATCACATTCCTGCTAATTTAATATTAATGGTACAATCTTGATAGCCCAACATTTGCTTATCTGACGTGTTTAGTAATTTAAAATCTTACGGCGTCTAACAAGGAGGTCCTAAATTTTATTTTTTTTTTTATATTCCTGCATCTAAGTATTCCTACCCACCCAATGGAATAAAATTACTTTAGTTGGAAATTATTTTTAAGCCATCAACCATCTAATTGTTTTATTTGAATTGCAACATTTCAAAATACATTGACCACATACTCAAAAAAAAAAAAAAAAAAAAAATACATACTCAATTTTTTTTCTTTTTACCTCTGTAATTGGTAATGTCATATATTAATTTTTATCCTATTGTAAATTTACATCGATAGAAATATTTTGTACCTTAGAAACTTTATAATTAGCCATAGTAATTGTGTATAGTATATCAAAATTCTCTCAAAAAATTACTCACCAACCGCGATACAAAAGCATGTAAGTGTTGAAACTAAACATATTCACAAAATGAGGGAATAAAAACTTTGGATTTTATAAAATCAAGAATTTCTGTATAATGTTTATTGCATTCATAAGACAAAACTGCGGTGTTTTATGTAATTAGTTTGGTTTATATTTCTGAATAAGGCCAAAATTATTTATAACAAGACAAGTTATAAAAAATAAATAAATAATAAAATAAAAAATCTACAATAAAATGTTTTAAAGGCTTTTACTCTATGGCTGTGATATTGTTAGTTTGGAAGTCACTTACATAAAAAAGAAAAACCCACAATCTTTAAATTTCAAATCTTAATAGCTTTTAGAAGAAAAAAAAAAGTGTCCAGTCTTCACACTTTTTGATTTTAAAAATATAATTCCCCAAAAAAGTAAACCAACAATGATCGGAAATAAATGAAGAAAACAACACAAATTGCATCTATGATGGAGCTGTCTGTTTGTCATGAAGGCCGATGTATGTTATTTGTACACTTTAATTGTGACAGGGAAATTGTCTAATGTTTTTCCTTGCATGGATAGGATCCATGATGTGTCCCCTAGATCTGTAAGCTTTTTTTAGGTGAATTTAGCTGGTCCTCAAAATAATGATGTACCACAAATATTAGGGGGTGAGTCCTGGAGATAATCCTGAAGTCTACATCACATTTTAAAATATGTTTTATTTTATATCTATTTCTAAAAAACAAAATTGATGATACCATAATAAATTAAAAAAATAAAATAAATTTATTTTTATTTTTTTAAATATTGTAATTGTAATAAAAAAAGTTGGCAAATTATGCTGTGAAAATTGAATAATTATATAATCGTTATTTAATTTTTATATAAATATTTGCTAAATGATGAAGATTGGATTGTATTTATGTTCATTGGTAAAATATTCCTGTATTTGTAGTAAGTCCTTCACCTGCTTCATTTTAAACTCGAGGATATGTTTATTGTAATTTTATTTATTTTTAATTATTTAACTAATTAATAAATATTTTTGTAATAAATTTGGATTTCAATATATAAAGCAAAATTAATGTATTATTATTCATTAAATCTAATACAATGATTATTATAAACTGACAATTGTAGTTTACTATTGATAAAACATTAACTTTTTTATTTTAAATGTCATTCCAGGATCAGGCCGCTTCTTCAGCTGTCTCTAAACCATCCACAAGCAGCAGTGGTCGTGATAGCAAAGATAAAATTGAGGACAATGAAATGGAAGATGCACAGTGCCTTGCTCTTGTTCGCCAGCTTAACAATCAGCTGCCTAGAGATTTACTGACTCGTTTCATGCGCTCATTCCTTCTTGAAACTAATGCCTCCAACATGCGTTGGCAAGCACATGCTCTTATACTTTCTATATACAGGTATATAATTATTATTTTATATATTTTATAAGTAATATCTGTTCAAAATAGCTCCACTGTTATGTGTTAACAAAATTTTTCCTGAATTATTTTTATTATTAGATTTTTAAATATCAATTGTAATGATGAGAATTAATTCATTAATCATTAATCATTTGTAACACATATTTTCTCCTAAAGCGCCATAGGAAATCTAAAAATCACTCATCTCAATATAAAAAGGTCTGTTTCTGTGGACTTATTGAATAGATGTGTAATATGGCTGTCCAAAAGAAACTTAAGTTTTGAAATAAAACTTGAATTAAAAGTAGAAATAAAACTTGAATTAAAAGTAAAGAGAAATTGTTTTATCATTTACATTTTAAAGGCATATTCTTTTTAACTATTTTTCTTCATGGTCATCATTCAAATTGAGGCAATAACCTACACAATATATTAGCTTTCCTATTAAAATGTTATTGAATAAAGTAAAATGAAGTGAGAGTTCTGTAAAAATAAAGCAGTGATTTTTATGACTTTGTTCATTCATTTTCTTTATCAGTTCATCTGTCACAAGTTTAGGCTGATCATTAAGTTCCTTATCATGAACATGGGTACAGTAATTTTTTCAATTTAATGAATCACTGCCAAATTCATTATTTTCCTCCTGTACAACCCTCAGAGTTGCTGTGATGAATTCCAATTATTTTTTTTGTTTTATAATTATTACCATAAAAATGTAAACACTGATTGCACTTCATACCTCATTGGGATACATTAGTCGTGTATTTGTACTTATTTGAAGTCATAAAATCCCCTGTAAATAAAAATAAATCAATAGAATTGAATTGTTTGATAAAATATGAACTAAAAATTATGACAGATCATATATAAAATTAATGAATAGTGATAAATCGTATATACTATGCAAAATAAAAAAATACTTCTTAATGAATAAATATACAAACATTTATAATAGAATAATGTAATGCCTTAATATAAATATTTCTTAATTTTGTTAATCACTTTTATGGGTGAAATATTACAAAAAAATTGTAAAGTATTAGAATAAATAAAAATGAATTTTAAAAGCATAAACAATTTTTGGTAATTTATAAAACTGTTGAGAACTTTACCATGTTTTACATTACCTTATTTTATATAAGCTAATTCTTGAATAACCTATTTCTTTTCTATAATTGCAGATTTGTCCATATTTTCAACATTACTCACTTATTTGTCTTTCATTTCTCTTGCAGCAATTCCGATGTAAATGAACAGGAAGCAGTCTTAGAGCAGCTATGGTCACTCTGGCCTCAACTTCCATCATATGGTCGTAAAGCTGCTCAATTTGTTGATTTACTTGGCTATTTCTCGATCAAATCTAATAGCGATTCTCCAGATAAGGTGAGCAAAATGTTTCGGCTCTCGAATTCTTGATAGTGTGAACAAATTTGCCATCTTACCTGTCTATAGGTAAAACTGATTAGTTTGTTCATTCTACTCATTTTGTGTTACTCCACTGATAATACATTTTTAATTTATACAATTATATTATTATATAATATAATTTTAATTTATAATTATCATTGCACATTTTTGAAATCTTGAAACAGTGACTACATAGTTTCCTTTTAAATATACTTTAACTTACGATCGTGCATTCGTGAATTAAGTTGCGAGTATTTTTTCTATCGTTTCATTTGTATTTTTTATTACTAAAACCTTAACCTTTTAATGACGATGAGCGGAAAGATTTGAGTGTCCTTGAGGACAGAATTATATTCATCATCTCTACTAACCATTTACGTGTTTTTATTTAAGACATCGTTCTTAGTCACAGAGAAATTCCCTAATGCATCATGGGAAGGCTGCAAGATAGTTTGAAAGTTGAATCACTGAGCACCCCGTCATTTAACGAAAATGAGTCTGATAGGTTCCTGATTCATATATGAGTCTACCATCTTTAAAGAGTTAACAACAAACTTTCAATTATAATTTTGGAAAAAAAATCTCTTATTTAATTTTTCCTCATATATATCATCAATAAAAAAAATAAATAAAATAAATGCATGCAATACTTAACTATTTTTCATTTAAATTGTAATATTTTTAATTATATTTTGTTTACGTAGATTTATTTCTTTTCTACATAAGTAGTTATGATGTGTGAATAGAGTTGCTTTTCTAGTAAAAGCTTAGGAATTATTTCTGTAGCTAATGCAGCTTGATGTACTTATATTTTGATGTTTTGAAACTACCTTATTTTCAATAAACTTTTTTGATCATCTAAGAAAAAAAAGTTTAACCCCTCTCCTCAACATTTGAGGTTTTTATATTTTATAATATACAGAATTCAGAAATTAAATATAAAATAAACACACTCCGTCCATCGCACACTGTCCTCGGGTTTTCTCTGAGACTATTTGGGAACAAAGGTACAGGTGACCCTAGGATGATTCTCGAAAGTTGACATTACCTCCACCAGTTTGTTTCAGAATGACATTCAGTTAGAGCTTTTATATGTCCATATCTTGCTCACTTATGATGGCTGAAAAATATTAAGTACTTCGGAATCATTTTACAAGTCTTAAAAAAAATTTTAAAATTACTAATTAGTTTATTATTTTTTACTTGGATATGTAGTCATTTGGAAATAATAAACCATAGTGTAATGATTTACAATGTTTTTATATGATTATCAATTAACTCTTTTTTTTTGTCTTCAGATGGAAGAATGTATAGAGAAAGCAGTAAAAATGCTACGGATTCAAAATCAAGTTTTGCTTCAGCATCCAAACGCTAGCCTTTACACTCAATTAGCGCAATACGTTGAACTTGAGGGGTACTATTTAGAGTCTGATCCGTGTCTAGTCTGCAACAACCCAGAGCTTCCGATGACCAACATAAAGCTATCTTCAATAAAGGTAATTAGAAGTTTTATTTTCTCAATCAGCTTTCCTTAATTCATTCTTATAGATAACAATTATTACAAGAATTGTTATTATTTATTTCAACAATTCAATTATTTAGCAATTATTTCAACAATAAGAATATGCTTCAAATTATCATTAGGTTATAAAATATTAGGTTAATATACAAAATATCAAATAATCTTATTTATTATTTGATGATTTACTACATCTTGTAATACATTTTTACATGATATGAATCATTATTTTGTCTTCAAATCCACCATTTTGTATCAATTGGAGACTGCTGAAAATAATAAAAGAATCTTGTGGTTTTGTTCTATTTAAAAGAATTATTTTGTAATTTTTTTTCAGATTGATTCTAAGTTTACCACTACGACCCAGATAGTGAAACTCGTTAGCAGTCATACCATTAGTAAGATCACGTTGAGGATAGGTGACCTCAAGAGAGCTAAGATGGTGCGCACGATGAATATTTACTACAATAATAGGAGTGTACAAGCTGTTGTCGAACTTAAGAATAAACCAGGTAAAAAAAAGTTAATATAGTAATCAATGTAATTAAATTATTTTAATTTTATAAAATTAAATCACTAATACAAATACTTTGATTAATTCTCCCTCAGTGAAATCAGAACTTTGTGTACTTACAAGGGGAGTTACGGACATGGGGTCACCGATTTCAATGAAACTTTTTTGGTGATGCCAGGTCGAAAAATATTAGTCCATGTGTAAGGGTTCTTGTTAATGCCCCCTAGGGACCGAGAAAAAAAATATTTTATAGAATTTTATTATTTTGTATTACTGTTACTGACTTTGCTCTGCATGGATTTCTAAGTTATTATGTATCAATCAATTTAGTTTTTTGTGTGTAAAATGAGAAAAACATTACTAATTTCATTAAACGAATTTTCATCGGAATCAGTGACTCCTCGTCCGTAATCTTCCCTTGTTAATGAAACTATTTTTGATTTATAATAAGGATTGTTTTCATTTTGAAGTATTTACTGTGTGCATTAATGGATTGTGCATTTAAAAATAAGGTCAAATTTCAGGGTGCCTAATGAAATTTTGTAATAAATTGATACGTGTACTGTTAACTTTTTTTGAGTATTTCTATTTTTATATATTAGATAAGATAATTGATTATAAAATAACTTTATGGACTCCAGTCTAATCATCTGCAATAATTATCAATTCATTATTTATATTACATCGAATAATGTTTCAGCAATGTGGCATAAGGCAAAGAAGGTGAACCTTGCATCAGGGCAGACGGAGGTAAAAGTTGAATTTCCTCTTCCTATTGTTGCTTGCAACCTCATGATTGAGTATGCTGACTTCTACGAAAACCTTCAAGCATCCTCAGAAACGTTGCAGTGTCCTCGGTGTAGTTCTTCTGTACCTGCTAATCCTGGTGTTTGTGCTAACTGTGGAGAAAATGTTTTCCAGTGTCACAAGTGCAGGTGTTGTATTATTATTAGTATTAAGAAACTTTTCTTATTCTTAATATGTAGTATTTTTACTTGATATATGCAATAAAAAAAAATGTTTCAACAGGGCTATTAACTATGATGAGAAAGATCCATTCTTGTGCCATGCTTGTGGATTCTGTAAATATGCTAAATTTGATTTCACTATAACGGGGCGGCAGTGCTGTGCTGTAGATCCTATAGAAAATGATGAAGATAGGAAAAAGACGATTGCTGCTATTAATTCTCATTTAGAAAAGGCTGATAGAGTTTACAAGCAGTTAGTAGGAAATAAGCCAACCTTAGAGGTATTAATAAATTAAATTTATTATATAACATTTAATTATTTATCTATTTAAAATTTAATATTGTATAATTAAGTGACTCTTAGTTATAATATTTATTTTCTTATAAGTGATCGATGAAATTATGTTTTGAACCAAAAATATCTTAATTTACTTCTAGCTTACGTGAAAATTAACAAATTGATTTTTAAGTGTTCCTAATCTGAACGGTACTGTATTGTGTAGCACGATTTTCAAATTGTTGATTTTCTTATATAAACATATGAAAATAAGTTAATTTGGTCCAAGGTAAGACTTTTATTTTATCCCTGAAAAATTAAAAAAAGAAAGTTAGAAACTATTTAGAAGAAGCTCTTCGATGATTAACTTGTACAATTATTTGATATATGATCTTTTTCACTGATTTTGAATAAACATCTTCAAACTTACTATATATAAGTTTCAATTTAATAGAAAAGTTATTATAAAATTTTAACTACTTTTCCGGAATTTGTTTTAATAAAGAATTAAAAGTCTTAACTATTTATTGATCTGCTCAAATAAAAGTCTAAGTTATGCTGTAATAATTTATTTTGTATTTTTGATTTAATTGTACTAAAAACTGAGAAAAGCATTTATTATTATTTCTAGATGCTGCTTCTTAAGATAACCGATCACAAAGCTGAACGCAGTGGAATGGAAGAAAATCAAGCAGCAGTCAATAATACTACCAATAATAGTAGTACTACAGCAGCTGTTTCATCTTCATCTGCAAGTGCCAATTCAACAAATACAATGGTCAACAGAGCGATACAGCTCCTTGCGCAAAGATATTGTACTGATTGCAAAACGTCGTTTGAAGATCTCAGCCGCATTATTCAGGTTTAAACCCATTAAACTTTAAAAATGTTTCTATAATTTCTTCCTACTCTTCTTTTCTAGTCGAATATATTTTGATTTGATAAATGAAATTATACGGATAGATAGAAGAGAAAATTTGGTCTTGTATTATCTATTGTATTTATTTATGGCAAGTCTTAGGCCCCTATAAAACTATGCAACGAGCTGAGTGATGAAATCACATCACCAAGATCACATTACCAGATCGGTGACCAGTCTCTTAGTCAGTTTAAGTTCACTATAAATGTAAACTATGCAACCCTTTTTTAAATTTTTTTTTTAACCCAATTGACTATTTTTTTACCAAAAACATAATTTCTGTTTTTAAATTCTTAAATTATAATTAAAGTTAATTTATTTTTATTTTGCACATTTTTTATTTCATTATTACTTCAACCCTATAAACCTATAATAAATCTCAATTCTGGGAGCTTTGGACAATATAAGGGTATATTTACATTTTTGTGCTATATGATTTTATGTAATAAAGTTGGTGATAATAAAAAAAAAGTTCTTAATTGATAGATAAAAAAACAATCATGATGTAATTTTTTCAAAAACTAAAAAAATTATACATGTTGGGATAATTGTTTTATTCATAAGCTTTATATCATTTATGGTCATAATTAGTATGTAACCAACTAAATACAGATTCAGGATTCGACTTTTGTGTTTCGAGGTGAGGGTACACAATTCGGAACAGTCTGAAAGGGTAGAGAAAAACGTTGATTTAATATAGTATAGAGAGGTGGTCGCACCCGGTTATAGCATCTCTTTTAGCCACTGGCTCTTCAGGTTGAGGGAACAGTACATTGACACACATACATATGAACTAATTATAGCACACTATACTTAACCCCACACTACAGATCAAGGTCAATAACACTACTCACTCTAGATGGGATCCTGGATGGGGGAGCGTGCCTGGAAGCTCTGAAGCAGCAGCTCCTCCAACTGACACGGGTATACTTGGCTGATAATCAGCTCCCCTTAGACTTAATATATTACAAACAATGTTGAGGAATATAATAACAGAAATCCAGAAATAAATGCTTAAAACCAAATTATAATGTAATTTCTTCTTATTTTGGGGATCAAGACGATGTAGATTTACAAAAGTTATATTATTTTACAGATTTCACTGATAAAATTATTTTCAGTAGTTTAGTAGTTTCTTTTTTATAACTGATTTAACTAAGTTAACTGAAGTGAACTGACCCAGTACAATGAGCACATAGAGTATGAAACTGATTAAAATGAAGAAGAATATCTGTGGTGAAAAAGGCATGAAGGGAATCAAGAATTTCATTCTGCGTGTCTAGTAAACTTAAAATCTTGAGAGACTGATTTTCCTTCTGCTCACCTGCTGGTTGCTTAATCTAATAGGGTGCTTTATTTGTTGAATTATCTAAAAAAAATAACTGTCAGGAATCTAATTTTGCATCATTTCTTTTAAATAACCGAGGCATGTTTTATTTTTTTCACAGAAAGTTCTGGCCTGTCGAAGTAAACTGGTCGCTTATGACAGAAGCCAACTAGAAGGAGCTGTATCTGGAGGTTACGGTTACAACTTCCCAGTTTCTGGTGAAATAGCGCCTTACTCACTCCCAGTGCAAACTAAATGTTATGGCTGTGCTTTGTCTGCCACAGAACACTGCCTGATCTTACTTCGGGCTCTTTCTGTTAATAGCAAATCTCGCCAACTCCTTTGCAATCATGGCCTAGTGCAGGAGCTAGTTGAGCATAACCTCCGTAGGGGTACTACTCTGGTTAGTTAAAAGGATTATTTTTCAATAAGTATTATTTTTTATAGAACATTTGTATAAAAACTTATTTATGAATTAATGAGTTTCTATAATGTTACTTATAAGTTGTTTTCGACTGATTATGAAACTTTATTCAGGTCCAGGAAGATGTACGGCAGCTGATATGCTTAGTGACTGTTGATAATGAAAAAGCAACAAAGGAGATTTGCATCATCCTGATGGACCGCATAGCACTCACCTTGAGGGGTCACCTTGCTGTTTCAGAACTCTCTGTTGCCGTGCGCCCGGAGATGAATCTGTTAGCAGCACTTGTACAGAAGGAAGACTCTTGCTGGGAGCACAAGCTAAGGTATCTAATAGTTACTTAGCAAATTACGGTTTGAAGTTACTTTTAGCTAGAAGTAGCATTTTATTTATTTAATAATTACATTGGGGCTACTACAACTTCAATGAATTGTTATATCGGTACAGTATTACTAAATATAGACAAAATAAAATCTATTACATTTTTAATTTGTTGTACAACTTACACAACTAAATATATATTTAAAAGAAAATAAAAGTCCTTGAGACAGATTGTAATATTTTTCAATAAATAAGCTCTAAAAAAAAAGGAAAAATATTTTAAGAAAAAATATTTTAAAATAAAAATATTTTAAGAAAAATTTTAAAATAAAAATATTTTAAGAGAAATTTTCTATATTATTCTGGGACAAAGTCTTTTACTAATAAAATAAGAATAACATTACATAGTGGCCTAAACAGTATAGCCAAACTCAATAATATTACAAAATAAGTGAAAATACATGCAGAAAAAGAAAATATGTACTAGAGAAAATATATTAAAACAACAAGACTACATTAAAAAAAAAAAGCTCTAAAATTAACTTTGGAAAACATTTTAAATGCAGCAAAAAGGTGATCTAGTATAAAATATTATTAATTTGACTGGGCAAGGAAAAGGTTGTTGAAGAGGAGAGCTTTAAACAAGAAAACTGTTGAAACATGACGGGATGGAGTTCCAGCATATTCAGAATTATTATAATAATCGGAATAATAATAAAGGATGATAATAAGTAAATTAATAATAATGAACATCTATGTTATTTATTTTTGTTTCTCATTAACATTTATGTTAGACCATTTTCATATAAATATATCCATTTCCAACTCGCTCCGGTTTTGGGTCAATCCGTTTGAAGTAAATGGAATGATGAATAAATTGCTTGCAGGTGCTGATAATTGTAGGTCTTACTGATACTTTTTTTTTCTATATCAATTACTGTAATGGGCCAATAATTAAAAATACAATGTTATCTAATCCAAGAATGCAGCAATTGATTAGGATGAATAATGTCTACCCCGACCATTCATGCTTTTAGTAAGATACAGTACTGCATTGTGAGAAATGGTTATTTGGACTCAGGAGACCCTTGTCCTAACTTGCTCGGCGATCAATTCCTCTTTGTTTTATGGTTCATCCTATGCATTAAATTTACTACCAATAATAAATGAGAATTTTCATCATAGACATGTCCTAAATAACTATAAATTTAAACATTTTAAGTTTGATGTTTTTAATAATTATTGTTAAATTATTATTTTATTTATCATTTATGATTTCAAGGGTGGCCATTGATAATTTTGTCCCAAATCTATGGTACTTAATATTTATTTTTATTTTTTATGCACAGCGTAGTTTGAAATATGATAAAAAAAATTTAATTAAATTTTCAGAGTGCCTTTTGTTTTGACTGTATATAGGAATAAGTTCATAATATTTTTTACTTCATCAAATTTATTGTTATTTTTATTTCTAAATTTCAGGAGTGTTATGCAGTTGTTCTTAATATCCTGTGCTGAGGGAAAATCTCCAGTAATCATGGATTCAATTATATTACCCTGCCTCAAAATTCTAAAAGGCCTTGTAAAGCCAGATCAACCAGTTTCAAAGAAATATAAGGTATATTTTGCAACCAATTGGTGTTTTTATTGTATACATGATTTACATCACAATCTTTATATATTTTCATAATTGGTAATTGGTTGACTGTCGTGGATAATGAAGAGAAGAATAGTTGGGGTGGTCAGTCAAAAAGGAAGGCAAAAATATTATAATTTATAAATATTATAATTTATTTTTGCCTTCCTTTTTGACTGACCACCCCAACTATTCTTCTCTTCTTTATATAGTTTGTTTAAATTCAGACTTAAGTTCAAAAGTTTTATTTTACTAAAATTATTTAATACAACTTTTTATAACCGGCTATCCTTATATTTTAATTAGAAACTCATTTGACTACTATGAAATGGGAGAAATTTCAAATTAGAAAAGAAAAGTGGTTTTGCAGATAAAAATTGCTAATTTTCAACAAGTGTTTCTCTATATGTTGACCCTTCCTATTGATAAATGTTCTAGGCTTTAAATATATGAGACCCAAATACAAATCTTTGAGATGAGAATCTGGAAGAAATCTAAAGGTTTAAAGCTTGTTTTCCTCAAGACTAAAAATTTTGAAAAACAAGAAAGAAGAGACTGGAACCACTAATTTGTTCTCCCGAAATTTATCTAATCGTCATTTTATGCATTATAAATGCTCACTTATCAAAATGAGAATCATTCAGATTCAGAGAATGATAGTGCCTTGGTGAATGAGATAGCTGTACTTAAACTTTCTTCAAAGATCCCAGTTTTCTGGATATCAAGCCTTAGTCATAAGTTAAGGTTTCTCCAAGCAGTCAACACTTGTTCAACTGAATGGTTGAGTCTGGTCATAGAGGATATCTCTTAGGAAACTGACCTGCATTAGTGATTTTCTCTTCCCTTCTGTTTTCACTTTGAAATGCCCACCCTAGTTGTTGGCAATGTATTACTGACCCATCACTAAACTTATTGCCACTTCATTCATATTTAGTCTGTTTTTTTAAAGATTTTTGGACCAATTATTGTATCTTTAAAAACTAAAATGAAGTAAACTTTTCTTGATTTTTAACCAAGTTAAAAAAAAAGAAGTGGTTTTCAATTTGATCTATTTTTTAAATGTATGTTTACTCATAACTTTGCTATTCGTGAACCAGAATTTTCTATTTGCAAAGAATCATATTCATGATATTACTAAAACTGCTACTATTTATTTTTCTAAATTGATGGCTGATGATACAATCGTTATAAAAATTTGAGATTAATTGTCTTAGAGATTGTAATGATGCGTATTATCACAAGATTGGTTCTTGGCATAATTTATAGTTTTATGTTATTAATTTTTGGATTTTATTACTAAATTATGCCACTTTTTAACTTAACGCACATTTGTACAAAGCAGTATTTAGTAATTTTATTTAAATTGATTAATTTTAATTTGGTATTTTTTTTTTTTTACATTCACTGGTTTAATTTTATAAATTTCATGTAAAATACAGTTTATATATTCCGTCCATTCACTAGTACTTCATGTCTGGTAATTAAGTTTTAATATTACCGATAGATCAGCTATTTTTATATCTCCACAATCAGAAAGAATAGGATTAATTACTTTACTTTACAAAACTGTAGTGTGTTATTGTCTACTGTCGATGACTGTAGTTTAATTTTCCATGAGTGATTTTCTGATCTGTAGGCATATAATAAAAATGTAGTTCGATATTACAAAAAGGAAGATATAATTTACCTTCACTTATCCGGTAATTTTAGTAAATAATAATAGAATCTTATTATTTAGATCCTACTGTATATTTTTATACATAAGTTTTTAAAGATAAGTGAGTTTATTCTAAACAAAGTTAGTGCCTAAAACTATGTGTGGATAAATTTTAATGTTCTTGATTATGGAGAGTGATGTTAAATATTAGCAAAGATGAACAAGAGAGAAAGGTTGGCCTAATGTCCATAAATTTCTGGTTATGTAAATAAAAAATTTGAATCTTACTTAATTCAATTTTATACAAACATGTAAGTTATTTTTTTGAAAATTTGTTCTGCACATTAGAGTTATAAAAGATCCATTCTCTGTTACTTACATTAAGTAATATTGATACTTAATAATAAGTCATTTTTAATAAGTATTTTAATTATTACTATGGTAGTTGAAAAAATGTTGTAGCTTCATAGATTCTCCTAATTAATCCACCAGCTAGCTCTTAAGTTATATTAGCTAAATGATTACAACCCAACCCAGCTCATTCTTATTTTTTACAATACAATAAATCCTTCTATTTTTCCAACCACTTGCCGTTTACTGGAGAGTATAGGTCAGAATTTGGCCAGTTACGAGTTCCTAGCCATTAGTCAGGGATGAAGAAGTACATGATGAATAGGTCCAGTCGATTTTCCATTTCCAGAAACCTTCGATAGTTTTGAGCTATCATAGATGACTACTTTTTCAAAAATGAACAGTTTGTTATTGAGACAGCTTTTTCAATCACCAACAAGCTTGGCCCTCCAGAATACCTTTCTGATATTCCATAAGTGTATAGGATAAAACATTGTCTGACTAATATTTCGAATGAAGGTACTGTATGGAAATAAAATTAGAATAATTTTCTTCTTCGATATTTTAATGATTATGTAATTGATATAGTGCAGGCATCTAAGATTTTCCTATAAAGGAGGAAGGGAATTCGCGCAGCCATCCCCTACTCAAGTTCCATCTCCCCAAAACTTCCAGCCTCTGTTTTCATGAATTTGTATATGTTTGTAATTATGTTTTTGGCCTGAGAGTTGATAGTTTTCTCTCTCCCAGTTAGCATTACATAGTAAACAAAATTGGTAAAAGAAATTTTAAAGAAAAATTGATAAAAGAAATCACTACTTGTAAAAATAAATTGTAGAAGTAATTGTGGGTTGATGATTGGCTGTAGTGAATAATGAAGAGAAGGATGGTTGGGGTGATTAGTCAAAATAAAAATGGCAAAAATAAATAATAATATTTATTTTACTAGAGAGAACGGTTGGCAAAATGTTTTGCCACTGCGAATCTCTTTCCCTCTCTACTCACCAGCAAACTCATCTCAGACAGACTCCACTGGACTAAATGTTGTTTTTCTAAAAGAGCATTAAAAATGTTTTAAGATAAAACACTTGTCAGATATAATAAAAGGAGGCAGGTTTGCAGTGAAGATGATTTCAAACATTATTGCTAATATCTTTGCTTCATCATTCAACCATAGTCACAGTCCATTCTTGCAGGAGCTTATAATATATTTCTATTATGAAGCTTGGGGAAAAATACAAAACATAACTTGATAGTAAGAAGTTAACTTGTGCATTACAACTGCAGGGATTTAAGATTTCATTGATACAAAATCTCAGAATTTTATATGATGAGGAGGAATTGAATTTTTTTCTGGTTTACTAAAATATATGGATACTTACGGATTTATAGAGTTAAGTTTATTTATTGATTATATAATTTTTAAAGAATTGTTTGTGGAATTAGCTGTTATAAACAAATTTAATAGCTCTTTACAGACCAACAAGTCTTTATAATTAATAGGTGAACACTTAGATCAGAAACAATTTAGTAAGTAAGTAACAAAATATCAGTATACTGAAAATCAGTCAGTATTTAATAAATAATACATTATTTTTATATATCAAGTTTCTTTTTTTGTCAATAGGATAAAACATTAGATGCGATAGCAAGTATCAAGCCTAGTGGATCAGTGCATTTAGATGTTCTGAAGTGGCTAAATGGTGAAGAGAGACACTCGTATGCCAGTTGGTTTAAGAACATGCCACAAGCCAACAGTGAGCCTGTGTCGCCTTTGAAACCTAAATCAAAGGTAATCTTTATAAATATATATATATATATATATAAATATTTATTTAATACATTAATATAAATATAAATAATGATATCAATTAATATTATAAATATATTATTTTTTAACAGAGTGAAGTGAGAGCAAGGTATTTAGAAGAGAAGTATGGAAGGCGGTGGAGGGACAAGTGCTGCAAGCCTATGAAGTTGACAGATACTGCTTGGCTAAGGAGAGTCATGTTTAACCCTAGCTCTCGACTTGCTCGTCAGGTCATTTGTAATATGGTTGAGTGTCTTTGCTCAGAACCAAACAGGAGGAGAGAGGTATGTTATCATCTTGTGGAAGCACTTAATAACTTAATATTTAGGCTATGAATTGTTGGGGCTAGTAGTACTGAACAAAATGTGTAAATTATCAGAATATTTGATCAGAACCTTTCCTGGGACAACCCTATCTTCCAGATTACCAGAAAGTCTATAACTGTCCCTAAACAACTCCTAAGATTCCGTGATTTTATTCCCCTAAAAACCATGCATCTCCTTGTAACCTCCTTCGTTTTCCCCCACTTCGACTATGGTTGCTTGGTATTTGGAGAGCTGTTTGTCAGACTGGATATAAGACTGAAGAGACTCATGAATTACTTTACAAAATACATCTTTGGGATTCCCAGACGTTCTCATGTTTCCTGCTGGTACATCGAGTTGAAGTGACTTTATCCTATTTCCCGATGGCAATTTCTTCTTGGTGTTTTCCAACTCTTCAGAACCAATAATCCTCCCTACATCCTAGATCTCCCTAATCTATGTTCCTTTTTTAATACTTGATCTCAAGCTATTGATCTATTCATCCTCTCCCATTAAACTACTTCCTTCAGAAAATCCTTCGTCATTTGTGCAACCTCTTTTTGAAACTCTTTACTTTAATCCATATATCAAGCCTTACCTTTCATTTTCACACTTTCACAAATATGTAAGATTTATTTACTTCTGTATGATTTAATTAACTCTACAATTGTAATTAACAGTTAATTAAGCATCATTTTGTATTCTCTAAGCCAGATCTAATGTTCAAAATTATGGAACTCTGTTATTCTCAGAGGTCTGTAGTCTTAAAATAAAATTGTTTTTCATTTCATTTCAAACCTTTTTTTCTCATTTCTACTGACATTGTCTGAATTAATAACTGACAAATCACCCTAATTTACTGTAAATGGGCAACGATTGTTTGTATAATTTATTCATAAATAACGAAACAGTGATTGTGGGTGGGGTAGTAGTGTTACAAGTAGTGATGTATGATTACTGTTAAATATGGACCTATTTTTTATCTTGTAAACCTTGAGAATATATTAATTCTACATTACTATATTGTTTAGTTGTTAGCACTAAAGGATTTTTAAAATTTTATTTTGTATGCAATTACTAGGTTTTGGATTTGCTTACAACCTTCCTGAACGAATTGGGAACAGCTGGTGAGTCGGCTGCGGAATACCTTTCACTGTATCAGAACCTGCTGCAGGAGTCTCCTTGGAAGCAATACCTTGCCCTGCGTGGTGTGTTGTTGCATCTAGCGAACCTGCTCACTGCTGAAATAGAGTCAATACACAAATATGAAGGGACTGTCCTTACTTCCGACCTGTCTCAAGGTCAGTGCTGTTATGTTTCTGGAGATTTTTTTTTATTCGTTAAATTATTTATATTAGATAATTGCTGTATAGCTTACATGAATAGATAGTATTATCTACATAAAATATGAATTATAACTTACTGCTGGAGATACAATCCAATGGAAACTGAAGTATCCATTTACTGTAACAACTTATGGTGCTTGGTGTCGATGTTTAATTTTTTTTATAATTTGACATATTTCAAGGTATAATAACTTTAATTCAATATTTGACTGTTATAATATAGGTTACGCTCTGAAAATGCTGACTGAGTTAATGGCTTCCTTCCTTGAACAGCCAAACATTAAGCAGCAATACAAAGGAAGATTAGTAGGAGCTGTCTTGAACGGGTACTTGTCACTTCGTCGTCTTGTTGTTCAAAGGACTAGGCTCATAGATGAAACGCAAGATAAGCTTTTAGAACTGCTTGAAGAAATGACAACAGGTAAACTTTAATGAACCACAACTTGTTTTATTGCCATTTAGTATACAATTTATTAAAGCACTTCTTCTTATTGTCACCTATAAATTATTATTTCCTAGTATGAATATTTTATTCCAAATCAGAGGTCTCCAAACTATGGTCCACAGGCCGGATCCAGTCTGCAAGCCCCTCCAAAGTTCCCTCTAAAATTTCTTTAATTAAATGGAAAAATTGTAAAAACTATTTTTAAAATGTGATATTTAGTAAATCATTCACACAAGAGGTTACTACAGCATTTATTGTATGTTTTTTTCTCTTAAAAAGCTCATTTCTCAAATGAAGCATCTTTTTTATTTTCATCTCTAGCCATGGCCAGCAAGAGTTAGGTGGAGATCTCAGTGTGGTCAAATTTTAGCAACGATGGACAGGATGGACGGATTATTTGAAATTAGAATTCATTTAATCTGTTATTTGAAAATTAAATCACTGAGCATCCTGTCTCTAATTAAACTAGAAAGAGTCCGACTAGTTCCCAACTCTTATGTGAGTCCACCATTACAAGGGCACGGTCCTGTCTCGACTCATGTATAAATCCATTGTTGTGTGAGCCCGGTACTCTCTCGTCTCATATATGAGTCCACTGTCGTTAAATTGTTTAAACATGTTATATTTATGTCATCTATTACATATTTTGTTTTATTTTGACTCAAAAATAATTTTATAACATAAATTATTATAAAGGAACTAGATGGTCCGGGGTGACGGTCATAAATAGGCTAAATAGTGGCAAAACTATTTTATTAAAAGCCAACGTTTCAACCCTTCTTCAGGCCTTCTTCAGGGAAGTGTGTTCAGCTAGGAGTTTCACTTAGAACTCAGAACTAGAGTGTTCTAAGTGAAACCTAGCTGAACACACCTCCCTGAAGACCTGCAGTCGGGTTGAAACGTTGGCTTTTAATAAAATAGTTTCGCCACTATTTAGCCTATTTATGACTGCCACCCCGGACCATCTCCTTCCTTTATAATGCAACAGTCAACTATTAAATATCCAATAAATTGTCATAATTTCATTTTGCATTGAAAGAACAGATTGTTCAATGATTCAATGCTATTGTTAATAATTTGATAGTTTAGTTTTTATATATCATTTTATCTTCTCTATCCATGTATAATTGTAACATTTATAATTGAATGTTTGATTGTTAACTTACAGGAACTGAAGCAGAGACAAAGGCTTTCATGACTATCTGTATCCAGACAGTTGAGAAATGCTCATCACAGGATGTCAGGACACCCGTATTTATTTTTGAAAGGTTGTGTTCCATTATTTATCCAGAAGAAAATGATGTTGGTGAATTTTTCCTCACTCTCGAAAAAGACCCGCAACAGGAAGACTTTTTACAAGTAATTTATGTGCATTTTTTAACCATTGTGCATTAAAATGTGTAATGACCATTGGCTAGACTCTATGAGTTTTTCTTACGTTTCAGGGTCGTATGCTTGGCAATCCTTATAGCTGTAACGAACCAGGCCTAGGGCCACTTATGCGAGATGTTAAGAACAAGATCTGCCAGGACTGTGAACTGATAGCTCTGTTGGAAGATGATAACGGAATGGAGTTGTTAGTTAATAACAAGATAATTAGCCTTGATCTCTCTGTGAAAGAGGTTAGTTTTTTTTTTCAATTACTTAATATATATAATGTTTCATGTCATAATATTAATTCATCTCCTAATTTGCTGTTGTTTATAATGTTTTATGTGAGTATATATTTCAGTTTCTTTAAATTAAACCTTAAGTTACTGATATTTCAGAAATAAATTATTTAGTCTTTATTGAATAGTGTGAATATTTTCATGTAGTAAGTATGTACTTGTATGTTCTTCAGGTGTACAAGAAGGTGTGGGTCGCAGAAGGAGGTGAAGGGGACTCTATGAGGGTGGTCTATAGGATGAGGGGTCTGTTAGGTGATGCAACAGAGGAATTTATAGAAACGTTACATGCAAAGTCCCAACAGGAGGTGAACAATGAAGAGGTTTACAAAATGGCTAATGTGATGGCTGACTGTGGTGGCCTAAAAGTATGTCATCAAAATTTATAATTATTGTATTTGTTTAAAAACTCTAGTAGTTTGCTTTACATGATAAAAAGTTAATAATTTATGTGCAGTTGTTTTTTATTAAAACTTCTGAAGTAAAGTTATCTGAAATTCATTAGTTACCGAACTATTAACCTTTATTTTTCTTGTTTAAAACAGGCATTGTTTTTCAATCATATTTAAAAAACAACATGCATGCTTTATAGAGAAAAATAGTCATTTGAAATGTATTTTCATTCAGAATTGAGAATTGTTTGTCTTTATTTTTTCATTGTTTTTCTAAATATATTTGATTGTGGAAATTAAGAATTTTTAATTAATTAACAATGGTTTATTCTAGTATTCATTAATAAATATGAAAAGACCCTTAAGGATTTTGAACTAATTAATTTGGGTAATAGCTTGGTTCACATTTGTTTATGTTATGCCCTGCACAGTTACTTGCTAAATTTATTTTGTTACATGTAATTTAAAATATAAGTAATCTTTATCCAATGTAATAAATAAGGTAGAACTAAATTTCATATTAATGTTTTTAGGTATTACTAAGCCGATTGAGCCAGATCAAAGATACAGTGCGCTCACGACCTCTACTGCAGGTAGGATGAATATTAAAATTTACTTTTATTCTCTTCCTTTTTGCAAAAGTTTAGAAACAAGGGAGAAAAATAAAAGCAGAAGATAGGTTCAGTTTATTTGTAATCAATAAAAAATTAATCAAATTATTTATTATTTAATTTCTATAGGTTATTCTGAAGTTGCTACAGTTATGTGTAAAAGTCTCAAGGAATCAAGAAGTATTATGCCATCCAGATCTTGGTGCAATCTCAATTTTATTAAATACTTTCCAACTGTGTGTTTCCGACTCAACGCACCAGTCAGGCCAGCTTATTGACCAAATTTTGGAGGTAGTTATACATGCATTTTTTTATTTTTTAGCATTAACTGGGAAAGTTAATCTATTTCCCTTATGAACGACTAATTAAAAAAAAAACTTATCAACCTATATTTTGGAATTTAAGTAGCAAAATAACAAAAAAGATAAATTATAGATTCTATTGATGATTTCTTTTTTTTTAAAATATTACATGAGATGATAGTTTTTATTAGATGAAACTGTATCAGTTATATGTAACATACCGTGATAAAACAATTTACAAAACTTTTTAAAAATGTTATCGTAAATATTTATATAACTATAAATTCATTATAAATAATTATATTATTAGAAGTAAATAATATACTATCGGTTGTAATAGATCTGAGAGATCTCATCATTGCTTACATTTCTTATTTATGATTTTGGTTGCTACTCCTCACTTGCTTTATGATTCAAATATTTTTCTTATAATTCTTCCAGTTCCAACTTAGGTAAAAGTTATCAAAAGAATTACCTGTTAAGATTTTCCAGAAGCTACAGAAATTTGGTATTAATTATTTTTTATAATCAAGTTTTCCTCTATTAGAATTTTATAATTGCACCAGGAATGCATTTGAATGTATAAAGTATTCTTGGCCAAATTGTATCCTGTTACTTTGCAAAGTAGATATTTTAATATTGTTAAATTTTTGTTATCTTGTAAACTTTGCCATATTTTTGGTTTACAATAGTGTAAGAATATTGTGTTTCACTTGATTAAGTTATTTGGCCAGCGAAGACCTCACTAATTAAATCGTGAATATAATAAACAAGGAAGTGTTAATTGCATTTTAAACTAAAGATTAGTTCAAATTTTTAACAGTAATTTATTTTTAACCTTTCTATTCCAGATAATGGAAACAATCTTATCCAAGACTGCAATGCAGAGCCCTGATATATTTATTGAGATGTCTCGTAAGCTGGGGAGTGGAGTGGAATACATTAGACCGCTACTGGAGTGTACTTCTACCTGCCCAAGCGTGAGGTCTAACCCCCAAGTCTTGACCCATCTTGCTCGGGTCGTAGCCTCACTCACATATGCCAGCCGTGAAAGCATGACTGCCCTCATGGCTTATTTTAACCCGTCCTTAGAGTTTGATGCCTTTGATTCAGAACACACACCAGAGGATGAACAAAAGGTTTGTAACAATGATTTACATGATGCATTGCGTTCTATTTGTTGTGTGAAATAGCTGCTCTGAGTAATTTAGAATGAAAAAATTATATAAACTATGTTTATATTATTTTTAAATTCATTTTCTATTTGTTATTTTATTTTGATTTTATAAGATTGTTACTGTTACAAAAGTGAAATTGATGGTTTATACTTAACTTTTTGCAATAATATATTTATTAAAAATATTATTTTTTATTAGCATTGAAAAGTATAATAAATTACAATATAGTCTTAAATTTTTTAAAAATTTATTCCACAAAATAAAATATGTTCACAACTAATTCAGACATAAAGATATGAAGTTTTAAATCTAGTACACACTAGTAGACGTTGTTCCGTGATTTGTCTAGAGACGGTCTCAACAGTCTAGAGACACCATTCCTTGTCTCGTCTAGCCTCCAGACTATGATGTGAATTTCTCAGTCATATTTTCGCAGCCCACCATGGAGGACATAGTATGGAATGAGTTCTTGCTTAGTGGTAATTATAAGTGAAGGAACGCAAAAACAAAAACGTTGGTGGAAACACAAAGTGCTCGCAGAAGGACCTAGGTTCAGTAATGCATTATTAAATAAATTGATAGACTGGGAGATGCATCGGTAATCTTCAATTAGTTTTAAAACTTTCTCGTTGAACCGCAAGTTTTGAAAAGAACTGTAAAACTTGGGAAAATAACTGTAAACAGCCGTGGGCGGGGTAGCCGAATGGGCTAAAGCGTGTGCACTGCACCGCCGTTGCCTGCCAACCTGACATATGAATTAAAGATATAAAAATAGTCACGAGTTCGCATCCCAGTGCCGAGGGAGTCTAGGCTTTACAGGTACCATTGGAAGCTTATATCCTTTTTGTACATTAATATTTTTACTTTCATACGACTACTAGGTAAAGTATTGTAAACAGGTCAAATTTTGATTGTGCTGTTTTCAACAGATCTTTACATTTCAAAGTAAAAAAAAAATATATACATTTTCAGCCACTGATCTGTCTGTTTCTGTGCCATAACGATCTCTTAACGGGTGGAACGATTTTGTTGCTTCTCTTTTGTTTTAGGGTTTTGATTTCTGATGCTTGCGAATGGCAAGCATAATTTCTTTTGTAAAATAGTGGCTGCGGAATAATTAAAAAAACTTTTTTTCTGTAGACTGTAACACCAAAGTGGCTCTAGTTACTTTGATTTAACTCCCTTTCGATTTAGATATATTTAATATATTCCCGAGAAAAAGGAGGAATAAAAGTTATTATGAAAAGAAAATTTACAGTTACAGTTAATTATATTTAAACTCATTTGAAAGATAATAAAGTTCCCTACATAAGAAAAAAATTCTAAATTCAACCATTTTTAGGAACTGTATGGTTAAAAAAAACTACCTATACTCCTGTATTTTTAAAATATTTTACTCATGTTTCCATGAAATTCCGTTCAATTTTCTACTGCAATTAGTTAAAGAAAAGTGTCTTAATTCAATTTTTAGATGTGCATTTTTTAACAAATGTTTATTACTTTTCTACTGTCATTAGATAAAGAAAGTATTGTAATTTGATCAAATTTTTCAATTGGATGTCTATGTTGGACAGGTATCCTTGGAAATCCCTTTACTTCCTTTTCTCTTAATTCCTTGTATAAATTGAAAACAATGTATATCCAGGAATATTAAAGATGCCCATGTGAAAAATAATTAGTACATTACTTACAAAGCTTAAATTTATAGTGGTTTAAATTTGTCTGCAATCCGTATGAAAGTCATTTGAGTAGACATACCGGATATTTCTTTTTATTTTCTCTAATATTTAATTTGTTTATTTTAATATTTTATTTCTATGAATTAATGAGTTGTTCTTTTTTCTAGCTTGAACTATTTAGTATTCTATCAACAGCAATAGATCGAACATCACTTGGAAATAAATTAAAGGATTATATTCTATCACTAGGAATTGTCGATAAAGCTCTGAAATATGTTTGTGTAAGTGAAAGCTTATTTTATTTTATTCTTTTTGTTAAAGTTTCTTTTAAAGGCTTAGGACAACCGTCCACTGAAAGTGCAGCAGAGCTGAGCTGATCGTAGCTGACTCAGGTTCCAAACCCGAACCAAAGGTTTTCAATGAGAGGCCGGCCACTAGAATCTGAGCGGCGTAGCAAGGGTCAGCTCAGGTCAGCTTTGGGTCGTCGACCGGGGTTCGGTCTTGGAAGCTGACTCCGCTAGACTCAGCTTCTCCCACCACACCTACTCGCCACTGTCACACAACCGTGGGGGTTTGTTCCTTAGTGTATGTATATATATATATACATATATATATATATATATATATATATATATATATATATATATATATATATATATATATATAATAATAATAATAATAATAAAAGGCTTAGCGAACACGAAGGTTCGATGCCGACACCACCAATCGCTTATTACACACCTCCCTCCACCGTTCGCCGTCCAAACCCAGTCCCTTCAGATCGGCTTTAATGCAATCTTCCCACCTTCGCTTCGGTCTACCCCTCGGACGCTTACCATTCGGCACAGCAAATATTAATCTTTTAGGAATTCTATCGTTACTAAGCCCAACAACTTTACAGGCCCATTTGATTTGCCGCGACGAAATTACCTCAATTATATTACCCGGATACAGTTCACGCAATTCGGCGTTGTGTAACTGTCTGAACTCTCCTGTTAACTCATCCTTCTTCGGTCCGAATATTCTACGCAATACTTTATTTTCAAAAACCTTAAGATGCTGCTCATCCCTTAATGTAAGTGGCCAAGTTTCGCATCCATAAAGAACTGTAGGCAAGATAATTGTTTTATAGATTCTGATTTTTAAGTTCCGGGACAAGAGGCGCAAACTGAGTAGTTTTGTCAGAGAAAAATAACAAACATTTCCCGCCTTCAGTCTAACCTTAATCTCTTCTTCAATTTCGTTTTTTTTTTGTTATCGTAGAACCTAGATACCTCAATTTATCCACCTGTTCAAACATATTACCATCTATATCGATATCACCACTAGTATCGCCGTTTTTGCAGCTAACCATATATTTTGTTTTATACACGTTTATTTCGAGTCCTAGTTTTTTCATTAACTTTGTCGTATTTAGTTTTATAGTTTCAACGTCTTCGCTTAACAGTACCAGATCATCAGCATAGCCCAGCACGGATGTTGTCCCACCCAGATCTAACCCTTTCTCGGTACGCATTACCTCCCTAATGGCATGAATTGAACAGTACAGGCGAAAGGGAATCCCCCTGCTTTAAACCCGAGCGAACCTCAAATTTTTCCGATAGATTATTACCGATTCTAACTTTATTGAGTATCTCCGTCAAGCACATCCTGACTAGATTTACTAGTTATATATATATTAAAATATATTCATATGGAATATGAGAAGGGTACCGATGCAAGGCAAATAGATGACTGAACTGAGCTCCGCTACACAATCGGTTGCCGCCCCCCTTTTGCTCTCTCAGCTCAGCTACGGCACTTTCAGTGGCTGGTCAGCATTACTATATATTTTTATTTCTTTATAAAGTTAATTAGTTAATTTCTTTATTATAGTTGCTATGTTAACATTTATTAACAATTCCTTTGGTATCTTGTATTTACAGAATCATGCACCTGTTGCCAAACCTACACTTTTGCACTCAGACAGCGATGAGTGGAAGGAATTCATCTCAAAACCTTCTTTGAAATATATCTTAAGATTTCTCACTGGATTAGCTAGTCATCATAAACCTATTCAGGTATACACATCGTTTTCTTTCTTTTTTCCTCTAATAATATGATTAAATTATCAAAATGTTAATTATATTATTTTGTGTTCATTATTCTTAGGATTCAGTGTCGTTGGATTGTATAACAATTATCCATAGGCTGGAACAAGTTTCTTCGGATGAACATGTAGGGTCGCTGGCTGAAAATCTTCTTGAAGCTCTCCGAACTAATGAGTCTGCTGCTTCGCGTATTGAGGAAGTACGTGGACAAACTAAAGCTGAAAAGAAGAGGCTTGCGATGGCTATGAGAGAGAAGCAGTTGGGTGCCTTAGGAATGAGAACAAACGATAAAGGCCAGGTATGTTTGTTTAACTTATTTATTTTAACTTTTTTTTTCACCAAACTACCAAAATGAACTAAAGTAAAAATTTATGGAAACATTTTGGTAAAGTAGTATTATGAGAGATCAAGTTTTTTATTTTTAACATTGCGAACTGTTAACTCAGTTCTATTTTCTTATGAGAAAGTACTGTGAACCGGGGTTACTTTGTAACTTGAGGGGTGACTTCGTACCAAAGTTTATTTTGAATTTGAAATCACCTGGTGGACTGGAACATTATTATGATAAAACTAAATGAAAGTTACAAAAATGTTTAGCCCACCAGATAATTTCATATTCTGGAACAAAGTCAGCCCTCTAGACTACCAAAGTAATCCTGGTTGGTGCTATATAAAGGTTTTTATCCTACCAAGAACTAATCAACCTTTTTCAGATATAAATCTTTACCATTGTATGTGTAAATATTTGGAGTCATGACTGAAAAATTCAAAACTTTGACAGTAAAATAGGAAAAGATGCCTTAAAAAATTATTGGATCAGTGTCTTGTACTTTATAAAGATAAAAGCCTTAATGATTAAACTTAATAGTTTATCAATAATTCTCTGATAAATTCAACCAAGCACAGTTAATGTAAAACTTTTTGTTTTAAAAAGTAACTTATTCGTGTTACTGGTATAGCTGTTTTGTTTTTTTTATTATTACTAACATTATATGAAGTTCTTAAATAATGAAGTTGGTCTCAACTGATTCAAAATAAGTTTTTAAAAATTCTTTGTTTTTTTGTTGAATAGTTAAGGGTTGAAAGTACAATGATGCAGCAGATGGAAGAACTTGGAGAAGAAAGTGGTCTTGTATGTGTTATTTGTCGAGAAGGTTACAAATTCCAACCTGCCAAAGTCCTTGGTGTATATACATTTACAAAGCGCTGTAACGTTGAAGAGTTTGAAAATAAATCCAGAAAAACTGTTGGTTATTCAACTGTAACCCATTTCAATGTTGTACATATAGACTGTCATATGTCCGCTGTTAGGTAATTTCCATATATTAATTGTTGAATTAATTCTTATATATTTGTGAATTAGTATATTTTTATATGCTTACATGCATGTATTAATATATTTACAGGATAAGTAAGGAGAAATAGACAAAATTCCAGGAGTGGATTGTGATAAAATATTAATTTGTAGAATTATTTAAATGTTAATCTACTAATAGATTAACTTATCTAGCACACATATTTTTGTACAAAGTATGGAGGTTAATATAAACCTCCAATATTAACAATATGTTAATATAAACAATACTCTGGTATTGGGTTTTCCTGAATAAAAGTGTTCTATGTTTCAAATTTTCTTCTGTTTTATTATGTTTTTCTTTTTTCTGATTAACTTCAACCGGTTGCACACAGGAAAATAATAAAAAAAACTCATATGCTTTCATCTGATTTTACAAATAATCTAATTACAAGTAATCAATATTAAATATATGTATTAATATTTCAGTCATCACAGTCATTATTTTATTACATGTTCAAAAATACCACTTTTGACTTCTAAACATTTTTGGCTTCTTCTTCAAAGGGTGAAAGTTAACTTCCTGATTGTTACATATCTTTCTTTAATGATTCCTGCAGCATTTTTAATAAGTTAAATGTGTGCATCCCGAGTGTCTACTTTTACTTTTTATACTTTGAAAGATCCTCAAACAATAATCCAGTACTGTGCGGTGTGGAGATCCTGGAGGCCAACTAATTGGACCACCGTGATGAATCCAATGAATGATCAGGAAACATTTCATCCAAATATTCCCTCACCTAGCAAGCAAAATGAGTGGGAGCCCTGATGCTGAAAGTGCATTTGTATTCTAATGTTTTGAGGAACATCCAAAAGACACAAACAATAAGACCTGTGGTAATCTTCAATTAGGTTTAAAATTTTTTCGTGAGACCACATGTTATCAATAGAACTGTAAAACTTTTCTGTAGAACTGAGTATTCTTTAAAAAAATCATCTCTGTACTTTTCCTTCAGATAAGGTATGCATTTCATATAAATTTTCTCTTTCTCTGCCTGTATCTTGAACTCCTTATGCTGATCGTTGGTTTCATATCTGATTGTTAAATCCACTATGAGTGCCTCTTTTTCCGTCGCATTGAACACCAAGATGTCAATGAACCTTGCCGAGCCTTCTGTATCCAGGCAATAAACTTCAAGCAAACATTTATAGTTCTTCATTTCAAGAAGTCGGGTATACGATTCTTTATATTATTGTGCCGGTGGCTGACTAGGAGCATATTATGTGGACAATTGCCCAACACATGAACTGGGGCTTCTGACTCTCTGCCAGATTCGCAGCAGAGATAAGAACATGAGTTTCTTAAAATTATTTTTCTGTGCGCCACCACTCCTGGAATTTGGCTGTTCCTCCCAGCTCACTCTGTATATATATATATAATTTTTGTTTTTAATATTTTAATACATTTTAGAACTGTATGATATGTCTTAATTAAATGATTGATTATATCTCAATAAAATAAATATAAATAATTATAATTATAATAAAATTATAGACTTGCTCGAGCGCGAGACGAATGGGAATCAGCAGCACTTCAAAATGCGAACACTAAGTGCAACGGTCTCCTTCCGCTTTGGGGTCCTCATGTGCCTGAGTCGGCTTTTGCTAGCTGTTTAGCTAGGCATAATACTTATTTACAGGAGTCTACGGGTCATAGGTAACTATTATCTCTGTTTTAATATCATTATATCTTTTTAATAAAAAATTAAATTATTCAAAATGCTGTTATCTGTTGGTTAATTGTTTCATTTAAATAAATCAATTTATATCAATCCATTTGTTCTAAATTATTATACAAATAGTTCTAATAATTATATTGATTGATTGAGTGAAGTTGACTTTGTAAACATTAAATATTAATTAATTAATAACATTAATAACATTAAATAAATTGACATTAAATATCATTTTAGGTTAGTTTTGCAAAAATGTCCAGAATAATTTTAATATTTGAAAATGTTGTTAGTTCTGTTGGTTAATTACATGCTATATATGAATTACAATGTTTGTGCCCAAAGGATAAAACTTGAAAAGATTACTATGTGGTTCAAAAAAATATGTTTGACTATCACTTAAATTCATGACATTTCCATTCATTCAAAGAGTCATATCATCATTCTTAATGCGTTTTTTACATTTTTTATTAAGTTGAAATTTCTTTTAGACTTTTCATTTATAGAACATGTCAATAATAAAAAGACAAAGATAAACTGAATTTAAAGTATGTAATTTTACACTATACCAGGAAAGAGGTTTAGATAATCTCACTTTTGTGGATACCGGACTATTACGTTTTATATTTATTTTAACTGTAACTTTTTGTTTGATATATGTAATTGTTATTCGACTTACATATTTTTTTCTAGTAAAAGATTAATGTTTCTACAATATAGGAAAGTGATTTTCATCGGTGTAAAGAGATTTTCAATATATGGAAGAAGTTTGACTATAATTAAAAAAAAAAAAAATGACTTATAAAAATACACATTGGTCTAAACTAATTTAACTTAAAAAAATGTCGACATTATTTATTTAAACATTAAATTTGAATTTAGGGTAGACTCTGTTATCAAAGCTGTGTTAAATGTATCTTAATATTAAGATTTTATGCTTAATTTTATGTTTTACAATTTTTTAATTTATTTTTTATAGGGATATAAGCTATTCTTCCATGGTCCACGACTTGAAACTTCTTCTCCTCAGGTTTGCTCAGGAGAAAAGTTTCCATGAGGATGCTGGCGGAGGAGGTCCCCAGTCTAACATGTACATTATACCTTATCTTATGCACATGGCCTTATATGTAATTAACACGTAAGTAATATGTTATTGTATTTGTTTTTTTGTTTTTTTATATTTTTATGATAAAATAATACTGAAGCTATTGAAGATGAATATGTATTCATAACAAAAACAGTCTGTTACCTATTATATTTAATTTAATTTTATCTATTCTTTAAAATTATTGATGGTTAGGTATTGGTTTTAAAATATCATGTTTTTTTATTTTAGGCCTAAAAGTATAACTTAAAAATGGCTACTATTTGAAGCCTTTAAGAATATTTTAATTATTAAACAATATATTGTTAAAATTTCAATTATAGTTAACAAAGTTTTATGAATGAATTCTTTAATATATGTATTTTTTAAGTTATAGTGTCCTAATCAATGAAAGATATAATTCTGACCAATCAGATTTCAAATTAATATGAACAGCCTATTTTACTCTTAAAAGTCTTACACTAAACTTATTAGTTAGTATTGTATTGGGCAAAAAGATAAGTTAAATATTTAATCAACTCTCCTGTTCTTGAGATAGATTGATATTGGCAGTGAAAAATAAAGAAATTAATTATAACTTACCAAGTAATCGCTTAACGTTTAGTTCACACAATGGCAATAACTTTACGATCACACATGAAATGAAAATTTCATCAACATTAATACCAAACTTTATTATAAAGTTTATAACGTTAGTATTTAATGAAAACAATGATACAGGACGAGGTGTAGCGCGAGGGAGACAAAAGGACTGTCATTATACCTGGAGGAAAGGCGATTGGAAAACTGTTATGAGGCAGAGGGGCCTTATTATTGGTCGACGCTGTCTACCCTACTCCAGTCGCCTGCTCGCTGGGCTGCCACCAGGTTGAGGCACCTAGATCGGTTGGTGCTTACAGCTCACGCTCGCCATCTTCATCCTGCTAGTCCACCGCCACGTCTCAGCGACCTCACCGTCAAGCCATACCATGTCTACAAGGGAGCTCTCCTCTTTTGGGCCCTCATAGATGCCATCTATAACAATCATTTTAAGGTAACGCACTAAATTTTAGGAGTTAACAGGTAGATTTGTGTAATCTAAATAAAAACCATAATCAATAAGTTGCATTCATGAATGATTATTAAAAGCATTACTAATTTGTATCAAACTTTGAAAATTGACAGAAAGTACCATTCACAAGTGAGGATCATTGGCCTACCAGTTTAGCTGATTACATTCGCCATAATGATGAAGCACTAATGAAATCATCGGAAAGGCTGATGGCTATTTATAATGATGAACTTTTACCTTGTGCATCTTTTGAAGAATTCTGTGATGTTGTTGGTATGTATATATCTTTCATATTATTTAAGAATCCTAATATATTGTGACAAAACTTACAAAAATTGATTTGCATATCATATAAATATCTATAAATATATATTATCCTATAACGTGAACCATTAAGTTATTGGTTGGTACTTATAATTTTTATTTCACTAAATATTTAAAGAATATTACTTTTACATTTGATATAGGTATTGTAAATATCTTAATTATTTTAACTATTTTTTTAAATTACAGGTTTATTGGGAGAAATACAGAGTCCTGCTACTTATATCAGTGAAACCCTTGCCTGGTTTGCATAAAACTGTTGCATAAATCAAGCTTTATGTATATTTTTGTAGATTAATTTCTTTTCTCTTTTCTCGAACTCTTATAGGTGTGGCTAAAGATCCTACCGATCTTACCTCACCATACTTAGGTAACTCCATCAAGAGTAATTTTTCTTGTGTTAATAAGGAAATAAAATGTACAATCTATTTCTTTTTTTAAGTTCGTTTTCCTGCTCACTTAATCCAATAGGAACAATAATTAATTAATAAACTTTAATTGTTTGTTAGAAACAGTTTGTTGTTTCACTTTATATTTATTTATTAAGAAATACAATTCTGAGAAGTATTTTTTGAGATCAATCAAAGCTCCTATAGATTAAAAGAAAAGTTCCAATTATGCAATTTATTTATGTATTAATTTATTTTTAAAATTGTAAGAAATTTGATAATGATGTAATTAAATTTTTTTTTCAGTCATGAATGTTCTGTCGGTTATGAATATTGAATTGTTTTGTTCTTTAAAAATGTTGAATAAAATATTTATCATTAATACTATAAAACTTTTGTTAAAGGAATAATTTCTCATTCCAGCTTAAATTGATCCATTTCCTTCTTTCAAATATTAATCAGAAGTTGTGGTTCGGATCGATTTAACTACTATGAGAGTGCCTTTTCACCAATCGATTATAACTGTTATTTTCTGCTTGTCAGAAAATAGAAGGATCTATAATGCTGGAGGAGATGCATTCGTTGAAATCACCAAGAACTCATACGATCTGTTTACTCAGTTGTTAACATGATAAGAAGATAATCATGCAATATCAAGATAATCATGCATCAAGCAAATTATGGTCAATAATGTGTTTTGTATTAAGAGTGCAGTGTGTGATGCAAGTGATGCTTGTTTGGTGCCTTTTTGTTTTTTAATTAAATATTTCTTTAAGTTATAATTATAAAATGAAGGAGATGTTTTGCCATTTTGGCTTGGCACCCAGCTCTGACAAGAAATAGCTTTTACATCATACATACCCAACTATTACATGGTTGGCAAGTCTTTCCTCTCCTTCCTAACAATCATCCAATTTCTTGTCTCTTACGTTGCTTGTACTGATGTTTTATATTATATACTTATAAAATTATTGAATTGTACAAAATATATTCTATTTCTATCATCTAGTCTGAAAAGTACTAATGGCCTTTCTTTTTTTTTTCTTTTTTTAAACCTTGTTCTTACATTTATAACATTTGATTAAAACTTTACCTGAAGTATTTTCATGATCATTTTTGTATTCACGAATAATCACAACTTGTGCATATCAAACTTGAGAATGATGAGCAATTATGTATCATAAAATGAATATGTTTATCTAAAATCAAGATTGTCTAAACTTCTTGAAATAAAGTATTATTTAAATGTTTTAAGCATTAAATTATATTACATCTTCAAAAGAAGATTTTTTTTTTTAATTATAGAAAACTAAAAGAATCCTGATGATTGTCCCATGACACAAACCACAGTCAATCAACTATAGTCAAAATATCCTATAGTATTAACAATAAGCAAAAGATGATTTTCAAAATGTTAAGATTTCAAGTCAGTATCAAAATTTAAAAGAACAACATTGAATGAGAAAACCAAGTATGAATTATTCCTTATGAACATGAATAATTTAATGGATAGAAAATTAATTACCTTCACTATGATCTTTGACAATAAGGTAGTCAGACTGTTATAATTTGAATCAAATATAAATACAACCACATAATATAAATCTATGGTTAACAGCCTATACAGGAATGAGAATCTAGGTGTTGTAAGTACGAAGAAAGAATGGAGTAAACAAAAATAACTTTTCACAGAAACACATTTATGTGTTTTATTCTATTATGGTTTACCATATATTTAAAAATACATAACAGAAACAATGACATATCCATAACATTTATATTCCTAAATATAGTTCACTGTCGATATTAGATATATTCACAACTCCACTTAACTCACTACACATTTATACAGAAACACATTTATTTGTTTTCTTCTATTATGTTTTACCATATATTTAAAAGTACATAACACAACTATTATATATCTGTATTTATAAACACATTTCACTGTTGATACCTCTAGATTCTTTTAAAACTTCACTCACTACATACGCTTTTGAGAAACTAGCAATAAATAATTAAACTTAATTCTGTAATTTATAATGGAAAAAAACATTATGAAATAATGTATTGCTTAAGGCATGAAAGAATCAAACACTTAGGCTATATAACAGTTAAGACAATATACTTCGGAAAGAAAACATTTCATAGAATTTATTACATGAAATTTAAACTTATTATGAAAGATTGTAGAGGTCAATCTTAAATTAATAAACATTTAACCAATAGAACAAGGCGAAAGCAACAATTCTAGTGATCGTTTATTAGTTTAATTATAGTTGAACGAATTTTGACTAATAGTTTTCATAACTATATAAAGGTGACAGCACTAATGAACAAACCGTTGAATAATAGTTTTAAAACCCAATAAAAGAGAGCAGCACCATCCCATACGCATTACAATATAATATTAGTTCCAAAACCCGCTAAAATAAGTCAGCACTATCCATGGGACACTACAGTGGCTTAATAATATTATTAAGCCACTGTAGGGGACACTAAAACAACACTTAGTTCAAAAAGTTGTCGCAAGACAGCAGCACTATCCAGGGAGCGCTATAATTAAATATATAATTATTATTAAGCCACTGTAGGGAGCACGCTAGGGAACAGGAACTCGCACGTAGTTCGTAAAACTGCCGCTAAAGACCAGCACTATCCAAGGAAGTACAAAATTGTAGTTCTAAAAGTTGCCAAAAGGTAGCAGCTCTACTGGCACTCTTGGTCGCCTCGAATAGTGAGCTCCTTTGACTTCCTGCTATCCTATTACAAAACGACGAGTTTCTAGCTAGAATTTCGAATAAAATGCGTAGTTCCTATGTTCTGCCGACAGATAGCACCACTATCAGTATCAGAACTGCCTCGATAAGTGAGCTCATGTTATTTCTTAGCGTTGAATGCTTCTGAGACCAGTTTTTTTTTTTATTTTCTTGCGCATTCATGCTCGAAATTAATCAGAATATTTAAAAAACGTTAAACAATTCCTTTTTTTTTTTTCTTATTTCACCCTAAATCTTCAAATTTTGATCATTTAATAAATTTTATAGTATAGAAACTTTGTTTTTCATCCAGGAAATTGAACAAAATATTTTAGAATTGCTCGAAAAATTCGCAATGCTTCTTTTTTCTGATTTCTTCCAAATACAAGAAAAATAATCATAAATCTTCTTAAGATGTGTTATTTTCATCATTTATTAAACTAATACTTTTCTTTCCCTATAATATCTATTTCTTATATTATACAGCATAATTTTCTTGTTTATCTACGATGCGAATCGATCTAAATATTTTAGAACTGTTCAAACAACTAAAAACAATTCCTCTTTTTTCTCAATTCATTCAAATATCAGAAAAATGATGAAAAATCTTCTAATTAGGTGTTATTTTCAACATTTATTAAATTAATACTTTTCTTTCCTTATAAATAAATAGAGAGTATAATTTTATTGTTTATGTTTGCTCAGAATTAATCAAAATATTTTAGAATTATTTAAAAAATTCACAAAAATTTCATTGTTCTTATTTCACACTTCATTAAGAAAAACGATTACAAATCTACAATTAGATGTTATTTTCACCATTTATTAAATTAATAATTTTGTTTCCCTTTAATATTTATTTCTTATATTATATAATATAATATTTATTAGATTATTAAGTACCTTTTATATAATATCTTCATTTTTTTTTCATATCGCCTTCTGTAAAAAGGTTGATTCCAAGCAATACTTTTGATATTTTAAGGAAAGTGATGTTTTTGCCATTCTTATACGAGACAATCTGAAGTTTTCTGAAATCTGAAGTAATTCCCTATTGTCTTATGAAACTACAATTTGATGAATTTAATCTTTTTACAGAACAGCAATGTTATATTTTCCTTTTGTAAATATAGCATAGTCAGTCGTTATGCTTATTTTAATTGATTTGTCTAAATTATTAATTAAGGATTGTATCCTTATTAACTGAGTAAATTATGGAGTAAAATTAAAAGAGAGAAGGAATAGAGGGATTTGTCTAAGGAAATTCTTTAGGATTTAAAGAAGAAAAATAGAATAATTAATGATTTTTTTCAATACATTTATTTTAAACAAAATACATCGAACATTGTAACATCTGTACAGAGGCACTCAAGGGTAAATAAAAGAGAAAAAATATATAGAAAATGATTCCAATATTTGGTACAATAAACAGAATAAAAAAAATTATACAGAATTAATACATTTCAATTTGCCATTTCTATTGAACGAGCTTCATTATAAATGTAATTTTTATCTTTCTTATATTATGATGTGATAATTTCAATTGCCCATAAAATTACAGGGGTAATTACAACAATAAATACAAACATTATATGACATGAATAATTACAATAATGATTACAAGAATTAATTGATATGAGTAATTAAAACAATGAATACAAGAATTACATTAAATGAAAAATTACAACTATAGAATGACAGAAAATATTTTAATGGCTCTCATTAAATGAATTATTCTCTTGATTCTGCCTTCATTATCTTCAAGTTCTTTAACCATATTGAAAAGTATACAGTTTCATTGTGGTGTCAGAGATGTGTTGCTTGTTTCTCAGACTGGTGGTTCCAGTCCTCTGATTAAGAATACATAGGTGAAAACTGTATGCCCCCGGTTTGGAGTCTTGAAAATAATAATTTTTCTTATGTGGATTCAACTACGGAAAATTTCCATGTCAGAATACCTTGTTTCATTTGTGATCTGTTTGTCAATGATCTCATTTACATTTATTCCATTTTTTTTTTCCAAAGACATCTCCAATCAGCAGGATATTTTATCATTCTTAAGCATTCTCTTTGAGAAGGTGGTGGAGATCAGCTAAATATCTAAAAAAAAAAAAAATAATAATAATATATATATATATATATATTGATTTTAGTTTACACATTTTATTCATTGATTTAGCTTATTTGTTATTGATTTTAATTTTGTTTTGCCTCAAATTATTGTGGTAGTGAAATGATATTATCGCCCCCTCAACAATTTTATTGAGGAGGATTCTAATTACAAAATAAGAAAATAGATTAACATATAACATTATTTTTGACGTATCATTCAAGTTTTTAAAAACAATGTGTTGAACATTTCATGTAGTTTTTGTTCACAGTTGTGAATATACATTAAACAGAATTTTGGAAATGTTCAGGTTACAAGTTTCTAAATACTTTGAGTGCCATAAACATTCACAATTTTTTTCAGTTCATTATTAAAATCTAAATCTTCGGTATTATCAGAAATTGAATATTACAAAACTAGGAATTCAATTTTTTTAAGGACTACAAGAGTTAAATGTTTCAGTTGTGTGCAAGATATTTACAAAAAATTGAAATACTGAAGTTCACAATTTGAAAATGAAACAGTTTTTCAAGTCAATTGATAATTAACAAAAAAATACATGTTTCATTAACTACATTATCATAGTTTGAAAATTCTATCATAATATGTGGTACATAGGTAACAATTGTGTATTTAGTTCAACAAAAGTTAAAACTAAAATATAATTTCTATATTTAACAGTTATAACAGATATTTATCAAACCAGAAATCTATGAAAACATTAGAATTAAGACGAAACATGAATTTATTGTTATCAGTCAGCAATATTCCTCTGTTTTTCATTGAAGTTTTTTGGACTGCTCTCTGTGTGGCTAACAGAATCTTAATCTCCATCACCTCCATTATTTAAAAAACAAAACAAAAAAAAAAAAAAAACGATATCTCGATTGTAATTGATTGATCACTAACACAATTGATGAATCTTCAATCTAAGAACAAACCTTTCTATTTCAAATATAAGTTTTCACAACAATACTATTACATACATTTCTTTTTATATAATAACACAAATAAATTCTTTCCAAATGACTGAAACTGAGATCAGCCATTGACTTCATTATCCTTACATCAACAGTGAATAATATAATTTCACAAAGGGAAAATGCATCACATTATTCACTAATTTAATTTTCTAAAATGTTATGTGATGATGTTTTCTTAATTAATCAACGATAGATAAATAATTATTTAAATGTATAATCAGATCTAGAGTTATTAAACTACAGTAAATATATTTAAGTTTATAAACACATGTTTTACACATACATGAAATATTTTTATATATCACACAAGTAGGTACAATGAAATATATTTTTAATTTTTGAAGCAATGTAACTGCCATGATTCAGTGGATTTTATATCTTTTTTTATTTCAAACAAAAATAATTTCAAAAGTTTACTTTTAATTAGATTTAGTTATGAAATTTCATGTCATTTCTTTGGAAACATGTGGTTAAAATCTGTAAAATAATGTGTAAAATCGATTATATAAAGCACCACTTTGGTTAGCCGATTTGTCAGGGAAAAGTTGCTGTAACTTCCTGGGCATATACCTAAATAAAATGTGTAATACCAGTTCCATACTTCTCGTTTTTGAGATAGGCTCTTAACACATACCCAGAACATTTTTCGGGGTTTGATTATTTGGACTCAAGTGACCTCAAAACGAGTATTTCCGTTGATAACTCAAGATTCGAAAATTTTCAAGATCGCAATATTTTCCCTTGATATACAGGGTGTCTCCGTTCGTAATCTCCAAACTCTAGGGGTTGATTCTAGGCAAAGTTTCCAACAAAAAAGTTCATTTGATGCATGGGCTGATTCAGAACCAAAAAGCAGTTAAGAGAAATTTTGTGTGGTCATATTTTTTATTGAATAAGAAGGAATTGCTCAACAACTGTTCAGGACATAGGCGCCGAGTTATGAAAATTATTGGAGAGCTGGAGGAATGGGGAGCCCCATCATGCTTGTGTCACTGACCAAAATATGACACAGCTAAACAAATTATGGTATACCTACCAGTAGATAGAGCTCTATGTAATGTGATTGTAAATTACAAGACCAATATGTTCATTGGGTGGAGGAGAGCAGGGAGCAAAGCTCAATTATCAGAATACCATCCTAAAGAAGGCAACATTTGTTTTATAAAACAGTGATTAAATTTACTAAGGTTAATGACAAAAGAGGCTTTCAGGTCTAATAACTCCGCATTACAGACAGAAGTAGGCAGCTCATATATGGGTACTGTGACTGCAGCAGTACAGCGCACAGTGGTACCAGTACAGGAAATCTCGTGACATTGGCTGAATCTATTTTTTTTTTTTCAATTGAAGTCTTCAATAAAAACAGTGAAAAGTGAATATCCTGCCAATTGAAAATATTCTTGGAAACTCCACGAAATCCACAAGGGATCAATAAAACAGTTTTTCTAGTTTTCGGAGTCCTAAAAAAAAATAAAAAATAGATTTAGGTGATGTCGCGAGTTTTCCCTTACTCGCCTCACTGAGCAGCGGCCGTATTGGATTTCTTGAAAGGCACTTTTATCATTGACCTTAGTAAATTTAATCACTAAACTTAATGAGGTACATGGGAATTTAATAATCTTGAACAGTTTTTGAGCAATTCTTTCTTATTCAATAAAAAACGCGACCACACAGAATTGGTCTTAACTCGTTTTCCGTTCGGAATTGGTCAATGAAATCATATGAAATTTTTTGTTGGAAATTTTGTCCTGAATCATCCCCCAGAGTTTGTTCATTAACAACTGCGACACCCTGTGTATTACATATATAGGCAAGTGAAAGTAAAATTATTCGTTGTTATAATGAATTGAATTTATTTATTTCCATATTTTATTGCAGTTTTTCTCTGACTAATAAATATACTATGCTAATTATTCGCACCGGCCAACTAGGCAGTTATATAAATATTATCTATACGGATTCTTGTATTTATTGTGTTATCTTAATTCAATTACTGCGAAATAGTATTGACACTCTTCATAATATACTGAGGTGAGAGGGCGGGAGACAAAAAGTGCCTCGCCGCCCCCCCTCCTCCAGTTCTGGCACTTATACTTTAAAAAATAGTTACTTTTTCATTATTTTAATCAGTGTACAAGCATGCCCGAACGACAATCACTTACCCGTATCCCTAACAAAAATTAATGAAAATAAGATCTAGTGATAGAGTTCAGGCCATATATTATTTTCGTTTTTATTAATTAATATTTTTTCTTATTTTTTAGGTTATTTTATTTTATTGTCTATTGTATATACTTTTGATTATTATTTTGTTCTACTTATTTTATTTTTTTGTACATATAGTGTGAATGTCATCCTACCTCACTATAACCAATGTCCAACAGACAGATTGCTATAATACTCAATAAAGAAATTAAAAAAAAAAAAAAATTAATATTACAACAGAATAACTGTCATTGACAAAGTCAACATTTTGATCTCCCTTCCTTAATCTTAATGTCATCACAATGGGAAGCTAATGATTGTTGTCCATTAGCAAGTTTACTTTATTAATATAAGTGTTATGTAATGATTTGATAAGTACGTTATTAATATAACTATTTTGTAATAATTCATTACAATTAATAGTTAATGATTGCATATTCATTCCCTGGATACTTGAGTTCCCAAAGATAATTAAAGCTCTTTTAAGGCAGACCATTTGGCCGAAAAATTGAACTGGAGGACTCTTCAGTTTCATGAAGAAAAAAAGTATAACAAGGCCAATTTTAAAACTATATTTTACGTATAAATTATACGTCGTATAATGATGAAACTACAGTAATCATCACCAGCAAAAATGAATAAATTTACGAAGGAGTAGCCAGAAATATAAAACATATAAATTACGCGCAACAATATAATCCCACCTCTTCAGTCTCATCATTGGTGGCGCGACTTAGCAATGATTATGTCTACTCACTTTACATACAGATTGAAACAAATATATAATTTGCAAATATACTTATATCATAACAATCATTATTTGAATTTTACAAAACCACATGATATTTTATTTGAATGACGACTACGTTAAAATTTCAAATTAATTATGGCACAAAGTTTTGTTTCAATTAATTGTGGATTACGAAATTTATTTCTAAGTTAAATTTTTATAGTTACATTTTAAATTTAATATTTTCCTGGATTTAAAAGGAAAACATGTCCTGTGCTATGGGTAAGAAAAACAAACTACTGCTATGATTCAATTTACGCTGATTTTTTACTAATAACATGATTCTTGTAGACTTGCAGACAAAAAAGGAGTTAAGGGATGAAGTACTAAGGAAAGATAAAAATTGCCTCGAGAATATCCCTTGCTTTCAGTAAGTTTCTCATCATCATCCTACAAATGATTTAAATACGTCCGACTAAGCGAAACAACTTGAAATTATTTGATGAGACTCCCTGAGTGTTTTGAAATAATTTGAGCTAAAAATACTGACCCGTTATTAAATAAAATGTGTTTAATCAATGTTATAGAGAAACAGTTATTTTTTTTTTTTTTTTTTTACAAATGAATTCAACTTTAACTGTTTGAAGAAAACTTTTATCAATGAGAGGTTAAGGTAAAAGTTTTTTTAAAACTGTTAAATAAAAGTTCTAGCTTAAAAAGGTTTTTATTTTTTTTAATGCATAGATAAATGCCATAAAAAATATTTGTTAAACTTTTAATTATTCCCTCTATAATTATAGTTATAAGTACAAAAATTAAAAATTATAATAGAAGTTCATAATTATCACTGTTCATTACCCAGAGTAGGAAACTAATACATTCCGATGATCCTGGAAAATATTTCAATGTTAACTTTGTAGAACATTATATAATTCAAAGATTTATTTACTAATCAGAATTGTTTTGTTAGAAAAGTAAAAGGTTTAATGTTTTTAATGTTTTCCCGGGGTTTGGCAGCACGAAAAAGTGGAGACCATCGCCAACGACCAAGATAACAGAACGAAGCTGGGCTATGTCGCCTTTACGGACACAGAGATTCATCGGAGACGCAGCAAAAAAGAGGTAGCCATGAATCCATAGAACACAGTTTTCGATGTCAAGAGAGTAATTGGCATAAAATACGACGACCCCAAAATTCAAGATGATTTAAAATTGTGACCATATAAAGTTGTAAACGATTGCACCAAACTTAAAATCCAGATCGAATTTAAAGGCGAAAAAAAGCGCTTTGCTCCGGAAGAAATAAGCTTCATGGTCCTGACCAAGATGAAGGAGTGAAATACGCAGTTATCACAGTTCTAGCCTACTTCAACAACTCTCAGAGGCTGGCTACCAAGGACGCAGGGGCCATAGCCGGTTCAATGAGCTTACAGCTGCAGCACTCGCCTACGGATTGGACAAGAATCTGAAGGCCGAGAGGAATGTTTTAATTTTAGATCTTGGAGGTGGCACTTTTGACGTTTAACAATTGAAGAGGACTCACTCTTTGAAGTCAAATCCACTGCTGAGGACACTCACCTAGGAGCAGAATACTTCGACAACAGGCTAGTCAATCATTTAGCGGAAGAATTTAAGAGAAAGTACCGAAAAGATCTGAAGAGCAGCCCAAAAGCACTGAGGAGGTTGAGGACCGCTGCAGAAAGGGCCAAGAGAACTATTTCTTCTAGCACAGAAGCCAACATCGAAATAGATGCTCTGTATGAAGGTATCGACTTTTACTCCAATGTGTCAAAGGCCAGGTTCGAAGAGCTGTGTACTGATCTCTTCAGATCAACATTACACCCTGTCGAAAAGACATTACATGATGTGAAGCTAGACAAAGGTTTCATCCATGATGTAGTGCTCATTGGAACCTACTGGAGAGCTATGTCTTCTCTGTGACGCAAGCTGTAAACAAGGCAGGCGACAAACTGAGTAAGGATGACAAGAGCAAAGTGAGGGCAAGGTGTGATGACAACAGGTGGCTGGCTAACAACATCCTCACAGACAAGTAGGAGTACCAGCATATACTCCAGGAACTAGAGTAACAACAAATTTGGTCAAGCCTCTTCAGTACCTACCATCGAAGAAGTTGAATAAATAAATAGCATTCCTGTCTCTACATAATTTAATTGTTAATATCAGATTATTTTCTAGTAATATTATTGTAAATATATTTATATTGATTTTTATTATTATTATTTCAATAAATTGAAATTAAAATCTTATTGTGTGGTTATTTTTACCCCCTTATCATTTTCATATTTTGAATAATTATTTAATTTTACCTAAAAATTACCAATTACTCCATTGTAAGCTTAAATATAATATATCTGCAAAATCACAAATAAATTGTTGAGATAATGTCATATATTTATTCAAAACAAAATCAATTGATTATTTGCTTCATACTAATCGAAGGTCATATTTGCCAAAACTGTTAAAGGTCTCAATGGATTTGTTATTAGTTATTACCAAATTTGTTTGTTGTAAATAAAGGTCTAATTATGTCATAAATTGTTGATAATATGTCTGATAAATTTAATGAACACGCAACATTAGTTTCATAGTTATATATAAAAACTCTAAATATTGGCAAATAAGTACTACATTTAAAGTTTGAATATAAATCAATTTTTGGAACAAGAAAGAATTTGTACTAACAGAACATTAAAGAATCGGCAAGTTCATTAAATCTTAGTAGAGACCAAAATTATTCAGACCAAAAAAAATAAGGGGGTCATAATATCCTATCCTTAAGAAAAGTGTATTAGTAATAATTAATAGTTTTGTTTTTGTAATAAATTAAATTATCCTGATCTGTTAGAGGGGATATATTACCTAAAATACTGCAATACATTGTTGACATTTACTGTACCAAGAGGTGATAGAAGAGTGAAAATTAAATGTTCTTTCTGGCAAAAATTCTAATTCCAACCCTGATATGTTTATATTAATGCTCTTATTTCTGGATTTTTTTTTTCCGAACTGTAAAAATATTTCTCCAATTCTCTCCTTTAATTATCATTTTTAAAAACATATATTTATCCATTTTGTATAACTATCTGGCCATTTATTATTTCATACAAATAAAAAATAAATAAAGGTAGTTAATTTTATTCTTTATAGTTTTATATTGAAATCTTTGATATTTTTATGTTGCAATAATCATTAGAGTCATTGTAGAAATGAATTATTATATTTTGTTTAATGGATAAATAAATAAATTAAATTTTTGTTAGTATTATTTCATCAAACAACATATTAACTTATTGTTTTCTTATAGCAATGCTTTTCTTTTTGCTGTTGGTGAAAGATACTGCTTCCCTCTAGCTAATCAAGGAGATTTAAGCTTTCCCTTGACTATTTCTTCTATCAACATGAAGAATAAACTATCCAAGTATTTATGGAATTTAAGATGCTTACCAATCACATCTGACTCAAGACTTTTTTTAAATTTAAGTAAAGTTAGTTTGCATGGAAAGCAAAGATAACATAGAAGTAATATTAGGTTATTTGTTTTTTAATACAATATTTTACATTTCATTTTCAAGTTATAATGCTATATATTTATAATTATTTTAAATAATTATATATATATATATATATTTTTTTTTCTTTCTTTTATTCCCTTCTTCGCCTTTTAGGCTATACGGGGATTTTTCCCGACCAGAGGCTGAAGATGGGGGGTTAATGACAAGTTAAAAGACCCTCTTGGCACCAGGACGTGAACTCAGAAGTATTTTATCGTTTATAACTTCGGTTATCAAGTTACCGGGCAACGCACGGTGCTGTGCACACACAAGTAAGCCCGCATAGCCACCCCTCCCCCTTAAATAATTATATTAAACAAATTTTAACATTTTTATGTCCGTATAATTCAGATAAATGCTTTTAATGAATAATTGAACCTTATTTACAAAATCTATTCCCTGATCTTTAGTCAGTTAGAATTCTAATAATTTTAGGATATCTTCGCTAAATTTTCTTGATGCTGCAGTAACAACTGTTACTGATAAAATTGAAAAATATATAACTTGATATAAATCCCTTACTGCCAAAAGGCAAGGAAGGGAGAAAAAAAATTTAAGAAGTATTAATTTTTATTCCACAGCCTCTTGCCTATACATATAATTGATATTCAAATATTATAGCATTTATATAAATTGTAAAATGTGTTGATGCAAGGATTGCACTATTTGGAATGCCACTTTTTGCTATATGATTTTAGTTCTAAGGTGTAATCAAATTTCAAAATGAATAAATCATTAGTCATACCAGTTGTCGTTAGAAATAAACTCTCATGCCTTATTCAATGTTCTTAAGAAGTTGTTGTTATTTAGGGCTCAGAGGTGTAAAACTCCAAGATCCTGAACGCCTATTTTCTTAAAAAGTACCTTTTGCCTTATCAAAACCATTCTTGAAGTCAACCCAGGCAGCTGCATTGTTTTTCTTCTTTCTGAAAACCAAATTAGATTTATAGCAGATGGAAGTAATGAAATCTTCAGTGGACTAATATTTTCTAAAACCAGCATGTTCTTGAATAATTAGGTTGATAGACTTCATTAGTTTATTGTTATTGAACTTGTCAATTCTAAGGGTTTTCTTCCAGCAATCAGAAAACGCCTCTCTTTTCAATCAAATATTAAAATCTTTAACAATTTCAACTTGGGTCTGTTCCTGCTTGAGTGTCAGTTCATTGATGGCTTAAACATAGATGACGTTTCATTTCGGCAGTTTTTGAGGATTCTCCAATTCAATAATTTTAAAAGAATCCAGAAGTGGATTTTTTAATTTTTATTATTAACTCTTCTGATATAAAAATTAACTTTGTTTTTTATGCATTCTCTTCTTATCAGTTCCCCTTGAGATAGACTTATATATCCAGCTTCATTATGGTAATAGATTCATATATCTGAGTTCAGTATATTGATACAGACTTCAGCTGAACATTTGTTTAAACTTTTTGGAAACGGAAGAAGGATACAACCAATTATTCTTTCAAACGATAATTTCAAACTTCTTCAGCTCATTCTGAAAAATAAATGTTTTGGATATAAATAATTGTGCTTTTACACATCAAAGTGATCAATCTTTTATTCTCTTCCTTTGTTACTTCTTTCTTTAACCGTGCTCGCTCACAAAAACTTCTTTTAAAATTAAGGGAAATTTATGTTAGATAATACCATTTATAATTATCAGTGTTACTCATTTTTTTCAGGATATCAGGAACACTTTAAAGAAGATGAAAACAGGAAGTGTCTTTAAATGTGAAGCACTAATTTTGAATAATATTTTAGGCTATTTTAGTTCACTACATCACACTGAGAAACATAACTTCATACAAATGATTTCCAATCTCCTCAGGTATAACTTGATTTTTATAAACAAAAATATTTTTTAAAATACTTAAATCCATGATCCAGTGAATTCAGATTAGTAATTGTGCTAGCTCTATTCCCACAAGGTTGAACTAATAATTACTTTCTGGTGGTCTTGCAAAACAAATATTGCCATTCAGAGCTCGTTTTTACTTATGAATGATTAAACAACCATCTCACTGATGATGATTAAAATTTATAACTTTTATTATATTTATATATAACCTAAATTTATCTTTAAAAATTTGTCTAAACTAAATAGTATCAGAAAGACATTTATTATTTTGTATTTATTTTTCTTGTAATATGTTTCTTAAATAAAAACTCAATGATTTGATTTACAAAACACCCATACCACTACAACCCATGAAAGTTCTTGGGTTCAGTACTATGTTGGGAACTGTTGTTTCTTGGTCAATGATTGTGCTAGGAGATGATTTGACCTAGATCACTCTTAACCACCATGTTTTCCCCTTAATTAATTAATTAAGAGTACCCAACTTATGAGAGGATTTCTAGTTCTGGAAGTCAGTGTCCAACCGACTGAGCTACCCCACTCCCCAATGATTTGATTTATTATTACAAATTTATGGCGCAAAGATAATGTTTGTTATATAATATTTCCTGGAGTTCACTATCACGTTGGTGATTGGAAATGTATTTATAAATAGTTCATTCTTATATTCAGCTAACATTATTTATCAGCTCAGATTTTTTTCCACATATCTAGTCTTCAGAAACACAGGTATTGGCATATAGATTGTCTATTGAAACATTTTCAAACCCCTCCTCTCCCAAGCATTTATTAAAACTTCAATCTTTGTAGGTAGGTTAAGCGTGATCTCAGTCAAATCACCTTCTTGTACAACTGTTGGCCAAGAAACATTACTTCCCAACACAGTACCGAACCCAAGATCTTTCTTGGATTGTAGTGGTACAGGTAGGTAGGTTTATTTATTTTCCATTCCATGTAAGTACTGTATATGTCGATCCCTCTGTTCTGACTGAATATGATTCAATAAAATATATAAATATAAATGGAACCGAAAGAAGAATACTTTTGCTAATCAGTGATCTCAAAAAAATATTTTTTGGATAACTAATATAATTCTAACAGGAAAAGTAATTGGGGAATTGAAATGCTGCATTTCTATTCTATTTAACTGATCAAGTATTCCTCTCTGCTACTGATGGCTAATATCTCACTATTGCTGTTTACTAAAGCATCTTTATAATTTTTATTTTTCAATATCCCTAGGAATTCCTTAAAATGTTAGAGGAGCTGCCAATTTGATTAAGAATTTCATTTATTTATGAAATGGTTTTAGTTATTAGACTAGTGGAAAAATAATTTTTTTTCAGCTAATTGTTTACTGTTTGGTTTCTGTAACCAACAAAGTTTAACTGTTTATTTATTTGGTTGCAGCTATCCGAACAATGTGAAATGGATTTCAGCTGAAAATGAATTTCTCGGTGAGAGTGATGGATTGAGATTACTTTTAGCTTTTTCAGTGGGAGCTGGAGAAACTTTGAAATATTTACATATATGGAATTTCATGAAAAACCCTGGATTTAATTCTTATTCACATAGTAATGAGGGTAGTTGTGTTTATTATTATTTTATTTTCATTACTTTATTTATTAACAATATTTACATTAAGTAGATTTTTACTTATAACCATCCTTCTCTTCATTATTCAAGATAGTCAACCATTAAGTAGACACACACATAACACAATTAAGTAGATTTTTATTTATTTTTAATGAAATGTGAAAAAGTAAAATGTTTCTTCATCTAACATTATCAATTGAATGATATTTTATTCCAATTTTATAAGATTTGATTGTATACAACTTTTTTTTATTTTTGAGTATAATACTTTTATTGAGTATTATACCCCGAAGGATAATGAGGGTACTAAGGGTTGGAAGAAAGAGATTAGAGCAGGACGAGAGCTTTAAATATCTGGGAGTTCATCTCAATGAGAGTGGCTACATAGACGAAGAAGTGGTCCAAATAATTGGAGCAGCAGGGAGGATGTCAGTATGGTCAGACAGGGTTTCCTTGGAAGAAGAGAGGTGTCAGAGTGGACCAAACTAGCCGTCTATAAATTGACATTCCTCCCTATCCTGTCGTACTCTTCAGAAATCGTAGACCCTTCACCACAAAACACAAAAGCCATATACAAACTATGGAAATGAGGTATCAGCATAAAATCGAATGAAAGACACGGAGAGATAAGATAAGGAACGCCACCATACGGGCTAATCTCGACGTCAAACCAGCAGAGACCATTCTGGAGGAACACAAACTAAGGTGGTTTGGAAATCTTCTTAGGATGGATTCAGATAGAAGTGCTTGGAAGACTTACGAGACCCACATGGAAGGAAAAAGACCCAGAGGAAGGCCTTGCATCTCCTGGGAAGCATTCAGGAAGCGCGGAATGGATTGAAGTAGGAGAATAGAGTTGGTGCAGGAGAGAGACAGCTGGGCCAGACACTATAAGCATGACCCTCACACCGAACCACGGTAGAAGAGGGAATGATTATGATGATGTTGATGATTATTATACTCAATAATACGTATTATAACTCCTGTGCTTACTGATAAAATTTTCCTTACTACTTTTGGAGAAAGGTGTGATTCGAAAATTGTTTGCTATATGTTCGCTAACAATGATCCGATTATAATGGTTTTTTTTCTAGTTTAGTTAGAGTGTTTCAGAGAACGTATAATTTTAATATTACAATATAATTCTGGTGATCTCTACTTCACTTGTCCAGACATTGATATGAACATGATTAAAAAATTATACAAATAAAATTTAGCAAACTAAAAATGTAATTTAATGGGTGGTAAGTTCAAAAATAATTTAAATATAAGGTTCGACCTAATCCAGATTTACTTATGAGTATTATCAGGTATGCAAAACTATCTCTTTATGTTATGCAGAAACAGTTATGTTTCCACTCCGCATGAACTTGTTTCGCTGTACCCATGTATGTAAAAAATTATATTACAGATGAAGGAATGCATCAATAATGAATAAAACACTGAAATAAGTGAATTTATTTTAATGAGTGCCAACATTTCGTTTAATGTTTCATTGACCGCATTTTATCCAATATAACTCTCATTGATCTATGAACATGAAGCAACGATTTAAGGTAACCTTCAACAAATAGACTGAGCTTCCAATGCTAAAGTTTCCAGGTTCAAATCCCTGCTCATGGCAGAAAATTTATTTATTCTGTTTCATTGGCCTTGGGGTGACACTGGGTCGGAAGACCCTCCTGGAGCACACCCAGTTTCTGTAAAGTTGGTATCCTTAATTAAATAATTAATTAAGGAGAAAAACATGGTGGTTGAGCGTGATCTCAGTCCAATCACCTCCTTGCACAACCGTTGACCAAGAAAAAGTGCTTTCCATGAATAGTACTGAACTCAAGACCCTTCATGGGTTTTAGTGGTACAGGTTTCAACAAGTCTCTACGCTTGTCACCTTGAAGGTCTAGATCTTTGGCTGAAACGTTAGTAAACATTAAAATAAGTTTCAGTTTATTATTATACATTTTAAACAACAGCTGCTATAATGAACTCTTAGACTATTTACTTAAAATGTATAAGTAGAGAAGTTATAAATTAAAGAACCAGCTTGAAAAAATTAATTGGTAGTTTTTTTTATTGATAATTAATATCATTTTACAGTTATTTCAGATGTAAATATTACTGATTTCAGGTACTTACAGTTTTAGCCAGTGGAGAAAAATTGCAGCTGATTTATTGGATTTGGGATTAAAGACAGGTGTTTGGGATAGCATTGTAACACCTTTGTATATGGGTGATATTCCAGAAGATTTTCGTTACTTTGCTTATTATTTATGTCTTTGTAGATTAAAAAATTTGAATACTTTGAGTATCAAATACAGCATGCTTGCTGGTGGCAAAGGTATTTATAATTTAAAACATATAAAACTATTTCCTTTAGTAGAAATAATTTAGCAATATTAATTTTTAAATTGCAATTGTTTATTGTTGTCAATATTCCAATATACTTCAACTTGAATTGATTGATTGATTACCTTGGTGAACCTTGATTAACGCAATAAGAAACATTTTCTCCTTACATCATAGCCGTTGCTAATAAATTTTATGTTCAAGATGAAAATGATACCAATAAATACACTAATATTTTTGTATTTTTGTCAATGGTTTAATAAACTAAATTGAGTTTGTATAGGCGAGAGTTTATGTCAGTTGGGATGTATCAGAAATGGAAGGTTGAGGATTTTAAACTTGTTATGCACGCCAGGAGATATGCCACATAAGACTTCGCAATTAATTTCTAATTCGTCTTGGATGAAAGCTCTGGTTTATTGTCCACTGCTTAAAGTTAATTTGGTAATAAGTAAGTACAATACATTTTTTTTTTATATTCCTTTAGAATTAGAGGAGTAGAACCACCAAATTAATATTGACATTTTCAATTACTATGGCTATCGATAAATAGTACTCTGGTAATTGAAAATTAAATTTTAAAAATTAACTTTAGTAAAATGTAGGATTCCAAATAAATAATAAAGTATACTAGCTGGCATGTAATAATTTGTATAGTATATTGGTTAGTGAACAAATGACAAAGTGGTATAGAAATAAACTAATGTAATGTATTATGAGATGGAGGGATTCATTTTCATTGTCTTGGTTGATTACAACAGGTCATCCAAAATAATAAACCAAAAGATGTGTACAAATTACAATAAGCTCTATCTTTGCATCAGCATATCAAACGGTCTTGTTTAGAATAATTTCTTTTGTTTTTGGTTTTGTAGGGACTTAAGTAAACTTTCAAATAATCACGGGTGTAATTGACCATAAATTGTATACTTGTTGAGTTATAAAAACGTTTCTTTTTCTTTGAAACTTTTTTCCTGAAATTTCGTGGGATCGCAACTACTTTTCCCTCCTGAAGGAGAAAATAATTTTCAAAATTATGGCTCAATCATTAATGAAAATATGGCACACTGACAAAAAATACCTTTGAGAAATAATGCATATAAATGTTTTAATATTGTAATAATAGCTGTTTTTCTTCAAGTTGGTTATATTTTGTTTTATTATTTTATTATCAATATATGAAATCGCTCTTTATTTCTAAGATTTCAGTTCATTCCAAAAGGAAAATTCATAAACATTTAAAATACTTGAATGAAGGAAACATTAAATAGGAGGTGTTCATATTTTGTTTTTTGTTTGCAATTGATAAATATTATTTCTCCTGAAATTTTTATCAGACATATTTTTTAATGATTATAACTCATCCACAGATTTAACTTCTTATTTTATTTTATTCATTGGAATTTTAAACTGTATTAAATATAACCAATAAATCTGAACAAGACAAGAATAATGACATGAACAGACATATTGAGATACTATCCAATCTTAGTACTAATTGTAGTCTTTTTTAACTTAATGCACTATCTCCTTGTTGAATAATCAGTGGTAGTAGGATTAAGTAGAGTAGGGTTCTACCACACTCAAAACTCTTTTAATAGTTTTTGGTTCAATGAAATTTGATTTATAGGTTTTTTTTTGTTCTGTTTCCTGATGGTTTTACAGACCTTTTAAATCTTTCACCACCTTAACCAGTCTGGAAACAGGAGGAAAGCAAGAGAATAGAATATTGTCTAAAATTCTTCCGATTATTAATTTTATGTGAATATATATATATATAAAGCATTTCTTATATTCCAAACAAGTAATATAACCTCGTGGAAGATCTCTTTATATTTTCTAAATAAATATGAGGTAGATAAATAAAAAACAACTTATATGAGTATTAATATATTAAATTGAAATTTATAATTATTTTATCTCAGGTATAGGTTACTGATAATCAGGCCAAAACACTCAGACAAACTATTATTATTTACACTATTTATACTAAAATTAAACACTGATTTTAAAATAAAGTCAAGTATGAATTGGCAAGCTAAACTTTTTTGTTTAGATACTGTTTTTTCCTTTGCCGAACTAAATTTATTTGTCATCAAATGCTTTTCAATCTTCCAAAATGGTGACACTTTCTTTTACTCAACTCAAGCTCTCTGGGAGATCTTCTCTCTTATAATTCCAAATAACAATTGACAAGATGGTAATACTATTACTGGGTTTTACCCCAGGATTAGGTTTTACTAGAGCCAGGATCCCTTCTCCTATCGTTTCTTCACTGCAGCCAAACAACTGCTTGCCAAAACAAAATCCTTTATCTCCTCTTCTCTTTTAGGATTTTCCTTTCTGGGATAACTACAGAGCAGTTATTTTCTTTTTCCTGAACTAATAGAACTATATTAGCTTGCCTTTTAACTATTCAACATTAATTTATTAAACCCTTTTTACCCACTTTCAATAAGGGTGTACATTACAATATATATATATATATATATATATATATATATATATATATATATATATATATATATATATATATACACACACACATATATATATAGTTTTTAGTTATTAATAATTATTTGAACTGTTTGCAGTTCAAGTTATTCGCTTAGACGAGTTAAAACATGTTCTTCAAGAAAAAATGCCATTGCATGGGTTCCACCTTTCTTGCAGTGGAATACCAATAGATGGGAGGGAAACTGATATATGGTTGCTTGGTAACACACTCAATCTTATACGGAATTACTATAATAAAACATTAAGTAAGTTATTCTCATTTTTAAACAATTTTTTTTTAATACGAATTTTACTATTTTAAAATTTTTCAGCTTTTTATTTAAATAGTTTCAGATTATGTTTATTTATTATTTCCATTCATCTATATTTATATTTTTTGATACTTTGACATCATCAGGCATCTGTTTGGGTGAGTGTGATCATAGACGAATCACCTGTCTGCAAAATTGTTTGTCTAGAAAGAGTGATTCCTTACAAAGTACTGAACCAAACACCATTCAAGAACTGGAGTGGTAGAGATATTTTTTATTTTATTGTTTATACAAAACAATAACTGTATGCCCTTGTTATATCTCTGAAGCAGGGGATAGTACAAAAGAAGAAGTCTAAAAGTTATAAAATCTTTCAGTCTTAATAAGAAATTTATTTAAAATATTTTACATAGTCAGAGAATTGTTTTCATGGTGGTGGAAGACAGTGAGCAATGAATGAAACCCTAAACAGCTTCTATAAGTTGCATAAGACAAGAAGTATAGACTGACCAGGGAAGTGATATCAGATGTTGTTCAAGCTTTCATGAGCTTCCAAGGAACATATACCAGGAGCTACCAATCATTTCATTTAACTGATGGACTTACACCTAATAACCATTTTAAATTCTAGATAAACCTCATCTGAACACAAAATTTCAGTCTTTCGGTTGAAAGTCGTTCCTTTCTATACAAAAATTTAAATTAAAGTGGCAAAATTTGATGTATCATTTAATGGAAGAACTTGCCGATAACATTTTGATATGATGTAAAGAATGTATCCCTAAAAGAGAATTCAACTTGACTGGCGATGTACTCGGTTGTGTTTTGAAAACTGACGGCATCAAATTCATCAAATTAGTTTAGTGAAATGGTAGTTGGATGTATAAAAAAATCAAATAGTTGGCTTCTCTGCAGTTTAAACAAAAATAAAATAAAATCAATATGAATCTATGTCATAATTAACAATTTAAAATTTCAATTAATTTTACAGAGCGACTTACATTGGAACTTTTGTATACACCTTCCTATATTGATTCTTCTGTCATTAAATTGATATCTACATGTGTACTTCTAGAAGCATTTGAATATCGAGGAACTTTTGATAATATTAAGACAGTTCAAGAAATTTGTAAATTTTATATTAAACATGATACTAGTGAGTATAAAATACCTAAAATATTATATACTTATATGTTTGCATCAGTAACAGAAGTATTGGCATAAATTATAATTTGACTTTTATAATCATTTACAACTGGTATAAATTTATAAAAAAAAAATTTAATTTATTTTTAATCATTCCCAGCTTTTTATCTCTTAAATTTTCATTCTGCCACTCTACAGTGAATTAAAATACTGGTTATTAAAACATGAACACAACATAAGAACTTGCTGTTTAAATAAATCTGAAGAAAACAGTATGCTTAGAAAGAAAAATAATATAAGATAAGGAAATTGAAAAAAAAACAAAAAAAAAATTTCAACTTGTTTGTTATAATTTCTCTTAATTTAGGAATTTACTGTTTTATTTTATTGTCATTAAAGATTGTGGAATTGATTCTCAATTATTCTTATTTATTAACGAACTAAACAATTTTTGAGATTTCTTCTTAATATGTTTACCATAAATCTCTTCATTCTTGTTTTTTACATTTATTTTTTTAAAAATAATTTTAACTCACCATATTATATGTTGTAGAGCCAGAGTAACCCCCTTTCAGACAAGGCCATCCCTAACCCTTGCTGCATGACCTAATGTGTATTAATTTCCAAAAGGATCCAACTTAATATAATAATATGTTTTCCTTTTAAAAGGGAATATAGCTTATGAGTGTTTGTTAAGTTCAGAAATGCCTTTTATCTACCAATAACAGCCCAGATTAACAAAATCTCATTGTTGTAATAAACAAAATTTGTGGGGTACCTAACTATTTGGGTAGATTAATTCTTGAGTCAATTAAAAAAAAAAAAAAAAAAAAAAAAAAATCATTTTGTCACTCCATGTTGTTTCTGGCGAACTATTCTGGCATTCATTGGTATAATGGAAATATGTTGGAATTTTTGTTGGATTTTGATAACTTGAAGATGAACAAAATAGCTCGAAATGTTGTCATGACTTGAATAAATAGTAAAATTATCAATCCTTAAAGGCACCATATATTAAGTGAAGAGAATTTTCCTCTCAAATCTTTAAATTCTTCTTTCTAGGATGATGTTCAGAATCCAGGTCTTGTGGCGGTATACAGTTCTGGCTTTATAGCATTATACACCTATAATTAGAGATTTCTTGAGATTTATAGGAATTAGATTATATATTAATACAAGTTAAATATATTTACATATATCACAGTCCATATTTAATATTTAATAGTTGACTGTTGCATTATAAAGGAAGGAGATGGTCTGAGGTGGTGGACATAAATAGGTTAAATAGTGGCAGAGCTATTTTATTAAATATTAAAATAGTAGCCTAGGCTTTTAATAAAATAGTTTTGCCACTATTTAGCCTATTTATGACCGCCACCCCGGACCATCTCCTTCCTTTATCAGAGTCCATATTTGAGTTGTTACGGGTAACTTATATCACCACTTTACTATATTAATTTCTAGTTCCTTTCATGTAATATGGAATTATTATGTATTATTTATTTCAGAGATAAGGAAGCTTTATTTGTTGATCAGAGATCATTGCTGTCCCGACTATAATAAGAAGACACTCAAAATATTCCAAAATGCTTATGAAGATTATTTTACTGATAAAGGGATTGATTTTTTAGTAAGGTCTTGCAAAATATGAAAAATAATAAAAGGAAGAATTGCATAATATACATATTTATTTTTATTTTAAAGGTACTAAACAATTATATTAATTATTATATGATTTAACTGAAGTATAAAATTAGTAAATTAAGTTTGATTGAGAGTTGAATTGATGATTAGAGAAATTCTGTAGACCAAAGAATCCATCAACAAAAAACAAACCCATGTGAAATGGTTCAAGTCCACCCAAAAGGACCGATGATAAAAATGTGTGTTACTCTGGACCTTATGAAATTAATTAAGGTAATAAGACTTATCATGGTATTTAAACATTAATTTGGTTTTTAATGATTATCACTATTGTGAGTTTTAATGAGCAATTTACATGTACTGAGATATTGCAAAAGAAACTTTTCATTGAAGAATAAAAAGAATTCCAAGTTGTGGACTGGACCTCAGAGCATGATCTCTGAGCTCTTTGAGAAGAGAAATCCCTCAAATCACTGACACAAGATGTTATTATGGGTTTAATGTGTTGTCTTTTCAAAACACTTGTTTATCTCAAAAGAGTGGCAAATTTATTCTTAAATATTTCCCAAAAAGTTTCTTTGAGGTTTCTCAACTCAATGACTCAGTTTTAAATTTTTAAAATCTATTTGCTGACAGCTTTTTTGGGGAGCCATTTCTTGGATTAACTTTTTCAAAATAATTGTTTTATTTCTTCACAAAGGTAATTTACTATTCCAGGATTGGCAGCAATGTTCTGGTAGTTCGGTGTGCATATGAAGCTATGTAAAAAGGTGAATAACAATATTAAGATAAAAGGTTTAGGGGAACTCAATAAATCTTAATAAGGTCCATCACATACTATGATTTCTAATAAGTTGGAGAATATCTGGGCAGAAAAAAAATGTTATTACCTATCAGTGTAGCATTGAATAGAATGACATATGCTAAGCATTTAATCTGCTGGATAAAATTTGAACAGTTGCAGCGGATTTGACAACTAGAAGTTTGGAAGTTTTATTCTAGCTCAGATTCTTAATACGTAAAAGGTGTAAGAGTGTTATTTCCATGTGCTGAGTATGGTGCATTGTTGTTTTAGCATATAACAAGGATGCATTTGTTTATTATTATTACTTATTAGAGCATAGGTTCTAAACAAATTAATTGAATCATTTCATTTAAAAGGTTTTTGCACAATTAATTTCTGAATAATTACTTACATACAGGCAGTAACAATATTTATGGATGGCTTAGTTTGCTCTTCCTTTAAGCAATAACACATAGTTATGTAATAAAAAACTAATGTGATTTAATTTTTAAATCCTGAAATAATTTATCATTTTAAAATCCCTTACAAAAATTACATTGACAATAAGATGCAACAGAAAATTGTTTTTTTTTTTTTTTTTAAAGTAATGCAATGCTAAACACAATATTTAACCCTTCTTAATAATCACCTATATCAATTTACTTAATTTGTTTTAGTTTTTTACAAATTTACTTTGATATAACCAATTTATACATGATCCAGTATATGATGGTACAAGAATCACATGCAGAATTAATTAATTAAGTGCCCTCATTCATATTTAAAAATTAGTTTAAAAGATATTTGAGCAAACTGTCCTGTAAAAAACTGCCTTTTGTAAAAGTGTTGTACTGGATCAATATCCAGTAGAAAACTGAGAATTGTTCTGACCGGAAGAATTTTTAGGCATCAAAAGAGGGCTTTCAGAAACAGATTAACCTCAAGATGTTCTCTGTTTTTAGAACCTAAAAGAAATTACATTTTTAAATACAAAAAAGGACCAATTAATATCAATTTGCAAGTAAACTTGCATCATAGTTCTGATGATAATTCAGTTGAGAATAAACATTCATATGGTCCAAAACATAGTTATTCTGTTGTGGAAAATTACTTTATTATTTCTTATTTATTAATACAAATGTATACGTTATTAATGTATAAATAACTATAACTATAAAGGTAGCAACACTGATTCAGACCAATGGAAGCATGAGAAAACTTTAGCTTGGGGGCTGTTTGCCGGTAGCATCCATTAAAGCAACATTGAATCTCAATTGTTCTTGTTTTTATACACTGCGATCCCATGACTTATTCTCCTCACTATGTGGCACATTTTTAAAAAAGATTTGCTACAAGTAATAGACTGTGTTCAACTATAATGGTACAAACTAGTGGATAAATTATTGATGAAATATCAATGTGTTAAATATAAATGATCATATTTAAAGTATTGATTAAATACATTCTAAAAATGTTTACTTGCTATAATACCATCATTAAAATGTGATGAATTCTTTCCACTAGTAAAAAGGAGTACTTATTAATACTGTTACAATATTTTAAAGATAATTATCAATTAGCGGTGGATGCCATTTCCAGACGAATCTTGATCTTGATGATTTTCACAACTGAAACTTTCTTGGTTTTCAAAAAAGCTTTTCAGACTTTCAGGAATCATTTTTTTCATTTTACTCTTGCTATTTTGATCTTGGACTGAAAGCATCAAAAACCTAAAATTAGCGTTATGAATAAACAAATTACAATTAAAATTATTTCTTCTGCAATTAAAATTAAGAAATACTTTATGTTTTTTTTTTATGTAATACAAAAATAAATAGCAGATAATAAGTAGATATTAATTTAATTTTGTTCGGTTTTATGACAATTATAGTTTTTAATAAAAATTTTCATGCTTCAATAAAACAGGTCATACCATTGTTCATATTGAAATTACTAAAAAATTAACCTTTTCGATTCAAGTTACAAGTAACTCTAGGTACTCACTGTAACAATAAACTAAAGAGTCGGCTACAATCTTGCAGACTTGTATGTAAACAGTAGAAATAAGATATATGCAAAAGCATAACAACCAGAGAGCAATTTCTAAACAAAATGTCTCCTCATGTGGTATTAAGAAAAGAAAGATGATCAGTGTTAAGCAAATTGTCCATTTCATAATGTTCAATATCTTTTGAGTAGTCTGAAAATAGAAATTATTGATGAATATAAAATTAATTATAATTAGTTTAAAATAAAAAAATTAGGAGTTAAGAAATAAAATCTTGAGTTGAAGTGGTTTTCACCTAAGAAATATATAATAAGCCAATAATTATTTTTTGGCAGTCCAGCGAAATAAGTCTTGACGTTTCCAAACTGGTTAGGACTAGGCGGCAATATTTCTGTAGCCATCAAAAACTCACCAATGGACTGACAGGTCCACTTGTCCGACTAGAATCAATCATTAATAAGAGCACCAGAACAACTAGTGTCAACACAAATAAAAACAAAAGGGGAGATGATCCCGGGTCTGAGAGGGTAATAAAAAATGCATCTGATCTATTCATATTTGAGCACATATGATGAGAGAAAAATAATAGTGGCGAACTGTTGTTTCAGATTGTGATAATATTTGGCAAGCAACATCCTTTCCTGTTATTTGAAGACAAGTGTAAAAGATGCTGGTAAGATCAATGATGTGCCGTAGTTCTAAAATCAAAGTCTGACAAGCTATCAATTTTTAGAAGTAAATTATCCATCAAATAGATCTTTATTGTGAGTAATAAATGGAAGAGATGCATCAATGAAAAGCTTTATCCCATGTACTAGGTTTTGTTAGATACATTGTGAGCAAGGTGTGAACTTCTAAGACTTAGATGGGGAAGTCACCAGTTCAGTATATCTCATGTAGCAAATCTTTCTTTAGTGAAGATATGAGCGGCCTAGCGTATACACATATTGAAAAGACAATGATTTAGGATCAAGAAATCAGGTAACAGTGAAAGACTAAGAAGAGGAGATTTTCAAGAAGAACTCTGAACCTATTAGATTTTAGTACTACATGATTATGATGATTTTAAATTAGAAAACAAAAAAAAACTTCGGACATTCTTGTATAATGAAAATAAATTTGATTCTTTTTGTTTTATAAAGAGAAACCAACACTGTTGGGATTCAAATTTTGTTTCATAAAATATTACATTATTTTTAAAAGGATTACATATTTTGAATAGACTTTCAGGTTCAAATATTAATAGGCTAATAAACAAAACGTTGAATGAACTTACTTTATTTAGTCGTTTTCTTCCTCCATCTTCTATTATTTTACTATTTATTTTTTCTGTTGAATTTTTCAAGCCTGTTCCATTCACTGCACTAATTATAAGTGAATATTTGTCTACAGGTGCTGGTAAATTAATATTGAATGGGCAAATATGTTTGAACTTCGGGCACAACCTTATAACTACTATAATTTTATGAATAACAGTCTGCAATATTCCAAAAGAGCCATATGCTGCTGTACCCATGTGGTACCTTAAAGAATAAAAAATAAAATAAAAATAGAAAACATTAATAAGAATGATATAATTCATAATTATGAAATAAATTAAAAAACAACATATGTCGAACTGTGTGACATTTGGCAAAACACTTGATGAATTGGCATTATATTTCTTGCACATTGTTCCAACCACTGGAACATCTATCATAATCAGATTTTCTATTTAAATGATTGACTTCACAAACAATTTAAATTAGAATTTATCAGAAAATGGAATCGGCTGGTTTGGAAATTGTAGATCTTAAATACATTTATTGAATTATTATCGATGGGGGTTCTAAATATGAATATTGCTCTACAATCCAATCTTAGCTGTGTCTTTTACCAAATAAGCAAGTTTTAATGCAGTAAACTAATTTCTACATTTCAACCATAAATTTGAATTTTCATTTAGTTTTGGTTATTTAAATGGTTATAACTTATTACTAATATTGTTGGCCTACATGTCCTTTTTACCAGCCTATTTTTTAGCTGACAATTGATTTTTTTAAACATATGTATCCCACCTTCACTCTGGAACTGATGTACATATATCTTACATTAAATTAATGAATTCACCACAAATAGATATATGACTTACTTTAATATAGTTTTAGTTGAAGATATTACAAGAGATGGTGGTAATTCTTTCTTGTCAGCATTATTATACCATGTATATAGTGAATATGCCAACATCATCTTAGAAAATGCATAAATGAACATAATGGTCCAGATGACAGCTAATACATTAAAAATTCGAAGGACCATAACAAAATAAAATTTGATCACACTAGGCTTATAACAAATACAGTTTGAGCAGAACTGGGTGAAATTTTCTGGATGACATTTATTCCCTTCAATCGCATTCTAAAAATAAAAATATAATAACATAGGTTCACTAACTCAATATAAATAAAATACATTCGACTGATATCTTAGTCCATTATCATCATAATTAATTAAAGATTTTTCATTTTTGAAACTTCTAAACTAAAATAAAATAAAAAACACTATAGAAATAAAGATGAGCAGAGGCTAAAAAGTTATTAGACAATTTTTAATCACACAGTATTGGCATCAGTTATTATGAAGTATATATTTAAAAAAATAGATACAATTAATCAAAATGTTAACTCTTTTTTTTGTATGAATTATTTTTTATTAAATAAGCATGGGTATAAACCAATGTTTTTTTTTTGTTATTGGATTTGATTCTGTGAATACATTTTTGCTAAAATGTTAGAAAAAAAGAAAAGAAATTTATCCCATGAAAAATTTAAATTAGTTCTTAATAAGGAAGCAGAGAAACAAAAATGATAGATTTTATCTATAAGAATAATTAGTTAAAATATCATCAAGTTATTTTTCCAAATGTGAATGTAATATGAAGCATTTCTGGGTATACTGATCCGAGGGCCAAAAATCAATTTTATAAAAGAAAAAAAATTCAATAATTTGAACTTATGCCAAGTTTTTAATGTACATACAAAAAAACAAAACAACAAAAACATATTTTATAAAGTTCATAAGTACATGAACTTTATGCATAACAATATAATTTCACTTGATATAAATATGGGAAATGGAATGTGGATGTTATTTCCAGCATAATCTATTACCCCACTTTTGAACAAGAAATCTTTTTTCGGACTTAAATTGAAATGAATTGCATTAGCTATAATTTCTGAATTACTTAGCATGAAAAAAAAATATTGTTTCAGCAATTAGAACACTTGTATAGCCTTTATAATAATCATGCTTAATATAATAATTAATTTTACATGAATTATTTTGTCCCACTAAACTCTTCACAAAACTGTAATACTCTCCACTCCTAAAGCTTCACTAAAAGAAATTGAGTAGTTTAAGGAAGGGAGAGATCTACAAAACATTCTTTAAAAATTACTTTTATGGATACATCCATGTGAAATACATAAAAAAAAAAAAAAACCATCACTATATTTTATCTATTTCCCTATTTTTATCTATAACAATAAGTTCCTATGTGTTATGTAATATAGACATAGTAGTAAAATAGTACAGAAACAAGTAAATTGAAGTAAAAGAAAATAAATCTTTTATATTAAAGTTATACTTTAATATCATTACTATGAGAGAAAAGATTAAGGTTTAATTAAATACCGATCTTACACTATCATAATAATCTATCACTTTTTGATTTGGAAATAGTTTACCTGATATTCTCCTGTGCAGTTACAAGGTAAATTATATTGATTGTGAATTTTGCAGTCTAGGTTTGAATCACTCATCAAACTGATCACTATATTCCATGCCCAAATTACTAATGCTAAATATGCATGTATGATTATAAAAATGAAAAATAGAGATCCTTTAATTTGAAGAAGAATACTATAAAAAAAAAAAAAAAAAATAGATATGTATATTAAAAGTAATATTAACTATATTGTTGAATTTACTTAATGATTCATTCATTAAGTTACTTAAAAAATATAAAATTACATACTTGCAGGTTTCTGTAATAAGCATCAATGCAGGCTTTATGTAATTTTTCAAGCGAATTAAATCAAAAACTTTCTTAATGACAACTAAAAGGAAAATAGCTGCCAAAATAACACATATAAGAGAAAAATAAGATCCTTCTTGAATAAATGAGATTTTGTAAAATTTAAAAGAACCTTTAGATTCAATACCAAAGTAACCCAGAGCTGTGAAAATAAATCCTGGAACCATAGTTATTAAAAGTTTATAATTATATAGAAAGCTATATTAAAATTTATAAGTAGACATATTTGCACATAGAAAGCTATAAGGTAATTTCCAACTGAACAGTTCTCAGAAAATCGTTTAATTTTAATAAACATGATAACGGCTGTGAGATCTGGGCATTAACTAGCACAATAAAAACAAGTATTGAAGGATATGAGAGAGAAAATATCTCCACAAATATCTTTTGCACGATGACCAGAGTGATCTGAGATACTAACACATGGAGGAGAAGGATTAACAAAGTACTGCTTACAGAAACTGGTCAATCAATATATCATGATATGAAGGTAATGAGATTAAGATGGGCAGGATAAGTAGCTCAAGGCAATCCATCAGGAAGCTTTTACACAACAATCCTTGCAAGTAGGCAAAAGATAACATGGAAGGCCACAAATCGGATGAACAGATCGAAACAGCAAATCTACTGCAGAGCTACATGCAGTAAACTAGAAGGCAATAGACCAAGATAGGCTGAGTTAGATAAAGCTAATTAAGGTGACAAAACATTTACAAGGTCTATAAAGCCAACAGAAAAAAAAGGAATATATAAACTAGACAGCAAAAAAACCGGCACACCTCGTGTTTGTGTAGAAATCCAGGTCCAATGTTTGTTTTAAATGAATTGTTGTTTCGAGATGGTTAGTCTAGTCTTTCATAACAATAACACAGTATGATTACCTCAAGGTCCATTCGAATATGCGTACCTTAGACCCTATTTATCTCTTAGTGTTGCATTTGCTGTTCTTCCCTCAGTTCATCACTTGTCGTTTATTCAGTTGTCGTTCGCACTAAGATCACATTTGTGTTTGTTTTTTTTCAACTCATTTGTTCGATTGTTTTGTGCTTGTTCGGTTCTGAGGAATGGTTCTAACCACCGAAACAGTCGCCCAAATAGTCGGGTTGGTAGAAGATGGGAGAAGTCAACGTTATGTGGCTAGAACGTTAGGGCTACCAGAAACTACTGTTGGTAGGGCAGTCCAAAGGTACAGGGAGACTGGTAGCTTCCAGAGGAGACCAGGATCAGGTCGACCGAGAGCGACAGTGCCCGCAGACGACCGATTTATTACGATGCAGGCTCTGCGAAACCACTTTCAGACGGCTGTAGAAACCACTCAGTGCCTTCGAATTACCCGAAATGTGAATAATAGTGTTGATACACTGCGTAGGCGGCTTGCTGAAGTTGACCTTCGATTGAGGGCCCCACCTACTGCGATTCAACTCACCACAGCACATCGTACAGCTCGTCTTACATTTGCTCGGGAACACGCAGCTTGGTCAGAAGACTATTGGGGGCAAGTAATGTTTTCAAATGAGTCCAGGTTCTCATTATTTTCTTCAGAGTGTTAGAGTGTGGAGAAGGCCGGGACAGCGTTTTGCACAGTGCAATATTTCTGAAAGGGTGCCTTACGGTGGTGGGTCTGTAATGGTTTGGGGTGGAATCACTTCAGGAGCAAAAACCGACCTCCATGTTTTTCCAAGAGGAAACCTAACTGCACTCAGGTACATTTCTGACATTCTGGAAGATTATTATTTAGTCCCATTCGCCCCATTCATCGGTGAAAATTTCATTTTTCACCCATGTTACACATGTGGTTACTGACTACCTCGAAGAGGTTGGTATACGCACCCTACAGTTGCCAGCACGCAGCCCCGACCTCAATCCTATTGAACATCTATGGGACAAGCTAGGGAGGTGCATCCGAAGGCGTCCAAACCCTCCTTTGGACCTCCAAGGCCTCAGGACCGCAGTGGTAGCAGAATGGGACCAAATCGGGCAGGAAAAAGTTTCCAGTTTAATCAGCAGCATGCCAAGAAGAATGCAGGCGGTAATACCAGCAAGGGGAGGCAACACACGGTACTAAAAAAGTTTATCGTTAACTTTGCACCAATTTTTTAAGAAGAAGAATCAAATTAATTTTTCACAATATTCAGGATTTGTAAGTAAAGTTTTTTTTGGAGGTATTTTCTCTTTTTTTTAATCTGCGCCCTGCTATTCACTCATGGGATATGAGCTCAGCTTGGCACACCAAAATATAGTACCCGAATACTATAAGCTACGGAAAGGATTTTTCTACATCTGTAATCATGATTGCATGTTGCATAACATAAAAGTGCAAAACATAAAAATGTAAACAATTTGCATTTGTAATGACTTACATAATTGATAATTTCATGAATTTTACCTATTATTGCAAATAAAATAAATCCGATAATGGAGATCTTCAACAATGGTGCTGCAATCCATCGCAATAAGAAGACATATATAATTAATATGAGACAGGATGAAGAAAATAATATTTGCAAATACATTACATTTTCTAGTACGCATAAATAAAACAATTCTGCAACATTGATGACCTGCAATACACATTTGCTTAGATATAATTAACTCAAAATAATGAAGGCATATAATAGGATTATGAGGGTGAAACTTACCACAGACAACTTAAATTGATTTGCAATCCAACTGATCATTAATTCAAATGGTAAACACAAGTTTAAAACTGAAAAAAAAAATTATATGTTATTATATTTCCTATAACATAAAACTTAAGTTAAATAAACCATTTGTAGGTTCTATATTTTGTTGGATTTGAAGATGATCTGTGCACTCATTTAAATGTTTACGAAATAATAGAAAAATTTATTTAAACTTAGTTTAATTCTATTACTTGAAGATTTCCACCTGGAAGATTAAACGAATAGTCTCTTGCACAAAGATTCTTATTAACAATATCTTCTAATTCATGTAATGTGGTAATGTTATTTTTAACTCTGTCATTAACACATATCAGACTTCCTTGTATCAATGAATAGTTGAACGGTAAAATACGTTTCAGAAATAGTTCTGCTGTCCAAATGGTAGTTGGGCATTTTGAAACACACGCCTGCAGACAGAGGTATTATATATAAATATTTTGGGTAATTACTTATGATGATAAATTTATATATAAAAAAAAAACTTCTCAAGAAATTGTGATAATAAGGGATGTAATTAGAAATATTTCTTATTAATATATTTAATAATTATTTCAGTATATTTTAATTTAAGGTGAAATTAGATTCATAATAAAATGTTAAGGCTATATTTGTTCCACCATTTTTATTTTCCTTATTACATTGGCAACGTTTTGGCTGCTGTCGCCATTTTCAAGCCATCTGTAAGACTCAATTAACAATTATTTTCATGCTAAAACTACATGTAAAAATATGATGATATAATAATTTGATATATATGTTAATTTTTTCTTAAATCCAACATTATATAAATCATATCTCTAATGGGATTGTGTCAATAAGTTAAATTTACATTTTTTTAATAAGTATTTTTTTCAACCATAAAACAAATGCTTAGAAAACTCTCCTGGGGCATACCTCAATAAATTGGAAATCTGATTCAAGATTGGGAAAACTTGTAATGGTCTTGACCAGTTTTATCTCTTTCATAACAACTGCTTGTCAACATCTTGGTTGTTAAGATCCTGCATAACAACTTCTTGTCTATACAATAAATTAGAATTTTATTGAATTTAAATAGCAATGAGCAGAACATATACACGTTTCCAATGACAAAAAGGATGTCAAAGAAAGAAGGTGACCAACTGTTCAATAAATGTTAATTTAAAATAAGAACTTGTAAACTTTGTTTTTTGTATATTTAAGTTTAAGTATATAATTTTGTAAAAAAAAAAATTATCTATTGAACATTATACAAGAACTTAAAACAATCCACCTTCTTTTATGTTAATTCATTAAAACTTATTTTATGTTTTAACAGTTAATTTTTTTTGTTTAAATACTTATTTTAATTAAATGAATTATTTAAAATGTAATTCTTCTTTTCTTTTTATTTATTTGCATACCTAGAGAAAATAAAAGATGTAAAATTTTAACTATCAAATTTAAATTTAAAATCTTTTAATTTCATCTTCTTCTTTATCTACCTCATTTGTGCCTTTCAGTGAGGAGGTGCCTCGATCCATGAATCACAAGCATTTCGGTCCTGAGTTGGAGCCCTTTTATCCCTTACCTATATACCTCTTTTCTGCCCGATCTGGAAAATGTACTTCATCCACAATCTAGGTCTTCCTCTTGGACGCTTTCTTGAGGTCTTGCTTCCATGAATTTTCGTGAGTCACGCTCTTCATTCATTCTGCATAGATGCCCAAACCATCTTGGCTGTCTCTTTTCTACAGAATCCTTTAGTGGGACAGTGGCTAGTTCCTCTCTTATTTTTTCATGTCTAATCCGGTCTCTCCTGATTTGGCCAGCTACCCTTCGAAGGTATTTCATTTCACTAGCAGTAACTATGATTAGGTGTTTGGTTAATGGGACCCAGATTTCCCTCACATACATAAGAATAGGTAGATATACCGCTTTAAAAATATGTAATTTTACATTTCTCTCAATCTCCCTCTTCCCAATGATTGTATTGCATAAACTGTAATGCGCATCATTGGTCTTTTTAATCCTGTTAGAAATTTCATGATCGACCCTTCCATTCTTATTTATTACTGCAGCTAGGTATGTGTAGTCCTTCACCATTTTCAGTATCTCTCGTTTGCAATAAATTTCAACAACCTCCTGATCCCCTCTGATATGCATTACTTTGCTCTTTCCGACTTTGATTGCCATATCCTTTCTCTCTAGTTTAGTCTCCGTTTCAATCACCGCTTGCTGCAGATGTCATCTCATTGATATGATATATATATATATTGTAAGGTTACGTTCCCTTTGAGTGTATTCAAAAACACTATGTAATATTTACATTACAAAATATATTGTACAGATTTTTTATTAAATTAAAAGCATTTTAAATTTTAAATTTTTATAGTTAAAATTTTACATATTTTATTTTATCTAGGCAAATAAATAAAAATATAAGACAAATTACACTTTAAATAATTTATTTAATTAAAATAAGAATTAAAAAAAAATTAACTGTTAAAACATAAAATAAGTTTTAATGAATTAACAAAATTGGAATGTTAAAGAAAGTGGATTGTTTAAGTTCTTGAGTAATGTTCAGTAAATAATGTTTTTTTTTGACAAAATTATTTACTTAAACTTAAATATACAAAAACAAAGTTTAAAAGTTCTTATTTAAAATTTATTTAAAGGAATTTATTTATTTTGTTATTTACTGAACAGTTGGTCGCCTTCTTTCTTTGGTATCCTTTTGGTTATTGTAAACGTGTATATACCCTTTTGGGTCTTTCATTTACTGCTCATTCTTCTTGGAGGCATCCCTCCTCTGCTCTTAGTTGGCCGTTACATGACTGAACTTGGCTGCCTTTTACTATACTGAGCGTCCAATAACCTCCAAGCCTCATCTTCCTGCTCATTGCTACTTAAATACAATGAAATTCTACTTTATTGTAAATACAAGAAGTTGTTATGCAGGATCTTAACAACCAAGATGTTGATTCTTTTATATATGTAGATGGATAAAGAATTCATAAATATTCACAACATACCTTTCCTGTGGGACAAAATTTTGATTTAATGTATATATCAGTTAAGGATGAGAACACGGTATTTTTAAAGTAATTAGCCAATCCAAAGTACATCAGATATTTTTTATCATTAGAATAACATTCTTCTTTGTAACTGCCATAAGTTGATAAAAATGAAGTAGTGTTTGAAGTAGCCCCAACTGAAAAATGTGAAATAAATAACAATTTATTGAAATAAGCAATAGTATCTATAAAATCTTTTAATATTTTTTTTTTAAGTTTCACTATAAGTTAATCTTTCTTTTTTAGATTAATAGAAAATAAATATAAATAAGAAAGATCCTGAAGATGGAGAAAAATCTTGACAAGAGGGTGATGATTTATTTGTCTTAAATAAAAACATATGAGAGTAATCAGTAATTTTCACATCACATTAATGGGTTATTTCTGATTCTATAAAGTATATATATATAATTATTAATATATATAATAATTAAGTATATAATTGTATATATATATATGTTTACACAGTTAAAATTTGTTGAACAAGAAATATTATTAGAAACAGGACATAAATACAGTACCATAAACTCCCAAGCATAACCAGCTGAAGGCAAAACTTAAAAAGAAGAATAACCATAGTAGATCAGTGCTTTTTCTACTGTTTTTAAAATCTTGTGGTCCTGATTTACATTCAAGGGTTTTACCTAAAAAATCAATGAAAATATCAATAAATGATTGGAAATATTAATCACATTAATCATGTTGTACAATTATTATCTTGAATGAATACCTAGATCAGTGATTTGTTCTTCATTAACTATATTACAAGAATTTATTTTAGGATCAATACCATAGTTTTTTTTTATTTCAGTTGATGTAGAAAGTAAGATTTCACTCTTATGGTTAACTTCAATAGACTGTTGGATATTGTTTTGATTTGAATATTCTGAAAAGAAATTATATGAATACTTGAAAATTTGAAATAATCAATTACTTAATTTTCTAAAATCATTGGTGCTAAGCAATAAATTTGTATGCATTGATGTTCTTCTTTTGTAAAAAAATTAGTTTAAATGTTATATTTTTATAGACCAGTTTCATAGAACTCCTAAATTGCAAGTAGTACAAAGATATTTCGCTCATTGAGAAACTTATAAAAAATTGCAAGTTAGTCAAATGACTGAAATATAAAATTATAAAATTTATTTAACTACGAAATGCTTTTCTTGTCTTATAACTTTTTCATTTATTATTTTTAATGTATTACCCATTGGCTACTATACTTACCTTAAATAAACTCTCTGAATTTGTTAATTATAATTAACATATCACTATTGTTTTCTAATGATTTACCTTCAATATCTCCAATAACTATTGTATTAAAACCATCACTTTTTCTTCTTTCTGTTGTCTTAGACAAAGCTACAGGTACAGCCCAAAGCTGTAAGTAAATTACTTTACCATCTGATGTACCTGCCAAATTGAAATTTATTGAAAATATATCATATAATAAATCTTGTAATACTAAGGTGCTTAAAAGAAATGATAAAGAATTTCCTAATTCATATAATAATATAAAATCAGAAAAAAACTACAGACGAACATATATTAATTTGGAAATTTAATTATTTACAGATTAACTTGAACATAGACTACTGCAACTCATGAAGGGTCTTGAAATAAATATTTTGTAAGCAAGTATTATTTCTTATTTATGTATTGTAAGCCAACACTTGTAGATGATTTGGGCAGGATCATGTTCAATGATGAGATTTTCCTTCAATTACAAGTATCCACTTTATGGAAGCTGGATGTAACACATAAGGGTCTACAAACCATAGGGCCGATCTTTAGCTGATGTTACAAAATAAATAATTATTGACAGGCAGATCTGAATTTGAAACCATGTTCAAGAGATAGGAACATAATGTCATACTTAATGAGCTACCCTGCTCTCTAAGCTTAACTGAAATTAACATTTAACAAACCAAAAAAAAAAAAAAAAACTAGAGCAATCAAATAATCATAAAATACATTTATAAGATGCATAATTCAATAGTAATAACGATATGTGTAGCAAACCAAACATTCTGGAGGAAGGAAACAGGCTGGTGCCTATTGGGACCGCACTCTCCTGCAATTGACCGTCAAGGCCTAAAGGGAATGGATTAGGTCTGTCGATAAGACTTTGGGGTCCTAACTTCCGAGCTGTAGTTAACAGTTTATCTTAACCATTTAATTATATTAAATATGAATCAATCCTGGAATCTAGTAGGTGCTGCCTCTCTGTATCTGATCTTTTAGTGTGAATAAGTTGTCTAACAAATTTCATTAGGAAATTATTTTAAATACAATAAAAAATATTTTTCAAGCTACAATTCATAAAATTATCATAAAATTATGTTATACACTTTTACAAACACATAATTTACTAATTTTGAAAGAGAAATAGCTCTTGTGGTTATTAGGATTAAGAGGTCCTACAGCAAATGTTTGAGAAGTCCTTTAAAAAAAAAAAATTGTTGGAAATCGAACACTTTAAAGGGTCAGAGGGGACCAATGGGTGAATGGATATGATAAACATGAACATCTTGAGTATCTGTTGAGTAAGAAATAAGATTTCTGTACTACATGTTCAAGTACAAAAGTATGTCATGGATTGTAATGGTATGGTATTTAATGGTATGATATGTAATGATATTAGGTATTTTTTTTTTTTATTTGGACTGATGAATTGGCTTAAATCTTATGGTAATTTAGATATGTTTTTACATGAACTACGTCAATTAAAATTTTTATATTTTCTGTTAGGATATTTCTATATTATTCTTTTTCCATCATTGAGCTGGTACCAACAACCTAAATTTCCAAGCTGATCTCTCAAAACTTGAAGCAAATTAATGAACCCTAGAATATAGGAATTAAATAAAACTAGATAAAAAATCAATTCCAATGTCTACCAACATCTTTCAAAATAATTAATTATAATTACAATACCCTGTCTTTAGGTGGAAATTATCAATCATACCATACTAACTAGATCCTCTACATGTTTCCAATTACAAATCTTAGTGGTAAATACTTCAAAAATTATACATTCCAAATACATCTTACAATATAACACAAGATTTTTTTTTAATGATGTCCAGATACATTGTCTCTACACAATTCAACATCAATTTAGACTATTAGAGTTCAAACTCCTAAAAGTCCTTTAATAATCATTTACTTTCTACCATCCTGAAATCATACAATCACCCAGCAACGACTATGGGTCTGATAACATCTTATTGAACTTAAAATTAAATTGTCTCTGACTACTCCGGTTCTCTGTAAAGTTCTTATTTTTTCTGCATAAAATTATATTTTCTCATCTTTCTTTAACACTAACAACTTTAATTCCAGGGATAAATAAAATTTCAAATTTTTATTATTCCTACAAATTTTATCCTTTTCTCAAACCCATTAGGACACATTGTGCAATCTGATCTTGTCTTCCCCAAAGGGTTATCCCTCTTCAATCTTGTTGTCAGGTTTTTTTCACTGAGTCCACACAATCTGATCGTTTTAAAATAACTCACATGGAGTGATATTTTATTGGACATCAAAGCATTAATTAAAGTATCTATCTTTATCTTAAAATATTTCTCAAGTTGGCTTAAAAAAAAAAAAAAAATGACTTAAACACCATTCTTATAAAACCTCTCTTTACCAAATAGTGTTGATGACTGATTCAAATTATTCCTTAAGTTGGTTACCAATGTTCTTTCACATCACATAAATCTTATTTTTAAAATAGCTCAACCCTTATCTTTGTAATTTTTCAGTATAATATATCTATCCCATGCACTAATAACAACACCTTAAATTAATGATTTGCCTCTATCCAACACTACTAATTTCAACTCTATGCGGATCATACATGAATAATACATTTATGATCTTTGACTAATATTTTAGCCCTTCCCAACAAAAAAATGTATTTTAATGTAAATAATTATTCTTATTTACAGATGATTCATTTTATCTAATGAAGTAATAACATAAATGGATATTACACCATTATGGAGTAACATTTAAAGATATATTTGGATAGCAATGAGATTTAATTTAAAAAAAATTAACTCTATTTTTTTAAAATTATATTTTTGAGTTACGTTAGAATTGCATTGAGGGTGTCATTGAAGCCATTTGACTGCAAACAAGATGAGAACATTATTCTGAAAAAAAGGCAATATTTTAATAGATTTGAGGAACAATAAAAAACAAATCTGCTTTCCCAATAAAGTACCACTCGGCCAATAAAATCTCAAATAATTTTTAAAGATGAAATCTTTCATCAGAATCATATTATTATTATGATTAGGGATCTCTAGGTCACATTAGTAGAGTTCAACATTTGAATTTTTAAATTGTACCTTCCCTATTTCATGAGATCCCTCCATTTCTCAATTTCATGTTAAGTCAAAATGGCTCTGTTTCTCCTATTGTTGTCTGTAACCCCCAGGATCTTATCTTCAGCAACTTATTTATTTATAATTCCAATTGTATATCTCTATTCAAACTCATTTTTGTTGGACAAATATAGAAATTCTGCTTTATCATGCTATAGCATTTACAGATCATTGGTTATAAGAATATCCAATTTTTGATACTTCGAGTATATTCACAGAAGTTTTAATTATTGTTATTGTTTTGTAGATTTAATTTATTTATACTTTTAAGCTACATAATTCCAATTATATTGTACTACTTATTTTTTAGAATAAATAAAGATTTCAACAAAGGGAGAATACGATCCACTTGAACCAACTTCAACTTGTTTGTTCCAGAACATTTCCAAGAGATAGAATTTAGAAGATGATGAAAAGAACATTTAAGTTTCACAAAAACATATATAATGTACATAGTCCTATGTACTGTATATAGTAAATATTCCCTCATCTTAAAAAGCTAGTGTATAAACTTAAATCGTTCTTAAGGACCTAACTTTTTTTCGTAATAATTATAAAAATAAATAATGTAAGTATTGGACTGATACAGATAATATATTCCTACTTTTATCAGTTCAATCATCTGGTTATGTTCAAATATTGTCATTCTTAGTAATGTTTTTTTACTAAAACACAATAACTAATATTTATCAAAATTACTTACAGCTTTGTTCTTCTTCTGGTATGGTTTCCATCATGAATATTTGCTCATCAAAAAATTGCCCCTTATCAAGTTCTATTTACAAATCATTGTGTTCTCTTATCTATGCCTAATGGCCATTTCATGGTATATTTGAAAAAGAGTTATTGTTTTCAGACTATCGTATTTATTTCATCGATTCATATTGATTTATTCAATCGATATGATACTTAGACTTGTTTCTTCCAAGCTAATAAATAGAACAAAAAATGTTTCACTTGGTACCAGTATTTTAAATAAAAATAATTAATAAAATTTTCTAGAAAATGTGTATAATTCTTTCATAAAAGTTAGAGAATCAGAATCAAGTCAAGTTATAACTGATAGTGTATAACCTGAAACTTCTTAAATTACTAAACGTTTATAGATTGGGACAAGATTTTCTTAGAGTCCCTAGTTAGTGCTTTCTTTCATATGTAGTTTATGAAAAAAATATTTTGCCAACTAAACTCAATTATACAATAGCATGACAAAATGTGTTTAACTGAAGAGCTAATCTTTGGAAACTCCACAAACTAGTAAAGCTCTTGGGAATCACTTCTCAATCTAGAATAATTCCTCTTTACCAGAGGAAAGAAGAGGCAGTAACTATGAGATGGTGGCATATAACTAGACCTCTTCAAAATATGGCTTTTATTTTTGCCAAATATAAAACTAAAAATTATGGCCATGTAATATTTATTTTGACCAATTATGGCACTTATTTTTCTAAAACTCTCCTTTGAAATGAAAAATATTTTGTGTGATGCACACGTCACAAAACTTCCACTTACCATCCTATTTAGAGGAGAAATTGTTATTTTCATAAATCAAGAAGTAAAAGTAAAAATTACAAAAAGAGTCAATATTAGTAAAAATTGCATATTATAGATAATATACAATATACACTAATGATTTTCTTTGTAATTGTACTGAAAAAGTATGTGAAATATTATAGTTAAGCTACTAATATAAAAGTCCTGTACAGAGGTGTATTAGGTCTTTGTAAATGGAGAGGGATCAGAAAAGATTGGGCACTCTCAGCAGTTTCCATTGGTTCCAGTTCCCATCTTACTGACCCTTTTTCTCCAATAGTTAATATTGCAATCTTTTTATCTTCCAAATTTATTAAGCTATTTTTATTACTAATTACAATGAGAAGTGCTTAATTTTTTTTAATAAACAAAATTAAAATTAAAAATACTTTAAGGAAATAAACTTAGAAAATTCTGGTATTTAAGCCCTGTCAAACTATTTCAATAGAGATGATACTAATATTTTACTCAGAGAACTTCAAAATACGCATTTCCGTTGAAAACTCGGATTCTAAATCTTTTATGTTCACAACACTTTCCCTTACTATATATTTCATAAATAGGTAAGTAGAGGTAGTGATGGCTGAGATTGTTAAAGCGTAAATTTTAACATTGTTGAGACTAGCGATGCCGGTTTGAACCTAGCCTAGGCGGGCTGAAGTTTATTTTGTGTGGCACCCACAGAATGAATCTAGGCCTTCCCACTCTGGTTAGAATAGGTTTGGTTGAACCTCTAGAACAACCTCCAAATATGCCATAAATGTCATGATAAAGGGTGATGAAAAAAAAAATTAATAAATAAATTAAGTAAGCCTGATTTTTCAGCTGTAACATTATATTGCAATTTAAAATTGTTATAAAACTATTTTATACTGTTCAATACACAATTGTCATACAAATAAAATCATTTTTCTTAAAGACAAATATTATTCATGTTTTCAACATTATTTTTATTTATGTTTCTACATTTCTTCTTTTCAACTAATAACATTCCTACTTGTGAGCAAATTGTGTAACAATATCAGCACACTATTATGTCCAATGGTATGGAGTATGTTTTTTTTGTTTTTTTAATAAACTTGAATATAAGGAAAAAAAGGGGGAAAAAACAACACATGACTACAGAAAAAATGTAATAAAAGTCCACTTAAAAATATGTATAAACATTACTTTATTAATAATATAAAATGGTACATTTTTATTTTACAAATCATATCTTAATCATAACAATAAACGAATATTGGTATACATTACAACTTTGGCTCATAATCAGACTTCTTGTTGGTTATTTGGGTTTCTTATTCTTCTTACCTAATATCTTCATTAAATTTTTTGACATAAAATATGGCTTCTCGACCGAGCCATCATTACGTTCACAGTCTTCCACTGTAAAATAAAATTGTTCCAATGAATGCAAAATGAAATTAAAGTATTAAGTAATAGAGAAAGAATTCTCCAGTCTAAGAAGAAGAAGAATGAAACATTACAATTATATTTTTTCATGAAAAAAAAACAAAACAATTATTCTTAAGTGGCAAGGTGTTACCTACCATTAGACTACATCTTTTATGTTATATAAAATCTTTTTACTTCTGATGCTGACTTGGTGTAATTAACAATTAATGCCACTCTTCAAAAACTATTTGTAAGTGATCAAGAAGAAATGATCTGAGATCAATGAGTTTATATTGACTATAGGAATTTTTGAACTTAGACCAATTCCACAGGCTTGCTTAGTATATTACTTCCCTTCCTTGATTGGGCAGGAGGATCATTTGTACAGGAATAGGAAATTGTTAAAATATGATTTGTAATAAAATTGGTAACCACTTTACCAATCAAGGAAGATCACCAGTTAATTTCATGTATATAAGAGAAATCTAACCAAAATTGACTTATGAAGTGTTATATAGAATTTCAGATAAATGACAGATGATAAGAAGAATAAAAAAAAAAAAACAATTGTCACTTGTTATATCTTTGAATAGGACATACCATGTTGTCAAAAGAGAAACCATGACCATGACAAAATAGATTTGTTAAGGAAGAGAGAAATATGGAGGAAGGTACTCCTATTAGTCAAGAGGTGGTAAATAACTGCAAGAAGATTGAAGAGGTACAGGAAAAGGGAAAGAAGAGAATTTGTAATGGGTATAAATAAGTTTGTACTTGATATTTTGTTTGTTGAATTGTTTAAACCATCCTTTTCTCTTATAATGAGAGGAGAGGTTGGGGTATATTTGATTTTTCGATTTGGCTGGGCAGTGAAGCATGCTATGTAGTAACAACATGCACTAGCGGATCCAGGATTTAATTTTGGCTTCAGCCTGAAAGATTTTTTTTTTTCATATACATATAACAATAATTAATTTGAAAAAAAAGAAAGAAATTAAGTATCTATATGAAATGGTGTGTGAAAAAATCCGCCTGTGACAACATGGTAGCAATGAAAAGGTCATGAAAAAAAGTTATTGTTTATCATTAAATTGAATGACCATTTCAGCAACTCTACATATAGCAGTTATTAACATCAAATTAAAAAATCAATTACAGTACAATTTCACTAATAGATTTATTTATAAATCGTTGTTATCGTTTAAAATACAATGTATTCGGATCTCCTCGTTAATTTGTAATGATTTTTGTTCTCAAGGGCAATCCGGGATGGTTAATTTGTGAGTCATTATTAACCATCCTGTCTATTTGAAAAGCAATTTCTCCTTCCCACTCTTAAATTCCCAGAATCAGGTTTAAAAAAAAAAAAAAATCTGTTTATATTGGATTGGATATTCTTTATTTTTATTTAGTTTGGTTTTCATTTCACATATACATGTGTCTTTCCATTGCTATAAAAGCAGTTGTGATGGTGAAAATAAAGTTAATTTGGCCAAAATGAAGCAGTTTTTATTTTAAGATGAAAAAAGTACACATTTTAGTTGATGTTTTTTATTTTCCATTAAATCTGTATAGTTTGTAATGTACATACACATGGTGTCCCGTAAGCAGAAGAAAATATTTAAAAGGTTGATGATAGCCATCAAGATCTACAAAAAAGTAATATAAACAAATGTCCAATTTTCAGCAGAAGAGCAGAAAATTTAGGATTTGTATTTTCTTAAGCGAGTCACATTTTTTGTTGAATAGGAAGCGATAACTTAAAAAATATTTGATTAAAGTTATTAAACATTGCTCCATAGTAAACTAGATAAAATTAACTTTAAAAGAAAGTAGAGTTTGTCATTGTTAAAACTATTTAAAGAGGACTCTTGGGTATATAAACACAGCTTAGTTCCGTTTAAAACAAAGACATAAATTATTCGTCATTCTTTTTTATCACCTTTTAACTGTCTCACAGTTATCCCTCTTTTAGAAAAACTTCCTCATTTAATAAGTTTTAAGTCCATATTAATTAAATTGAGGTTTATTGGGCAAAATTTTGAGATTCACCTCAAGTTTATTAAAGAAATGATGTGTTTTTTTCGAGTCACCTAAAAGTACCCGTGTTTTCTGCAAAAATGACTAGAATTAACTGTTGCAAAACTTTTATTTCTTGTTATGGGGTATATTGTAATAAAATTAATTGCGAAAAAACACATTTTATTTATGTGGCCATTATTTAAAAAATATGAATTGAGGATGTATTTATCAGTGACAAACTTTATGTAAAAAAATATTCTAACTAAAATTTACGTTTAAAATAAAGAAATCAACTGATAGCTTCAATTATATTCATGAAAACTTAAATATTAGGGCTAGAAACATTAATTTTGCCACTTATAAATACATATAAATTTCAATGGCAGAAAAACACAAAAGCTTTTCAACAGTTAATTGTAGTCATATTTGCATAAAACACGGATACTTTTAGGTGACTCGATAAAAAATCACATTATTTCTTTACACAACTTGAGGTGAATCTCAAAATTTTTTCTCGTAAACCTCACCTGAATTAATATGGATTTAAACCTCGTTAAATGAGAAAGTATTGCTAAAAGTGTAGTATTGTTGGATGGTGATAAAAAAATCATGAATAATATTATAATTTTTTAATAACAGAACTCAGCACTGTTTATCTGCTCAATATTCCTCTTTAAATAGTTTTAACAATGAAAAACTCTACTTTCTTTTAAAGTAAATTTTGTCTAGTTTACTATCAAGCAATGTTTAATACCTTTAATCAAATATTTTTTGTTATCACTTCCTA